CACTTCCAATTAAATGAGTACATTTTTGACAACATATTTTATTCTCAAGTTACGTTAACAAGTTTTATCACGTTCAAGATTTCTCGAAACATTTTGAAAACGAAATTCGGCGAGCCGTTCACTGTAGCTGAGTTTACAAAACGATCATACAATTGAATTACAATACATGAACAAACCTGTTGAACCGAGTTCATCAAAGCTAAGTGTTCTTACATAAAAATACGGGGCACTCAAAATTAGGTATCTTAGTCTGCCGGAACTTAAGAGAAAGCTGCTAAGTATTGAAAAAATTACTTTGTAAGGGTTTCTAGATATGATCTTAGCATAGTAATTAGGCACACTATAAATCTGGGCAAAAATTCCACATAGCTAAAAAAATCACTAAATACAAATAGGTATGCTAATTGCATCTTTTTGCAACTCATCCTGTACCTGTAACAAATTTATCAATTAATGATAATAATAATAATAATAAATAATAATAGCGGTTTCAGCGTTTATTAGGCCATAGGCCTGTTGCCGATTCTTAACATCGCAGAACATCCACAGCTTGTTGCGGTCTCGAACTCACAACTCACTGATTCAAATTCTGCTGTGCTTAACCGCCCGGCCTCCTTGCCGATTCTGACCAGAAACTGGCGCACAGAGCTGGGATTGAACCCGCACCTCTCTGCTCCAATCTTGATACTCTGAACTGTAACCACTGGGCCACCCTGCCCCTGAATAGAACTTCTATTCAATGGGAAATATAGATGAAAGAGCGAACCTTGTTCAAATCGATGACATCGTAAATTACCAGAAAGTCAGCAAGACCCCCGTGTTCGCAGATACGAAATTAGCATTTTTCACAAGTAGTGCACGGGATGAAACGTAGAAAATCGTCCTATTTTCCATGAAAACAAATGAACTTCAGAGTCAAGTGAGTCAGAAATGAGCCTATGATTTTTAGGAGGGACTCGCTTAGTTGAGGCGGCAGACTGCAGAGCTGATGTGAAGTAACAAAATCAATAGAGATGTGAATAAATTGATAACTTATGATTAGGTGAACACGTATAGACGTACAGCGCAATGTTGTTCAACGATCTGATTCCATTGAGATAAAGGAAGGAATATAGTCTCCATCATATCTAATTCTGAAAAGACAATCATAAGCTGCTAGGCAAAAATTTGAATTATCTTCGTCTTCACAGAACTTCTCAAACATAAGAACAAAACTTCCAAAAACTTTCCAAACATAAAATTTTCGGATTTTAAAGAAAAAATACCAAAAATAAATACTCTATTTTCACTCGATCTTAGTAAAGCTTCTCGAGTTGCACCCACTAGGCTAACAACGGCTTAGCCAAAGGATGCAGGTGTCTGTTATGTAAGGTACTGCTTAACTTAATTTATTGAGACCTTGAGTTGAGACCTTCAGCACAGGAAAATAGTTCAGAATTCAGAAAAAATTATCGCAACATAAGTAAAAGAAGTCTTAAACAAATTTTGCGTGTGTCCAGGGAGGTTTGCAACAGAAAGAACACACTGTTTTTTGGCAATGTCTTAAAGACTTGAAGCAAGGGGAATTCTTATACAAGAAATTGCGGGAAATCAAGAGTCGGACGAGATTGATACTAAATTACGGAGTGGCGTGGGGAATATTCCAAAAACATTGATTCGCAAGATCTGCATTGATTGATGATCAATGCAGAACTTGATGGTTTTGCTGCTGGACCAATATGTGTCCGAGAATATGCTATATAATTTCCAGTTACGAAGAAGAATAATTAAAAAAAATTAGTTGCAGTTATAAGTTTGTTTTCAGGAGATTGAAAACGAGGAATTTCAACCAATCAATTTTGATTATTACAAACAAAAGTGAAAATCCAATATTCAGAATAGAACATTAGAATAAACCTCCCAAGTGCAAGTGTCCTGGTTTTCAAAGGTTAGAATGAAGATAATAATAGCGATCAAAGGAAGACAACAAAAAACTACTCTAAATGAACACAAGCAAACAACTAAATTAAAATTCAAGTATCAAAAAGCATTAGAAAATCTTGAGTAATCTTCATCACCATACTTGTATATGGGCCTGGCATACGACACACAACCAACGCGTGTCGCGTAACTAACGCATGACTAACGTGAGCAAACGGTCATGAAAATTAAGTCTTTCAATGTGTCATTTGTAACGCATTTTCTCATTTATGGAAAAAATGCACTATTATGCTCGCCATGTCCATCTGTCCGTCCGTCCGTCCGCCTGTCTGTCCATCCGAGACTTCACGTTTTCGTCGACGAGAAAATGCGCTCTCTGTCACTCACTGCAGTGAGTACTGAGTTATATTTTTTATAATGTGTATCGTGCGGGTGAATTATGGTCCTGGAAGTATAGGCGTTACAGGGTTTGTGTCAAAGGTATACTGTAAAATAGAACCATTAATGCCGATCATGTTGATCATCATTAATGCCGTTCGCTAAGAGCTACAAGTAAACGGTATCAACGTTGACTTATTAATCAAAAGTCACACTGGTAAGAGAGTGATCTGTCTTTGACAGTAATGACAGGTAATGTCAGCAAGTTAAATATTAGATTAACGAGACTAATTTCGCCGAGCCTGGAAGAAGTACGAGAGTGTTTTAGTAAACATAAAGTGGAAACTGTTCGCATCTCAGTGTTTCGCGAATCTAATTTATATTTTTATTAGTGAATAGCACAAGTAAGGAAGATTTGGGCACCACAAGCTTAATTCAGTGTGTGGCAAGTTTGATAAACTCAAAAGAACTCATATAACGCCCTAACAACTAAGGGTTATTCAAATATAATAATGCAAATCGTAGCAGAACGTTCTAAAGTGGCACTGGGCCATTGAAACAACTCAATGAACTAAAAAATACTGGCAAATAATACAGAATGAAAATTTTTAGATTCCTTACAGAGAGGACAGTGTCGTGAATGAGATTAGATGATTTCTTCTTCAGAGCGCGTGGGACTCTGGCGCCCAGAGCGCTGCGCTTTCCAAGCCGTCCGTCTCTCTGGTGATGAACTGACGTCCCGTTGAAAAATCTGTAATCTCTTGAATTGTAATTGCTTCTAGAAGAATCTCCACGTGCCATAATATCAGGTTGTTTGTTCCCGTGCTTCCCGAAAATTGAAACAACCCCGTTCACCTGCTGCTTGGCGTGACCATTCATCGACCTGTGCTGTCGACGAATGGTATCGGTTTCGAATGATCTCGACGTCAAATGCTCACTGGGCAATGCAACATTTTCAGGAAAAAAATCTTTTTTTGGCAAGTAAATCTGAGACTCAGAATTACAAGTAGAAGCACTTTGGAATAAGTCGGTGCCATTTTCATAATTCAGAGGGTTAACTACAATTCTTGTATCCGGCAACCTTCGGTGATAAACACCAATGTACTCGCCCGATTTTCCATCTAGAGGTCTGTTGTGTCGAACTAAGCAACCATTGTTGGCTAACAGATGATGATCTGGTGGGAAGTTTTTCGAGCCAAATGCTGCTGCGTTATCAATTCTGTTATTTAGAGGAAGAACTTGACTCCGATCGAAGCAAAAGCCTGCAAATATGTCTTCGTCTACTGCATCAAACGGCGAACTCAGCTTCTCTTCATGAGCGGCGAGAAGAGCTTGAGTTTCAAAAATTTCTTCGTCGAACGGATGAGCGTCGCCTGTCGTGGTGTTGTTTTCAGCTTCTTCGTTTATATTTGCAGCTAACTCCTCTGAGGTATTGTCTTCTTCGAGAACAATTGAGTTATTTTCTCTGCTTCCTTTTCTCTGATAAACAAAATTAACAAAAAATGTGAATAAAAAATGAAACAAAAAATAAAGGACCGGGGCCTAAAAACTCTGCGGTTGCCAAAACAGAGAAATTAGTACAAAAAAATAGAAAATTCAGAAGATGGTTTCATTCATGGTAATTTTCTCGATATTAACCATGACAGGGCAGCTGGCTTGACCAACATGAAGAAATTCTAATGAGCTTCAAGTTTTATAGAGAGAAATTATAGGACACGAGTAGCCGTGCTGATGATCTGACTAAGATAAAAAGTTTTGAATCTGGAGAAGCAAAAGCCAAAGTCAACGATCAAAAACAAGTAAGACCGACACGACCTCCTCAAGAGATAGCTCGTCGCCGTAGATCCTGCTACAGAAATATGACCGGCACCAGAGGGGAACATAATTATAATATCGAAAGGATCCTTCATTTTGCTGAACAGTTAAGTTTATTATTTCATTCTTGAGTTCAAACCATTGTACAGGATTGGAACTTTTACCTCCGTTTATGAAAATAGGAGAACACAAAAGGTTTAGAAGGTAGGCGTTTAATTATTCAAACATGTGCTCAAGCCGATCAGATTTTCGCCAATTTCAATTCCTAAATTCAGTGAACAGCAAAGAAAGGATACTGGAGAAAAAAACCTTTAATATAAGAACATTTGATCCGCAACTTAATCATGCTTATGGAAGACTTGAATGAGAGAAGCAGCGACCTTTGCAGTGGAAGAAGAAAACTTTTGGTACGGTGGATGGGGTGAAAACTCGAGCACTTCTTTGAACACTTTGTAACAATCAATAAAAAGTAAATATATCAATAAAGAAGGTATTTAAAAACTTTCTTTGAACACTTTGTAGTAGTATACAAAAAGTAAATAGAGAAGGTTAAATAAAAAAAATAAAATAATGAGTAATAATTAAGCTGCTGAGTTTGAAAAAGGTCCACTCAACTTCTTTTCTCTAGAAATCGCATTTATATTAAATGTTGACAAAAAATGCATGGTCGCGATATCGAATATTTTACATTCATCTCTGGAAACTTTTGCTACAAATCATCATAAACTTCTAGATGATACCCGAAGTTTCATGAATACCCGAATTGCCTAAGATTTACGACTTCCACGTTCAAGTAGTGTGAACTCACGATTAAAACAGCGTACATAATTATGGGCTGTGAAGAATGATTATTTTGAATTAATTGACATTGTGCAGAGACAGCTCACCGTTCCGGTGGGTTGGATTTGTCCGAAGCGCGTAGTGTTCCAGTTCTCGAGGATGAGGAGGGCAGCGTAAACCTTGCCCACTGTCAGCTTCTCGTAAACCAACTCTGGCAACACGCAACGTAAATGGTCCGTCATTAATACTAATACCTTGCCCACTGCCAGCTTCTCGTACACCAACTCTGGCAACACGCAACGTAAATGGACCGTCATTAATACTAATACCTTGCCATAATACCTTGCCCACTGTCAACTTCTCGTACACCAACTCTGCCAACACGCAACGTAAATGGTCCGTCATTAATACTAATACCTTGCCCACTGTCAGCTGATTACAGGATGATTACGGGAGTTACACGAATGGAGAAATATCATAAATAGAGGTTAATAGATTTGAAAGAAATGATTGTAATGCTACCATGTTTTCCAAATTTTAGAATTTTACATTCTATGCATATGACTTGTTTCTCTGACTTGTTTTCACCAGCCCAATGTGAACCATGATTAAAATTTGTTCTTCTACTTTGTCGTTGAATTTTGCTGCAAGTTGCAATAATTAGAAGGAATTAACGGGAATTTATTCGCAACACAGCTGCGAGTTCGTTCGCTAGATGGGAGGCTAGTTAGGATTTCCGTATTACGCTTCTTGCAAAAATAAAAAATCGCGGTATTCATGCAGGTTTCGGTCTGATACTGAAGAAGTCAAATAAAATATTCTTTCTTAAATACAAGAAAAACAAAACGGTTCACTGTTCACTAAACAGCAGATGTTGACACAAAAACGAGACACTGTCAAATTTTCGAGAAGCCCGACGGAATACTGACATTTCGAGAAAATTAAAACAAAATTCCTCGTACTTTGATAACAAATATACTCGTACATCTTCAATAGCACATGAAAAATACGGAATCTTCTATTTGACATTACATGGTTAAATTTTGCTTCCATAAAATATGAGGCTAGATAAAATTTTGTCAGCTTGTTAATTAAGGACATACGGTCATCAGGCGGGATGATGACGTCGATGACTTTTGTATTTCTATTATACCGTTTCTTTCCATTATATTTACATTATACCATAATACTATTTCCAATTTTGTTAGCTTGTTAAGGGAACATACGGTCATCAGGCGGGATGATGAGGTCGATGACTTTTTTGGCCTGCATGGGCCAGATTTTCTTGATGGTCTGCCGCAGCTCCGAGTCCGCCGTGTCCATCTCGTGCGGCGCGCGCATCTTGATGGCCAGGTTCTCGCGGATGAGCGCGAACAGCGTCGTCGTGAAGTGCACCTTCGGGAGGCAGTGGCTTGAGGTCAGTGGCAGCAAGTTTTGGTTACTGGCTTGACGTTAGTGAGTTCGTGGTCACATCTGACCTTAGTTTGTGGTCAGATCTGATTACGATCTGACCACAGTTTGTGGTCAGATCTGACCACGATCAGGTCACAGTTTGTGGACAGATCTGACCACAGTTTGTGGTCACATTTTACCACGATCTGACCACATTTTTTGGTCAGATCGTCGTTGGTATGCGCTCCGACGTTAAGCCAGAAAAAAGTTTAGCGTTATAAAATGAATAAAACTAATTGAACGTTGCTCTGCTAGTGACAAGGCTGAAATTTTAACTGTAGAAACTGTAGAATTCACCTGAAGATTTCGGTGATAGTTGTGATCTGATCTCCGGCACACAAATTTAAAGCAATGCAGCGCATTTCTCTTTCTTACAAATCGAAAGCCCCTATGAAAGTAATACACACAATACGAAGAAATTGAAGGACTGGAAACTATCATAACTAGCGCAACCTTGCCCAAGTGAGCTCCCGACTGCAAATGAGATAAAGTATGTCTATTGAAAATTCTTAACATGAGAACAATTTCACGAAACTTCCAATTCCTTTCAATTCGCAGATAATTAATGCATCTTATGACGATTAAAAAAAAGTTTAGGGACCGTCACAAATTGCCTATCGAGTGCTCAAAACCTTCAAGTTTTCATCCATGGGCATGTTCATGCGGATAAGCTTCTTGTAGGCGAGTCGGTGCGGACACTTGTTGCCGAATCCGAGCGGTGGATCCATGTTGCGTAGCATCTCGTACATCTCGGTGTAGTGGATGCGGCCTCTGCACGTAGCGCAGTCATGCATTCAGAGATTTCAGAGTTAATTCATCATATTCACACCAAATAATTCAACATATTCACATCAAGTGATTGTAAGCATTATTGTTCAACTCAATTTTTATATTCATCGAAACGCTTGATCAGATGTTTCAATTCAGCCAATTCATCATATTCACAACAAATAAGTTAAAATATTCACAAAAAATGATTGAAAGCATTATTGTTAAAATCAATTTTTTGATTCATCGGTACGCGTGATTATGTTTTACAGTATTAGCTAATAATTTAGAAGCCAATATTTAAAATAATTCACCTCCTTTTAAAACCACAATTTAAGTTCAATTTTCGATTGCCAGCTCAACGACGCGTGATCATTTTTCACAATATAAGCGAATAATTTAGAAGCCAATATTTAAAATAATTCAACTTCTTTCAAAATAAAACAATTGAAAGTTAATTTTTCGATTGTCATAGCCATAATTTAGAAGCCAATATTTAAAATAATTCAACTCTTTTTAAAACTACAATTGAAGTTTAATTTTTAGATTATCAAAGCCAGAAGCCCTGAAGGTTATAACACACGTACGTGGCATTAGGATCGTATTCTGCCCATATTCTGATGTACTCATCGAGGTGATGTGCACCCAGGATGGAGGAGTCGCGTGTCAGGTAGTCGAAGTTGTCCATAATAACGGCGACAAACAGATTCAACATCTGTAAACATAAGGGAGAAACATTGCAGTTATTTCATGCTATCAGTTGAAAATAACAATCTGAGTTCGGTAATTTCAGTTGCCTAAATTTTTTAGGGATTTTGATACTATTTCAGTTGCGTAAATCTCTTAGACATTTTGTAAACATGTAAATCATTTCGACAAATAATTGTAAATCTAGTAGAATTGTGAACAACTTTCAGTTTCATAATGTTGTTCCAACTCAATATTAGGGTTATTTGCGGCTCTAAAACTTTGGGGTTTCAGCTTACAACATTGCGCCACAACCGTACAACATTGGGCCACAACCATTATATTGGGCCACAGCCCTACAACAATTTGGCCACTGCCCTACAATATTGGGCCACTGCTCTACAATATTGGAACATTACCTAACAAAATATGGCCCTGCTCTACAACATTCCCACATTAGATCACTTTCCTAATGGACTATAACACAGATGGCGGCCATTTCTCTACAAGGGTTGCAACAAAGTTTGCATCGCTTCTTTGTGATTAATTTGCTTCTTATTCGGGTTTCGCGCTAGCACCCGCTGCGGTGGCTAAAAAACATTATTATTGTAACAATAGTCACGATTACAAACGTGAATTTATTCAAGAAAGATTATTCATTCAGAAAAAATTGCAGGATTTATTTTCTACCGTAAGTTTCATCTCAGAAGTTTTGGACGGAGATGAAATGATCAGCGTAACCGAGTCTCCGCTGATGAATACCATGTTCACTGCTTACGGGCAGATATTAATCAATCGTCAGTTATGGAAAGATCGGGTTCCAAAGGCCGGATCTCTTATGAATCAAGTCACGAAATATTCATGAATCGGCAACAGGCCATGTGCCTATTTCTTCAGTGCCGTCACTTCTATTCTATTCTAAAAGGATTGTTTGTCTGAAGATGTAGACTTCGGCTCAAGATTTATCCTCTTGGATCGACTAACTAAAGAAAAAAGAGGCTAGAACATTCCTCACCAAGAAGGAGCAGAAGAAGATGAAGGAGACAAAATCCTCTTGGAGTAACTAAAGAAAAAAGAGGCTAGAATATTTCTCACCAAGAAGGAGCAGAAGAAGATGAAGGAGACAAAGTAAGCGTAAGCTATATTGGAGCCGCAAGTTTCTTCTTTGTCGTCACCGAGCGCCCTGGGGTCGCAGGGTACGCCATCGATGCACGACAGCATGATGCTCTGCCAGCTCTCGCCGGTAGCGCATCTGTGCAAACGATCAAGCTAAATGTTTTGCAAATTAATCAATTATCAGGCACATTGTTAACTATTACTTTGTTTCATCTAAGCGTAATTTCTTTATCTTAAACTAAATTAATTTTGTGACTAATGAGTTATATCGCATGCAATTGTCTACGTATGCTCCACTTGTAAATTTTTAACAGTATATAGATTATTGCGCTCTACTGTATAGATAATCATATTCACAGGATATTATTTTTATCATTTTCAGAATTTTGAAATTGAAATTCTGCAGAAGAATTTGAAGAAGAATTCTCTTGCAGAATTTTGAATTTGAAATTTTGCTGCAGAATTTTAGTGAGCAAAACCTAACGCCCAATTTGAATTTGCTTCATTTCTTTGTGTCACACTAGACGAAATCCGTCCTAAAACGACCTAAAAGAAGAGTATTAAAAATTAAGGTCTTCAAACGTTTGATGTCCCGCAGTAGCTTTTAATGTTGCAAGCACTCTGGTTTCTTTGGTTTATAAGATGACTATTTTTAAGAAATTTAATACCTCCTTCTATTTTAGTGAGGTAAAATATTATTCTTATCACTACTAATAATTTAAGTTCGTCTAGTATAGATAATCTCGCGCGAAGTTTCAACCCAAATAAAAATTAAGGATGGCGCATCGATGATTATAGGTGGCGATGGTAGATTACAGGTGGCGTAACGGTGGGTGGCCACATCTGCCAAAAATCGGCAATAAAAATGCCGCATCGATGCGCCATCGATGCTCCACTTATAATTTCCACCTATAGCCACCAATAATCATCGATGCGCCACCTTAAATTTTTATTTTGGGAAATAACGACGGTAATACGAATTGGTGCAGGACCTCCATAGAAGAGCGTAAATAATGGTTTATGGACTAAATAATCTAAATAATATTAGTAATATTGGTAAACAATAGACAAAATAATAATACTAAATAATGGATTATGAACTATTCAAGATCGTTAAAGAAGTCTCTGCTGGACTAGTATGCTAAATAAGTGATTCTTGTCTACCATATGAATAGATAAACTACACAAAAACAGATACATTAATTCACTTGAAATAATTGGGTCACCCTATTAAATATATAATACGTCAATGTGTTTTTTGCAAATTACAAATTATTTCCTTGAGGAGAATCTTAGTGAGTTTGAATTCAATGGCACTCGTAGTCAATGAAAATTTTGGATAGTCTTTCTTTCTGCCTTAAATTTTGGGATTGCAGAAGTCAAGGTGGCTAGCGAATTGTTACAAAAAAAAATTGAACATTGAAATTATTCCTAATTTCCTCATTTTTTTGTCGCCAAAAAGTGAGAAAATTACAATAATAGGAAATGCTCAAGGAAATCCTTGTGGTTTAATAACATTTCACGGTCAATTATAAGCAGTATACAATATAATTATTTTATCTATAGTAATATACCATCCTAGTGAATGCGTTCCTTAAATTTAGTTCAGGAAGGATATAATTTGATTACTTGAAGGATTGGAAAACTTTAGACAAACTTGGCAGAAAAAGCGCACTACAGCGGGAGGGGGGAAGTATAGATGCTAGGCAGCCGTCAAGAGCTGAGCTGTTTATGGGCATGCTATGTACAGTAACTATCATTGGGAAATAAACTACAAGCAATTACAGTAAAAATTGCATGCATCTCAGTAATGTTTTAACAAAATAAAAATGTTTTAAAATAATATTTTATTCGGAATGAAATTTGTGCGGTATGTTTTAATTTAAGAGAAGGCGATAATTTTGTTTCAAGAATAAATGAGTAAAAGGGGCTACATTGAAGGATATAGTGACGCAGTGCGTGTGAGAGTGCCATTAAAAATGATTGGATTAAAATACCTTCCCAAACAGAGTTTCTAAATGCCTTGCTTATTGTAAGTGTCAAACCTGAATTGAGATGCCGTCCGGTGATCTCATCATGAAGGTTATAAGTTATAAAGGTCAATGACATGAAAGGTGGAGGATAATGACGACAAATGAAATCTCTCGACAAAATGTACCTTCGATTGTTGCTTATACTTTGAAACAAAGAAGATGCAATTCGTCCCCACAGCAGCCAGAGAGATTTCAATATATTCTCTGAGCGGACTATAGGTGTTTGCAATGTGACAAAGCAAATCTTGCTCATCGGAAGATAAGTTCAGAATATGGAATGAAAATTTTCTGGCTATTGAGTGGAAACTATCTGGAAAGTTTTAATGTGTGTTTAAGGAAGTGTGTTCGTGCACGACAACAGATCCAACAGAACAATTAGTATTATGTCTAATTGATTTATCAATTCGTCATCAAAAGTTATTGTAAATAATGAGTTGAATAATGTACAGGACCACTTAATTGAGCGCATCAAGGCGGCGCAATTCCAAAGAATATCGTCATTATCGAACCACTTTATTTAATTCTCTAGCTTTCAGCACCACTTCGAAGTTTAGTTATAAACGGAGGAGGAAGATTCCTTCTGCAGTTGCTGAGAATTTACACGTCCCGAAGTGGACTGAGATGAAATTATGGTATTCAACATTGAGATCAACGAAGGTAAATAACCCTTGGCACGGGAGAGACATAAAAGATTGATGAGTTTGTAAGGGAGACGCGGTGGAAAATGGATAGGACGCCGCTGATTATCTAGATGAAGTTTTGAACCGCAAGGTAGATTGGTTCCAGGCTATGGGCGAATGACTAATCCAATCATCGAAACAAAAGAATACTAAAGAATATAACTCAGTGCTCACTGCAGTGAGAGACAGAGAGCGCATTTTCTCGTCGACGAAAACTTGAAGTCACGGACGGACGGACGGACATGGCGAGCACAATAATGCATTTTTTCCATAAATGAGAAAATGCGCTAAAAGACAGGAATGAAAAGACAAAAGTTTTGATCGTCTTCTAGGTATGAGTATGACCAAATAAATTTGATATATTTCAATTTCCAATTATAGATTATTGTGAGGAGTTCTGTCTAAACTATTTTCATTTAACCCAAATGAATGCGGAGAACATAATTCATACGATGGTTTGGTTATGGATCATAACCTGATTAATGACGAACGCAGCCGGTGATTATATATAGTCTCTTTCCTGCGGGGATATACATATTTTGAACACCAATAGCCCCTACCACATTAAAGTGACTTGTTTACAACCTTCAGAAAAAAAATATAGTTATTTGGTGGTTACAACTAGTGGATAGAAGCCCCCAAACGTTCGTTTTTGTCTTCCATTGATGACAACGCGCAGGCCGAATCATAATTATAAGGGTTTCATTTATTACATCGGATTGCGGCTCTGCGTGAAAAAATTGAGTTGAATAAATATTGAATAGCTTCTTCAGGAAGCCGTGTTTAAAATTAATCAGTATGCCTGCGAACGATTAAAAAATAGGATCTCGTTCAGATCCTGACAATAAACAAAAAGAAATAATAAGACTAATAATTGTGAGCACGATTATACTAATAATCGTGAGAGAAAACGTGGGCTTGGAAAGTTAAGTAATTTTTAATTAATGTAGTAATGAACAAAAACTACTTGAGAAATAATATAATTTATTATAGTCCGTGGTGGTGCTTTTAAGTGAAGTGCGATGACCAATATCCGATGAATATTTAGACAACTGTGAAAGTAACACGACAGTTTCAATGCCTTGTCCTGACAAAGACCGTGAAAAATCAATAAAATACTACTGTCAAATCAGTACAAGATGTGCAACGCGTGTAGACAATTGTACAATTCATTGTGGGTTTTAAGTTATTTAATCACAATAACTTTTCCAAATGGGCTTGGTGGCAGACGCAGCTTGGTTCGGAGTGTTTGCAAGGGTGCCTTGGAAGCGACATTGTGTCAGTCTCTATCGTAAAGGGAATTGCGATTGCGTAAACGCAAAGATAAACCGATGGGTCAAAGCTTTGTGTCACTCAAGGAAAATATCATTCAAAAGAAGTAAAGCGAAGCGAAACCATATCTGCGGTATCGGCTTGAAGGGAGCAGCGAATTGGTGAAAAAACAATAATAAATTTATTGGGAACTTGAAATAGTCTGACAGGACAATAAAATCGGTGCTGTGACACACAGTTTACCGCATTTAAATCAATACGACAATATAGAGAAGTGGCCCGAGTGATAAGCGTTTTAATAGAGACATATTTTATAGGGAGAATAGGGAGATTACCTGAACAGTAGCATTAGACCTTGCCAAAAATTTCTAAAGTTGTTGTGACGAGTGTAAGAGGTCATTGGGTCCAAAAGAATAGCCCCAAATACCTGGCAAAAAACAAAATAAACTTGAAAAACTATCACACTTGGCGTCGAGTCACTCGGAGGTAGATCAAAATGAACGTGATGGACATGTACTGCTTCGGCGAGAGTAGAGGGTTAGAAAAGGATTAGTATTTGTTAGAGGATATTGGAGAACAGGATGCAGAAAGGGTGGGACTCGCTGCAACTAGTCCATGGTGATACTGATGTGATGGTGGTATAGATATTATAATATATAAGAGGCAAACATTCTCTAAAAATATTCAAGAGGAACACTTGACAAGGAAGGATGATGAGGTTAAGTGGGAAAAATTTCTGATTGGTCCCACGAAAAAATTGTAAAATAAAACAGACATCGAAATTCTAAACGATAAAAAATTGAGTGAGAGAAAGAGGAGTAGACACTTCTTCTCTGGCAAACAAATTAAGGTTTATCATTAGAATAAATTTATTGGTTGTTTAAACCTAGATAAATCATCAGTTAAAACGTATTATAGTTTCTATTCTAGGAACAAAAAATATATGTAGGAGGAAAGGAGATGAGATCAGCACACGGCCATAGAAGTGGCATTATCACCATGTAAGGTTATTTTAAAGAGCATCACATTCACAAGTTCTAATTAAACGCTGTTCCCTGCTCTTGTATTTCTGCATGAGAAGTCTACGGAATACAAAATTACAACGAGGAAAAAAACTATCTTTAATTGCGAATTTCCTAAAGAACCACGACACTAAAAGCCAGAACACTACAGCATTTGTAGCATGTCTTACTCTAATAGCTATTTTGCAGAGCGCTAGATCCTGTACAGGGCACCTGGGTATTACAGGAGTTACAGCTACGGCGCTCATATCTCGTCATGCAGCACAATTTCTCAGTTGAAACTTGAAAGTTTTCATTTGTTAGACCAAACGACCGCGCGAAATAACGAAGCTTTCATGGGATCGGAATGAAAAGTCTTGATGGTTGATTTATGGTAAGTTTTACGCGGTCATGTACGCCTTTTGTGTCAACGCAGCCATGGCTAATAACTCTTTTAAACGAAGCTCAGTACTTATGAGCGCTTAAATATGAAGTAATCTATATCAAACGACGCGATTATTCGAATAAAATCCTGCCAAAAGTTTATATCGTGACAGGATAAATTAATAAACAATTTCGACTCTGCTGTGCTGTAACAATTTGCCGCCCTGATTATTTTCGTATTTTTACAGCAGCTTATTGATGGAAAAATGAAAACGATTCAAATATTACAAAACTCAGTTCCTTACGAAAACCGTCAACAAAAGCTCTCAGCACTAATTTCGAAAGCGTCATAGCCTTTTTTTTTTTTGTTCTCTGACGAAGGATTTTTAAAAATATGTTAATATGGGTATGGTTACGTTTGTAACTTAGGGAAATACTATTGTACTTGGTTAGAGTTCAAAATAAGTACAACACAAACAAGGTGTACACCATACCAACAGAGACAGCAAAACGTTTATAACGTAACAAACAATCTGTTATAACAACACCCACTGAAAAGAATCATAGAGTAGTGGACAGCTAAAAGACTGACCTCTTGGAACCTTAAAATTAAAATAGTCTTCAACTTCAAACTTTACACTTGTTGCGCGCGTGTCCAGCTGCTAGTCGTATTCAAATGATGAATTAAAATGACAAGATGTAGACATGCGAATTCAATAGAATCAGAACAGTCCGATATACAGAGATCGGTAGAACTTCAGTTCCAAGCAGCGGTCGTGTATGAGTAATATTGACGAACGCTTATAATTTTTATCGTACAAATTAAGTTACGTAGTTCATATGTGGAATGTTGTTTCATACAAAAATCTATGCATCAGGGGAATGGAATTAAAAAAATAACTTTCTTCTTTAGAAGTTATGTAAGCAAACGTCTAGCTCACGTTGATTAATAATTAAGAGCCCGGACAAAAGACATGAACCAAAACGCTGAGCAGATGGGGACGAGCGATGTGACGCTGGCTCTTCTCTACACTCCAGAAGTGCAAGTCCCTTGTCGTTCCAAGAGGCCATTTAGGGATGACGGGGCATATTTTAAGAGGGAAACAAGTAAGAGGAGGAGGAGGGAAGGTGTCCAAGGGAAATATTAAGGATTGAAAAAGAGCTGCTAAGAAGCTAATAAGAGTTCACATGTTAGTTCTCATGAGCATCTAATATTCCGCGATGGAACTCTAAGACAAGGAGAAGAAGGAGGCTTGCTCTATGCGGGCTCCAGACCGGTAACAACTTCAACAGACTCACCGAAATAAGAGTAAAAGTGCTGCGAAGAAAGACTGAAAGTTGTTATGTCTGTTAAAATCGGTGTCTGGATCAAATTTCATATTGCCAAAAACCTGAGGCACAACGGAAGCGGAGAGGGAGAAAGGAAAAAAGGACATTGGTCAGGAGTCTTCCTTAGCAGAAATACAACAAAATAATAATTATTGTACAGTAAACACTGAAACAATCTGAGGAGGAATGGTTTACAGCACCTGCAGCAATTAGTTTACTTGTAACAATATTATGAACAACTTCGTGGAGTGATTGTAAAGAAGGCTCATCTGAGTAGACTGTCGAAGAGTTCCACCCTATTATATATAGGCCCAGATGAAGAAATGCATATCTCCTTGAAAAATTCATCGTTAGCATGGAGTGTGAATTAACTGAGTATATAAGGATGATGGTTTAGTTGGAATAAAGGATGCAATGCGACCTCCATTTTTCCAGTCTTCACGAATGGAGTAGCGAAAAATCACAGGCCATATTTGCTGACAGGAAGACGTCAAGACTTGCTCGTCGAGTGGGAGCATTGGTGAAACTAAAAATAATTTTATGTTGTAATAAACATTACAAACATTTGTTGTAATAAACAAATAAACATTACATCTTATGTTGTAATAAAGATAAAGGTATTTCTATATTGAATATTCTCCGCTAAGGATCCTCGATGTAAGTGCAAAGATATTTTAGAGCTCGGATCGATAAAGGGCTAGTGTGACCATCATCAACGAAACGAATGATGGCAATAACTATCCTGAGAAGGCTTAGACAAATCACACTTTAATTAATCGATCACGCTTTAATTGAGACAACCGCAACAAAAAATTATTCCAGTCAATCCTTAAAATGTTAAAGCCACTGTAGATTATTTAATTGAAGTCTCCAGGGGACAGTAGTCGCCAGTCCATTCACCTGTTGGCGCGAGTAACAGCGCTGCATCTGCAACCATCTTCCCGAAAAATCATAAAAATTTACAATACACATTATGCGATGAATTCCAATAGTGGGACACGTTGCATGATAATAAATAGAAAAACCAATATGTCAGCACAATAAATATGAAGTCGATGGTAGGATTTTACTGAGCTGATATTGAGGATTGGTAAAATGTATTGAGTAATGAAACAAGTAAGTGAAGCGTTAGAAGTGAATAGAAGAGACGTTGCATTGTCGAAACAGATTGAAATGTCAATATTTCTCAACTTCTGCTGGCTTAACACTCGTCACTGAATCCTTACTTTTAAGATTTAGTTGAAACATATAATACTTCATTGAAACGACATAGTGAAGGGTTTCTCTAGTAGTAATAGTTTTAACATAGCAAATATTGGGAGTCAGGAAAGGCACCTGCAGTAAATAGTTATCTCTATAAGCCGTAAGAAGCCGTTTATTTTACTCAAGGTTTCCCAAGTCTGGAAACCTCGAAAAATGAAGAGACTCAGAGAAAACATGGCTGTCAGCTGCAAGGAATACCATTATTATCCATGACATCGGAGACATACCTGCTTGAATAAGAATTAGAGATTATTGAGAGAAGCTATAGAACAAACGACAGAGGCACTGGCTCCCAAGAGCCGTTATTTCTGTTATGGCAGGAATATAACTGAAGTTACGGATAATGATACACAGAGTAAGCAATCGGCAGAAGTGATGCCTTTCAGCAACATATGAAGGATCAGCCATTTTTTGCGTGATAAATTACGAGATGAATTATTTGCTCTTCATAAGATAAAATAGGCGCAAATAGATTAGACATTCGTATTTTAAGTTAGGAAAAACAGAAAATTGAAAATGTATTCTAAATTAGGGAAATCAGCAAATTGTTATTATGTAACGGTAGTATTAATTAATATTTATTAGAGCACATTCAAAATTGAATATTTGGCAATAAAATTTTCTTATGATACCTTCTTGAAAGCTGTAAAAACGCGAACAAAGGCTGAAAATTAGGCCCTAAAATTATTGAAGATAATTTTTCCGTTCAGCTGATACTAACTCAAATATTTCAAAATAATTCACAAATAAACCAATATTATATAATGTACGAACTCAGGGAATAAAGTTCAAATCGTAAACTATCGAGAAAACGAGATTTATTTTTAAAATCAGATTCATTAGCTTGGTAAATATTGAAATGTCAGCTCAATTTTGCTGTGCACTGAATCCAGTGTGCTCAATTTTACTGAGCTCAATTTTAATCCAGCACTGAAAAATTTAAAGAAACTTCATATTCCATAAAAAGACCATTAACATAATTCTCAACACAAAACATCTTTTGATTAAGATAGACAGCGACAATTTAAATATTCATTTTTTCATACCAATACTAACTACCAATCAAGTATGGCTTTAAACAGTCGTTCTAATAGATATATATATATTTTGACGTACCTAGATTTCAGAGGTTTAAAAAATATATTTTTCCTACTATTAACTTGTCATAATTATTTGTTGTTGTTCTCCTTACCTGCATGCCGATGATGGCGTAGATGAAGAAGAGAATGACAATAAGCAAACAGACGTAGGGTAGAGCCTGTGAGAAGAACGAGATGTACATGTCACTCAATGATACGTCAACTGCATTAAAAATTTTTTAAACAATGCTTCACTTAAATATTAATTGTTTCAGATAATTATCCTAAAATATTACTTGGTATAGTGGCTTCTCAACATCGTAGAGATTATGGCTTTATTCAAGCTATAAAAAATACATATATATAATATATATATAAATATAATATAAATAAATAATAATATAATATAAATATAATAAATAATAAATAATATAAATAAATAATATATAAATATAAAATATATCGATAAAAATACGCCAAACATAATTGTTGTCGGCGTTGACATGCAAGGACTTCAACTAGCTTAACTTGAATGAATTTAACGATGATTTCAAAGTTTCCAGTCAAAAATCTATGCAGTCTATGCAAAAGTCTATGCCGCGATGCTACATGCAGCTATGAATTTGTAAACTACAAAATTCGTTCGGACGCTGAAATTATTTTAAGAAAATTTTCAAGTTTTAATTTTTGACCTGTATCCACTATAGCCATTGCTTGTAGTTAAGTCACTTCGAAATTTAAAATAAAAGACTTGTAGAGGTTTCAATTACTTTAAAATTAGTATTCGAAACTTAATATTAAATGGCATTTAGTAACCTGCTTTTTGATCTCCCAGTGCCAGCAAGAAATTTCGTTCGACTCATTGAGAAATCAACAAGACAAGAAAATCGGTAACATAAAAGCATTCTCTGGTATAAAAATACCAGAGAATATAAAATAAAATATATATAAAATAATAATAAATGCTTAATAATAATTAAGTAAATAATAACAATAATAAATAAAATATAAATAAATAATATTTAATATAATATATTTAATAATAATAATAATATAAATAAAAATAATAATATTTAATACATTAATTAAAAAGCATATGCTAGGACAGAAGGTAATAATGTGAAATGTTATCATATATTAGCTAGGCTTACCTTAAAAGACTGTATAAAAGTCCAGAGGAGAATGCGTATGGTGTCTCCTTGTCTCAGGAGTTTGATGAGACGGGCGGCGCGAAAGAGTCGCAGGAATCTCAAGTTGATGTAGCTATTCGACTGTAAAAATCATTTGCATTACAGGAAGACGAATCGAAACATGGATAAAGGAAAAATGAACATAGAAGCTAACAGAAAACAAAATTTAGTTGAAATTTTTGCCTGAAACTATCGGGATCAAGAAAATTTATATTGCATTATTTTGTAGGTAAAGGTAGGAGAAGGGCGAAGAAGTTTTTTTAGATGTAGATTCTTAGAGTAGGCAGAGGGAGACCATAAAATTCATATGTAGTTTGGAGAAGATTCTTAGTGACTACCTAAAATAATATTTGCATTTCATATAAACTGAACTTTGTATTCTGGACAATTTTCTTAATTATAGAAGTACCCGTGAAATCATTATTTGTTACGTTTGTAAGTTCAAACGAATTTAGTGACTTAGTTCGCTTGACAATGACTATCCTCTTCATGAGAACGACTTGCCACTCCAGCTCCGTGGCTCAATCAAGATTCAATCAGTTAAGCTCTGTGAAATTCATAAAAAATATCAGCCAGTCCATAAAGTTTGTACATTTTTTGCTATACTCTTGTATGAAAGAAACCAACCATAAAATTATCTTACAGGTTAAGGAACGGTGCAGCATTTTTAATGTACTGTTAACATGCTAATTCAAAAACTTGACCAATGTGCATGCGAGTCAATTGAACAATTTGATGGTATTTACATGCAGCATCAGCTCAAGATAACTCACTTGTTACGTTAGGAAATGGATCATTCCAGCAAAATTTACGGGTACAACAACTAATGTTTCACGAATAAAAGTATGGTTCATGTACGTTTCAGCATGAAGATAAATCTGGCGAAATATCACATTAACGCTTTAACAACGCTAGAAAATAATTGGAATTAGATTATAGCTCAGAATTAAGGGCTGATTGAGAGCCTTTCGTCCAGATTCTATTTATATTTTCTACCGATTCATTCCATTAGCTCCTCTCTGTTAAAGGGAATATTGGGGATTTATAATATACATCTTTCTGAACCATGCACATTGAGAATTGAGAATTACGTGCTTTATTCATATGTCAATTCCCACACACTCAGTTGGAAGAGTGAACTGATATCTTGAAAATGATGGACAGCTCGTGCTATGGCGATACCTACTTATGAAGTAAAAAAGTGCAAAAGGGGACTATAGAAATCTGACACCGTTTCTACAATAAAATTAACTATTATTGCTTTATTTCTATTAAAAAACTCTAACTACGCCAAAATCGACCATGATAAGCAAACAGCGATGCTGGAGTTCAAAGTTTACCGTAATTACTTGTTCTATGATTAATATACGAACTGATTAGCAAGAATTGATACGCTTGCAATATGGTTTAAGAAATACTATTTAGTCAAAAAAATTAGTCTAAAGGTCTTTTGGAAATCTCTGATAGCTGGTTGCCTCTAACGTCTGATTGTGTCCGAACCAAAATAGCAGAACATAAGGCAGGCAGAAGAGGTATCCTAATAACTACGGTGTCTTGATGGCTTTTGTTGGGTTTCACATGGCATGTAGAACTGAGATGCTCTTATATGTTAACTATGCTTGCTGTTAACAGCACTATTATTTAACCCTGCATCGAGCAAGTGATATGAATTATTATATTTTTGCGTTCTTTCTAAGGCCAACGTCAAGAAATTGAAACTTGATAAATTTATTGCAGTTAATTCAAATTACTTGCTCGACTCAGGGTAAATCTTCTGCCATCAACGCGTGCAAATAACTCTTTTCCATAGCGGCGAGGCATACAATTTGAGAAATTGAATATATTCATTTTAAGTAAGACCAATGTCTGTATAACTTGCGGAAAAAATAGGTAATGTAGCCGTAAATTTGAACTTGACTACCATTCTAAGTCGCAATGTTTCAAAAACTTTCATTAAGTCTTCTTTGGGCGAGTGTATAAAGAAAAGCGATAATTATAATTAATCTGTAATTACTAAACCTCAGTTCAACAGATAATGTATTTTTAATTTTATTTATAATCATAATAATGCAAGGCCGCAATGATATAAACGTTATTGATGTCAATCTTTTCAGTTATGCCATAATGTTAATTGAGATTCCGGATCATTTAATTTACAAGGGAGCATTTGCAGTCGCTGAGCAGTGAAGGAAGGAATATTGCTAAGTGACTTGACGTCGAGAAATAAGTTTTAATTAAGAATAGAAGTTGATATCTACAGAGAACCCTTGTTTGCCTCTTGCTTACCACGACATCTGCGCCCTCCGCGCGCTGTGTCAAGAGGTGCATAAGAATCCAGAAATGATCGAAAATGCAGCGATAAATGCGAACCATGTAGCCAATGAGAAACCATAGGAGTTGGTATAATAACAGCAATAAAAGCACATAATAATGCACGTTAATGGGCGACGAACTTGTCCAAATTAAACATGGGACTAAACAGAGCACATGAATAACTTAAATTGTTGTTCACTGAGAACGATGACGGGCAAATAAATTTTATCGAGCTGTCTTTGCAACCATATTGGAACAATAAATCTTCTGGGAACCTATAGAACCTCGATATCATGATTAAGCATAACTCATTCGTCGCACACTTACGTGTATTATAAACGGTCAATGTTGACAGAGACAAAAAGATATGAATTACTTATTTTTGAGAAATAATTGAGATTGGCATGAGCTTGAATTGTCTGAACAAAATATTGAACCATTTAACTCAATATAAAAGCATAAGCTGAGCTGTAATTCTGTGATGTAATTCAGCAACGGAGACATGACAAGTCCAGGTGCATCAGCCTTCTTCGCCTCAGATAAAAAAAAAAAACAAGAAATTATTTCATGCAGCAGCCACGCCGAATAATAGCAGATATTATAACTGTTACTAAGATATGTTTCCGAAATAACTCAGATATTAATATTATATTATTATTATTATTAAATAACTCAGATATTCAGATAACTGTTTCTGAAATAACTCTGATATGTATTTACTGTTACTAAGCTGCGATATTATTAAGCTGCAAATATTGCAAGTGATGTTATTGACGAATAATTAAGGTGATTTGTGGGAAAACTTTTATTGATAAATTTAATTCTTAGAAGTTTCCCGAATATAGACAAAAATGGAGGTCTCTAACATCTTTTTAAGTTAGGTCTTGCTTACGAAATCTAACTGAATCGTTCTATTGAAATTAGCGTAAATATGACCATTTCAAATGAGTTTTAGTTCTAGGTATCGTCATAAAGTATATAATTGATTTCGTTTTAAACAAATTGCAACAAATTGGAAAATAAGTTCTTTTAAGCATAAGGCAATATATGCCAATTTAAATTAATCGGTCATTTCGAAGAGACGAAAAATGCGATAATATTTGCAATAGCTGTTTCCATGGAAAAAACAAATAGAAAAGTGCTCCAAATTAACACAGAAAGCCATTCCAAATGGATTGGTGCTTAGAGTGCCAATGAAGCCAAGATCAAAGCATAATCGTCACCGCTTATATATTTAACAATAAATAGCAGCGAAAATAGACCAAGAATACATGTATATCGAGGCTTTCTCCTACATAACAGCTGTCCCGTCTTACGTGGCAGTCCAGCGGTGCTATCAAAGGCCGTCTATATATGTTAACTCATGGTTGAACTATACAAGGTTGACCCACGAGAAGTTCCGTCTTTCAGTTCCGCTTTCTTGTTACGTCACGTAGATCGAGAAACGTAAACAATCCTGTCATTCCCATGACGGATTGGTTGACTGGTTTGATCGCATTTCGGTGATTGGTTAATGCCCGTGACGTCACTGAGATCAGTGACGTCACAGGCGAACAACGAACTACATCCGCATAAATGGGCTTCTCATGGGTCAACCTTACACTAGTTCAACCATGTGTTAACTCATCGCAAGCACTTTTACCCGATGAGCAAACGTTAGAAACGCGTGCAAGTTAGCGCCAACAAGTGTGCCCGTGTAAGTCGCCTTGAGTCATTTTATTGTGTGACATTTGTCAATCCAATAGATTTAATTTTCATGGTGATGAAGGCATATGTCATCAAAATTCACAACGTACGCTTTTATTTGCGTTCATTGAAAAACTCTAATATCATTTAAAGTAGTCCGGGATATGGGGATGCAATTATATAATAACTCACTAATAATTGCCTTTGCTATCACCCAATCTTCAAGCTCTCCGTAATTCGGGGAGTGAGTGTTTATATGTACGGAACAGTATCAAAACTAGGGTGTGAGGTCAATAAGTTCATCAATAGGAGCAGATGAGTGAGTTCAGTCAAAACAACGGCCTCTGATAGTGCGATGGACATTAATTGCATTGAGAAACATGGGTTTTTCTCATGCAATATGCATCACTGCGCGGAGCCACGCGTGCGGTCAACACGATATAATCTAATTTTCGGTTCCAGAGTGAAAGTAATTATTCAAGTGTAAATAGCTCAAGTTATTCATTGATGATAATTTCAATTGAACACGACCAAATAAACACTTACTAAGAATAATAAACATCAACTTGAGAATACATTTCGGAAATTAATTTTAAATAGTGAGAAGCGTTCAGCCAAAGTGATGACACAAATGCTGCACTTAAATATAACCGCACGGATTCGGAAAAAACAAAACATTACATAAATGAAAGGAAGGCAATGATGCACGGAAAGTGATGGTACCAATTAAATACAAATGTTTAGGCTGAAGCATCTCAATCTCAGCAAAACTCGCTCTTCTCGCAATTTCAGTTTAGAATTCCACTTTGGAATGCCGATGCAAATATAAATACAAACACTACAGAATATTTCTCTGTATCTCAATCGCACGAAGTGAACGATGTATTTTTATTACATGTACACTCATTATTTGGTAATCATAAGCACATATAGTTTCGTTAGACTTCAATATTTGAAGGTTGTTGACGGCGATATCTGATTTTGCAAAGAATGAGTCTGGGTGAGATGCTGGCCTGCGAGTTCTAAACCTAAACAGTAAAGCTTTATTTGGATAAACTTACCCCAAATTCGACCACGAGGGCATCGATAATGGATCCCACGACACATATGAAGTCGAATGTGTTCCAATTGTCCTTGAAATAATTCTAAGAAAGGGAGATCACAAGAAATTGAAATGGTTAAATGACCTGCCTACATAATCCCGATTCGCTCAGTGCGCTCCGGCCAACAGAATTCTTAGACATAATCTCTTCTGAAATTTGGATGAAACGTAGGGGCATGAATAGAATTTTTTCACCTAAACATCAAATTTTTAGTAGGAACGGAAATCGATAAAGTCTACAGTCCGCAGAATTAAAATCATTAGTTTAGTTAAGTTTAAACTCGAAATTCCCTAAAGGGTAATTTAAAAATTTTGAAAAAAACTCTCTCAGTCTTGGGCATAGACTCAATGCAAGCTTTATCAGAAATTGGACCAAATTGGATGAACATAGACTGAATTGAATGCACGTTGAAAAAAATTAATTAATACTTAGTTTCGCTTTCAGTTGATTTTTTGTTCTAGGAAAGTATTCAGTGAAATAAATTAGCAAATGGTATTGGCAAAATCATAACGTATTTTGACCATTTTTTGAAGGAGTTCATTCATAGTTTAATTTCATTATATGTATCACCATGATATTTTATCGATAGTATGAACGGATTATGAGTATGACCGTATCATTCTATGGATAGTTTAACGCTTTATGGGACTAATGATTTGATGAAACCATCAAATTCTTCTGATGGTTTGAATGTACTTTAGGCATAAACATAGAATTCTCATAATAGTTTCAATCATTTAGGGTTTCGCCATATAATTATTTTTGAATAATTTTTTTGAAATTTGACAGAACGCATTGAGTGCCGAGCCTTGACTGCTCATTAACTTTCTTCTTTGTTGTCAAAAGAATTGCGGACTCATTAACTTTTTTCTTTGTTACCAAAGGAATTGCGGACGCGAACTGTGCAGTCCGGAGCGCACCGAGAGGCGGGATATCATGATTATATTTCAACAGAGAATGGTTGGGTTAGTCAAATATTTTTCATGATAAAATTATGTCATTATATATGCATGAAAAATTTAGCAAACATTGAGCCTAAAATCAGTAATATTAAACTAAATTATACAAATCAAATAATTAGAACGGATGAATTTCACACAAGAAAATGAGTAATGTAGGTATGAAAATAGTGCTTGGAATAAAAAAATTCATGCAAATAGAAACTGAAATAAAAGCAATATGAGGAGAAACTGTGATGTAGCAATACATAGCCAATATAAAAGAATAATAAATAATTATCGGATGACAGGATTTTAAGCCAAAATTAAAACGAAAGAAAGATTTGGAAATCGAACGTGTGTTGTCGACTTTGGTTCCTTCCTAAAATTAAATGAAGAAAATCGTGTACACCTTTATTCGTATGTTTTATCCATGTGTATTTATTATCGTGAATGTTAACTTCAATTTGAAACTAAGCGTAGTACGAATTTATACTGGAAAACTAGCTTTAAAATTAAACTTAACAGCCCTTCCAGCTGAGGCGACACTATCGAAACTATACAGGAAAAAACTCAGGATTTCTAAGCAAAGAAAAAGTCTGTCGTAAACGTTCTTTGAACGAAAAGTTTGAACGTAATTTCGAATAATTTATTATTCATTAACCCCTCAGGTCTGAAGCGTTCGGAGCAGCTAATAAGAGGCAGAACCTAATCTGTGGAGCGGGCTAGCAGTGCCGTTCACATCAGCGAATCTTTACACAAATTCAAACTTGCGATTTAAAGAGAATTAAAATTTTTCGTGGAAGATGCGACGTTTCGATGGCTCTAGAGAAATAAATTATCAACTATAAATGGATTTTTTTCTCGAAATTTCAGTGCGTTACAGTATTTTAAACCATAAATAGTAACTAGACACACAGCTTGAGATATTTTGGACTGCGTTACACTTCAAAACGAGTGTAAGTTTCATGTCTTGAGGCTCGAGTTTAACTCGCAAGAACATTTAAAATTATTTACTTTATTTTTCATTAATCCAAAGATAGTTTAATGTTGATAGCTACACCCAGCCAATGTTATTTATTTAGTTTCGTTATAAAATTGAAACTGAACAAAGCAAATCTCAAAGCTAGTGGTACTTAACGTAAATTTTATTTTTTGCCCCTGTATGTTGACAACAATTTTTGAAACTCGGTAGTACTTCATATATGTTTTATTTCATTTTTAATGCAATGTTAGTACCGTAAATAAAAGTTGATCTTTTGTTTGTGGAAGGACACTAGAAATTTATGAAGAGAATCGTCCATGTGAGCAGTGATGAGCGTCGCGGTAACTCACTGTTGCATGTAGAGGTAGAATTTGTTGCTGAATTAAGAACGTTTTCGAAACCTTTAATTGTTAGCAAAAAGTGAATGAAAACAGAAGAAATAATCTTACAATAAAGGAATTATCGAGTCACTTGTGCTAACGGAATGGAATATTGGGTGTGATAGTATCGGTATTGCCTAGAGGCGACTCGGAGACGGAGGACGACGAAGGCGGCACATCAGCGTGACCAGGGACTAGGAAGTCCCGAAATCATCATAAGGTTTTAAAGATATTCAGGGCAGGAACTGAGGAGCCTATCTTTATCTTTGTTCTATGCGAAACGGTTGCATTTACAAAATTTAATTTAGCTTTTTTGATACGGGGTTAAATGGGGCAAATACAAATAAAATAATAAACCAAAATTTGTTTTTTTGCAAATTTTTTTTTTGGCTCAAAAAAGTTGTGCACGATTAGTACTCGAGAGATTAGATTAATAAGCCGCGTTTTGATTAAATGGTAATAATTAGACAGTAGGAGACAAATGTAGGGAGAACAGCACACAACACTTTACTAATTAGGACGCAAACTACAACATAGGGAATGAAGTACCACATTCCAAGGAAAAGTTAGGGAAAGGAAAAAATGATAATATTCATATTACGGTTACGAAGAACCTGATTTAAATAAGTCCGAAAGTTATAAGTTTAATAAACAAATTCTTCTCCACTGAAATATTTAATAGGCTCGTAAACAAATACAAAACTGTACGCAAACTGCCCACGATTGAGGCCCTAGGAGATAAAACTCGCAAATGAATAATGGATTTCCGTGTTCATTATTTAGACTTTAATTGCCTGTATATCTCTTAGGAAAAACATCGGGAAATCTCGGGATAAGTTTGAGTTGAAACAGATGGTTCGATAAATAAAGGAGTATTACATTAAGAAGAATCGCCTTAATTTTCAATTAAGTTGGATGTAAAAACTGAAATACAGAATTTAAAAAGCTTTGATGCAAAATTGAAACGGAAAATGAAATTTCGAGGATCTAATATTCTCAGACGATAACCTACATAGGAATGCTATTAAACAAACGACGAGGGCCCGAGCGATAGAAGAAAATAGGTTATACAGCGCGGACGCTACACTGTTAGAAAAAACGGTGGAAAGACGGTCCCACCGGCGTTCTAGTGGCCGGTCGCCCCATGAAAATAAACTGTTTCGCCGTTTTTATCAGATGTTTTACGGATTTCTAGTGTTAAATTAAAATAAAAACTGCAATGCCGCGTTTCTTTTCACGTGCCGACCGGCCACTGAAACGCCGGTAATACCGTTAACGGTAATTTTTCTAACAGTGTACATACAGTAGAACGCTAGGCACATCAAAAAGGAAGATTAGTCACAAGACACGCCATTACAATGACTGGACATTCACAAAAGGAAGGGATACAGGTACATGGGATTATTAATGAGAGATGTCGAATTTCAAATGATTCAAGATGGGGAGAGAGGAATTTTAGCATCCAATAAAGTGCAAAAACTTCAAATTAAGAATAAGTCAGCTAGTTTCGACGAACAAATGAGATACGACATCAGACTTTAATAGTAGGCACATAAATATGGATCAATTATCCGTTGATCGCAATAGTTACTCTGATGAAATTATTGTTCGTTGGTGGAATTTGACTCCTACTGCAAATTAACGTACTAACGAGGGGAATTGGATCGCCACTATAAGCACTACAGCATGAAAATTACTGCAATTAGGATTAGGTTCGATCCTTGCGAGCAGAAAAGTTCAACGTTCGTTGATTTCACGGTCGGATCGGTATGTTTTTATTTAGATATTCTTTTCAGATTAGGGAAATTATTTGTCGAATAAATTAATATTTAAATAAAAATTAAATTATTGTAACCATCATGTAAGTCGGTGTGAACAGTTTATTAAATGAATAACTAAAGCTACCCACACCAAAAGAAATCATTCTCGAATGCTCTGATAGGTCATAGATGAAGAATGTTGGACAATTCTAAATTGTCGATCAGACTGTTCCAGTTTCAGTTTTTCAAGTACGACATCTAGTCGAGTATAGTAATCCTGATTCAAATTGCAATATCGACAAATGCGAATAACGATATTTGGGAAACAAATTAGTATATTTTTTTCTGTAAAATTGTGAATGAAATTAATATACAATGATAATAGAAAATCATTAGAAAATTTAATTTCAAAAATGAAACGTAAAATATGCAAAAAAACCGTACCAGAAATATAAAGCGAAGAGCAAAAAATTAGAGAAGTCAAGGCTGAGGTCGGGAAGTAATTTGAAAGTAAATATGGGATCATGGAACACGCATAAAGTAGGAAATGAAGCAGTGCACTTGCTATTTGGAAACAGAATAGAATAATAGTGGGAAAGAATGCAGTTAGGGGGTGAATACCGTACCCTTTCAAAGGCTATCATTTTCATCATACACTCAATGAAGAAGGCGGCAGTGAACGCTAGGTTGAAGTAGGCCAAAACTTCCTCCAAGACTACATCCGAACGGTAGTACTGTGATAACAAGCAATGCATGACTCGTCAAAATCGGGGGTCAGCTCAATAAAAAATTCTCATCGACACAACCATGAGGATGTAAGAAACTTTAGTACCACTTTCTATGTAGAAAACGTTCAATTGGAAATTAAATTGTTCAAATTCAAGTCTTGTAATTTGCTATCATAGCATCACAGGCAAATGGATGGAAAAAAAGTGGGACATCTATGCAAAATCCACCTTATTTTCTACTAAAACAGCCATCCATAATTTTAAACAATCAACTTCGAAACCATGAAGGCTATGATGGATTCATCACCACCACAGCTCGGGCAATGCATCCATAAAAAGCACAGTCCGCTCTCTTGACGAAGGTTCAGAGAGTAGAGCAGCTCGGAGCTGCCAAACTGATATCCCTTAAACTGCGTAAATAATAAATACTTGACCCAAACTGTAACCCGTATAACTGGTTCAAGTTTACTGGAAATGAGAGAAAGGCGCTGGGCACAAGAAAAAAAGAAATTCAGTAATCAAAATGGTTCCTCAGTAATGAGTTCAGACGATTGCAAAATATATTATATTAGCCTTGACGCGACGAACTATTAAGCCGAACTCAAACCTTTATTTAGGGGATGAGATGACGCTGCGTACGCATCATTAATTTGACATGAGAACCAGCTGTCCCAATGAGAGGCTACCCTTTGAAAAAAACGAGTATGCTTTCATTTTGATATTATACAAAATTTCCATCAAAATGAAATGTTGCCATCCCTCATCGACTTCCGCAATGTAGGCAATATTCAGTCAGCAACTGAAATTCTGATAAGTTTTGGGATTTTCTGCGATACGAGATGAACCGCAAGAAGCTTTCCTGAGGGCGCTCCAAGACATCGAACCAAATAGTCCTTTATCCTTGAACGATGTGGAAAGAATGAAAATTTGAGGGAAAGGATGGCCACTATTAGAGAAGAAAATACATTTCGTTTAATTAGAATCAATGGTTATCATGATACAAGAGTACTCATTCCGGCACAGATGTAAAGGGAAAGGCTTATTTTAGTACTGGGGCGGCCAGGGTAAACCATCAATTAAATACTAGTAACTGTTTACAGCTACGACGCGTGAAAAACCGTTGCCCGAAGAGATGCGTTGCCTCGTCTACCTAAAAGATTAAAAAAGTGTATAAAAAGTTCATTTATGCCACTACTCAAAGAAGAAAACGACTCAAGGCTTCCAGTATCATGCAAAAAAACGTCAAGAGTGTTTGTTTCTCATGCGGTAAATTGAGTAAACTAGACTTGACGCCTTCGATTGGTGTTAGTTCTTGGGTCCGCCGGCCCTCTTCATAATTGAAATAAATGTTTAGCTTTATTTCACTCTTTATACTTTCATCTTTTTTTTAGTTTTAGTGCAAGCCTTAGGCATTTAAGAGAAAAACGCCTAATTTTCATCAAACCAAACTGTGTCAAATCTAATTCACTCAAAATACATTGAATTCAAGAAGATCAGTAAAGGTTCAAAGTTGGTGCGGCGAGCAAGCAACAAAGCGAAGAGCGCAGTGGACAACAAACATAAGGAAAGGTTAACCATTCATAAAAATCATGCAAAATTTTTCAATGCTTGTTCAAGTGTTACATAATTTCGCTAATGTATCAAGTGGCTCTCATCTGTAAAGATGTTCGGTAAAAATTCATGTTATTAATCTGCGACATAGGCGTTTTATTTGTTAACTAATATATTACCTATCGCTCCCTAAAATCGTGATTGGTTGACAAGTTTTCTTTCGTAGTAAAGTGAAAACCATGTGATAAAAGATAAGGAGCAAAAGAGTGAAGACGAATATAAAACTAGCAAATTTTCTAGAATGATAAAGTAGGGTGAACTGAATTTCGTGGAGAGACTGCAAATAAACGAAAAGTTCTAGTTTGTAAGAACTGATGTAGTGTGACTTTGGTTGCTTACCCGGATTCCAAAGGCCGAAATCTTGAGCATACATTCGATGGTAAAGAGCGCGGTGAAGAAAGAGTTGAGGTAGTGCAGTGACCTTTGATAGATCTTCGACTGATTATGAAACTAAAACAAAGAGGGAGAAAGGGAGACAATATACAACACTGAGCAGCTTTAAGCCATGGTGACATAATAATAATAATTTAAAACATCGGGATTGTGTGGTGCGAGTTGGTCGCTTGATTTTCATGAAAAGTACGAAGTAATCTTAGCCCGGAACACAGAGGTTTAAGTCAACATTAACATCGTTCATTAATTTCGTACCTTTTTTATTGTGCGAAATAATCAAGTGAACGCTAAACGACAATTACGTGAACGTAACAATGACACGTCGAAAAACAATTACGTGAACGCTAAAAATAACTTTGATTGTAACGATTTTTCAAGTGATTAAGAAAATAATCTCACCATCTCGCATCACTGTAGCATCCCAAAACAAATTCGATACTCATATAGAAAAGGAAGCAACACAGAACCTCACTGATGGCCACGTGAAGACATTATAATAAAAGTGACGACACATCAAAAAAATTACTTATCGATTAGCGTTTCAGAGACAAGTAAAACTTCAAAAGTATTCTTACTTTACAATTACAATTTATATAACGAAAATGAATTCACCTCGCAATATTTGGAAACAGGAAAGCCAAGAGGCTACACTTAAAATAATAGCAAAATATCGTGGGTTGACGTATCATCTTGCTGCGGCAACGACCATCTTGACTATCCATCATTAAAGATTATCCAAAATATTTTGTTTAAAAAGTGAAATTAGATTTCAAGTACACATTCAATTTTATAAAATTCAGGATAAGAATTAGAAAATTGCGTGGTAAGATTGCTGTTGTAGTTTCACGACTGAAGCAGGGATCTTGCAGTCGAGCGAGCCGACAGCAAGTGTTGAGGAAGGCCTTGGGCTTATATCCAAACCCTCAAAAAATCTCGGCTTTTTAGAAATACGAGTCAAGATTTCCATGAGGGAGGTTGCGGTTAGTGCAGGAAATCCTTCAATTTACGCAAAATATTGCAATGAAAAATAAGCATAATTTTGAATTCATTTTTAAGAGACGCGAGCTTGTAGCACCGACCACAGGCGCCATCTTGTCCGGGAATTGCTAAAATGACGCTTAGTCGGAGCGAAGCTAAAAAAAGCTTGCAAACGTAGCCAGAATGGACAAAAACATAAATTTTGATTGAATTGTTCATGTCATTCTAAGCTGGAATCTGTTGTAGGTTTCAACATTATATGCGCAAATTAAGTTAAGCTGAATTGGTCAATAAGCTAAGCTCAACTTCATATCACGTACAATTCACCACATTCGGTAAATTGCACAATTTGAGTTTCAAACAACTGCCTCGCATTTCTAATGAGAAAATGAGGTCATTTATAATTTATAGCATAACCTTATTTTAAAGTGTGGGAGTTTCAGTGGGAGTTTCAGGCTGTTGCATGCACTTTGGAAGTGACGAATGTTTCAAATGATTATTTGATATCGGGTCCAAGTGACCAACCGCTATCTGTCCATACTGAAGCGACATGCAAGCGTTGATAGATCATATTGCATTTAATGCAACTTTTAACCGAACATAAAACACTTTTCACACAACCAAATCAGTACATTCCTGGCTCTTGAAAATCTGGCCTACCTAAGACTGATGAGGATAAATTCTTGTTTGCAAAATTAAATAAGGAGTTAGTCAAAAGAAATTACACGTGGCAATAATACTCTAATTTAAATTTATCTATTTAAATGTCAATTGAGAGGCAAAAACATGTTCCTGCTCCCTATGGGAGCTCGAGATGGATCACCCCAGATTTTGGGTAAAAACTTATAGCAAGGATTTCAACGCCAAATCAATAAATGCGCGATGAAATTCATCGGATCCCAAGGCTATATGTAGGTCACCGAGAATTTAGAGTTTGGCCGAGAAACTTCGTTAACAATTTTCACTGACATTTTCTCTCTGATGTCGAAAAGTGTAAGTGCGACTGTAACAGAGAAGAGCGCAAGGTACAAAATTCAAATGCTGACAACTATAGTTTTGATCAATTAACGGCTCCTAATTTGACTGACCATGCGTCAAGTTCAGGAAAGAAGTTGAAAATATTTTTCGAAAATGTTAATCAGAAGAAGTGCAAACATTAGAATTTTTGACACCTATTACTGAGAAAGAATGTAAATGGAAACAAAAATAATCGATTATTGTGAAGTGCAGATCGACGAGTGGTCGGTGAGTCAATTCGGGTCTCTTGATTTTTGACGCGAGCCAAAAACCTGAAGTTAAGTCAAAATTTAATTTTGAGTAACAAAATTATGAATCGTATTCAATTGAAAACAACCAACTTTACCAGAAAAAAATAAAATGAAAAATACTGAACAGATACTGTCGTTACAAATTTGTTTGTAATTTGGAAGTCCTGATAACCCGATATGTTTTAAAGCTCGCGGCATCAACGAAGCAAACAAGGTATACGAGAGGTAACGATAAGCAAAGGACGTCTTGCGGAAATAAAAGAGATCGATAAATATACAGAAACACATAAAAACACATGTAATTTCCGTGTAGAAGAAGGGGTCACCCATAAGTGATCAGAGCAAATTGATTGCTCATGAAGTCAACTGTAAAAGAAGATAACCTGGTGAAAAAGTAATGCATGCAAGAATTGACCATTGGGTCCATTAACAAGAATTGACCATTAACAGACAGCGTGGTAAGAAGCAGCCGCTATTGTCGTCCGTTAATCGACGTTTACTCTACAACGGGGACAGCAACTGTGGAGCACTTGAATCATCCCGTGTTCTTTTCCGCAGTTAATAATTTAAGACAACTACAAAGAGGCCTACTTTAACGAAGTCATCAACATTACATCACCGAAAGGCATCAATGTAAGATCAAACAATCTGCATTTTTCCCCGGAAACATGAGTTTATAAATTCATTATGGAGATGTACAAAGTAAAAATTAACAGGCTTGTACGAGTTTTTGAAGTTGATAACTATTCACAAAAACTGGAGTATACGAAACAGATCATATGATTCCAACCCAAAAGATTCAGATGTAATTATAACCCACTGAATAATATTCTAGTCAAATATGATTCAGTCAATATTTGATATTTGACTCAATTATTACCGAAATATTTGGACGAGTTCAAAGTTTAGCTTTTAAATCTAGAACCGAGTGAAATGTCAGGTCAACCGACTAGGAAGGGCTCGTTTTAGCGGTGACATGATAGGTTGAGGTCCAAATCTGAGCGGTGAATTTGTATTAAGAAGAGTGGGTATGATTAATGTAGAAAGATAATGGAAAAATTGTCCTTAATCAGCGGCAGTCCATGTTCAAGAATGAGTTTTCAGGGAGAACGAATCGTTTAATTATTAACGATGCGAGTATGAATATACATATATGTGCGGCTTTGGCCATAACAGCCCATTTTGCGATCAATTTTAAACTTTCCTGAGAGTGTGTCAGTCGAAAGAAGAGTGATGCAGAGTAGTGAGGGGGACTGGTGCTAGCTCACGGCAACGGAACGATCAGGTTATATTATACTATCTAGTTACGTTATCTAGTTATGTTATCCAGTTACGCTATTATCCAGCCAGTTACGCAAACTGCAGTCCGCAACGAAGTTCCGATAATTGATCAGTAAAACAAATTACTTTATACAATAAATAAAAATGAAGTCAAGACACAATTCCAGTGGACGACTCCTTAAAGAGGTCAGTCACGGCTCAAGATAATTTTTCTTCCACCTTCATGCTTGTAGCTATGAAAATTCCATGCAGAAGATTCGTGTAAAATGATGCTAACACAAAATTTTGGCAATGGCAAGAAAAACAAATGAATCCCATTGCAATGACCTCTAATACAACTATTAATTGTTGCTCAAAAGAAGAGGACCCGGGGAGTGAGTTTGACCGAGTCTGTGTTCGAGTCGCCGATCGTTCCGTATGCCGGAAGCTATAACTGCATGGATGTGCAATGAACGAAGTGTCGGTGCTCCAGAGATACACATAAGACATGCGTGTGTAAATAAAATTATAAGAGATTATAGATATCAAAGATGTTGGTGGTCCGTTACATGCAGTCATAATTTTCGAGAGCGGCACTGAAATCTATAGTACCTACTGCAAACTTGAATAAATTTTGCTCCAAAATCTTAAACTCAAAGTAGCCTGGCAAATTAAGATGAATTCGGGCCATTTTCGCGGTAAAAAAGGGTCGATTTGTATTTTAGAAACGTATGAATAAAAAATATAACTCAGTACTCACTGCAGTGAGTGACAGAGAGCGCATTTTCTCGTCGACGAAAACGTTAAGTCGCGGACAGACAGACAGACAGACAGACAGACAGACGGACGGACATGACGAGCACAATAAGGCATTTTTTCCATAAATGAGAAAATGAGCTAAAAATGTTGAAGGACCGCATTTCGTAGGTATAGACGAGATGATACGTCAGCATCACGGATAAAAACAAGTCTAGGCCCATCTCTGCATTGTACACTTATTGTTGAGAATTATAACTTATTGCTAATAATTTAGACTTATAGTTGAGAATTATAACTTATTGCTAATAATTTAGACTTGTTGTTGAGAATTCTTATTGAATTATAATTCAATGAGAATTGATATGCAGTCACAATAAAAAATTCCGGGTAATTATGACGATACATGGTATGAACACACGCAGCCTGGTTATGAAGAATAAACATGGCTGCTAAATAGAAGAGTTCAATCTGAGGATGGTTATTGGCTCTGGTCGTAAAGTATTTACATGAAAAAATGGTAATGATAATCACAATTTCGAGCACTCGTGTAGTTGAGATTGTCAGCTGTATTTTCATGGTAGATAAGTAGTTTCTTTGATGTGCCAAACAGGGAAAATCAGAGAATTAAATTCTAGTTATACAATTATTGTTCAGAAGCTTCAATAAATGGAAAGCGAATGGCTCGTGATAAATGGGATTATAGCTCACGAAATATAGAGAAATTCATGGATATTTTCTAGTTGAAAGTTACTTTAGTTCCGTTTTTAGAATTTTCAGAGATTACCATATGAAAACATTTGAAAAAAATTCAAAGCAATATCTTCATGACCTGAAGTTTACTGAGCATGGCAGGCCAGATAAAGCCACAAGATGAGATGTCAACTTTTGAACGATGTAAGCATTTCCAGCTGCAATTCCTTATATCTACGAATAATGATCAGTTTAAGTTTTAAGTTTTCCCTTGTATGTGTTTCAATAAGAAAATTCTGCCATCTAATGCCGGTTCCTTATACAGTATGGGAACAAAGGTCTACGAACTGACGATGGAGCTAGTCTCCGAAAAGTTTTCTATAAAGATATGAATATTTGTGGACTATTCTTTGCTTTTAAATTCTTAGTTAATTTGCGATTTAAGCAAACAAGTGACATCAATTCTTAAGAACAAAGGAGCTTTACGCCTCACGTTCCCTGCTCAGGATGAACAATCCGACCCTATGGGTCAATTGCAACTCTACGGTATAATTACTCTATGCATCACTACGACTTCGGAAATCCTGTGGAGAAATTCACAGATTATATTCAACAAGAAATAACCGTCGCAATCAGCATTCAATAAAGCACACTTAATAATAATGTGTTAGTTACATGATCAACAATGATATTTTTTTGTATACACAAATTATCGTGAATCATGACAATATTATCTTGAATCATACCAATATTATCTTGAATCATACCAATATTATCTCGAATAATACCAATATTATCTTGAATCATACCAATATTATCTTGAATCATAGCAATATTATCTTGAATCATACCAATATTATCTCGAATCATACCAATATTATCTCGAATAATACCAATATTATCTCGAATAATACCAATATTATCTTGAATCATAGCAATATTATCTTTAATCATACTAATATTATCTTGAATCATACCAATATTATTTTGAATCATACCAATATTATCTTGAATCATATCAATATTATCTTGAATCATATCAATAGTTTCTTCACACACACAGCTATTACCGTAATGCATAAGGCATCTGCAAACGGGAACAATGTTCTTCTCACACAGAACATTCAGAGCAGCGAAGAGTCAAAAGACACGAAAAATTCGAATTGCAATTGTAATCAATGATTATTAGAAAAATATGTGTTAAAATAGAGAGTATGTTCGTTACGAATATGTACCAACACTTGACCAATTACACCAATTAGTCTCGGCGCTCTAAAATCGTAACATTTTTAATGAGAAAGATGATTTCGAATCGAAAGCATCTAGTTTAATTCTAGAGAAAATAACGCTATGTATTTAATAACGCTATGTATTTTTAATTTTGATTAATACAGCTACCAGTGGATTTATAGGAAATAAATGTGGAGCAGTTATGGTCCAGCATTAAACAGTTAATTTTTATACGTCTCTTTCGGTTAATTTTTACAATTCATAAAATTGAACGTACTCTTTAATATAACAAAGTTCCGAATATACAAATAAAATCATCCTATCATTAAATTAGCCAGCTAATTCACTGCACAACGATTACATTCCATTTATTCATACATTTCGTAAATGCTTACCGAGTTCTAATAAATGCATAGTAACCGGGAATAGTTAATCTCTTTTGCAAGTCGGGCAGATAATTTTTATTAGAATACAATAAAAGTGTTGAAGAAATAGGCCCAGGGCCTGTTGCCGATTCTTGTACTTTTCGTACTACGACAACCTTCATCATGAGTAGCAGGAGTAGTATAGTGTTGAGTAGTATAGTATAGTATACTATACTACTCAACATACTATACTACACTACTACTACTACTACTACTACTACTACTGTTGAGTACCGGTAGGTATAGTCTTAAGTAGTATAGTATAGTGTAAACCAACCTTCATCATAAGTAGCAGGTAAATAAAACCCACCTTCATCATGAGTAGTATGGTGTTGAGTACGATGAGAGTCATGATGAGGTACTCGAACGGAGTACTCACAACCACCTTCCACGTCTTGTACTTGAGACTCAGGCGCTCCTTGGGCATGTAGCGCTCCAGAGGCTTGGCTTGGATCGCGAAGTCGATGCACGATTTCTGAGTCACGACATGAAAATTAATGAAGTGCTTCATAATGCATTGCTTTAATAAACACTGACAGTGAATATTGTAAACAACATGTAGATCTATTGTAAACAACACATAGATCTATTGCAAACAACACATAGATCTATTGCGAACAACATATAAATATATTGCGAACAACATATAAATCTATTGTGAACAACATATAAATCTATTGTAAACAAGATATAGATCTAATGTAAATGATACATAAATCTATCGTAAACAACACATAGATCTATCGTAAACAACACATAGATCTATTGTAAACAACACGCAGATCTATTGTAAATAACACATACATCTATTGTAAATAAAACATAAATCTACTGTAAACAACACATAGATCCATTGTAAACAACACGTAGATCTATTGTGAACAACATATAAATCTACTGTAAACAACACATAGACGTTATAAGTATGTATATATAACACATGTATATATGTAAACAACACATAATCTCTTGACTGTCGTGAAGGAAAGCACACCAAAAAGTAGTCGGTGTCAGTATTTAATTATATTATTATCAAGTAAATCTTTTACATTTTTTGGTAGCAAAGCACCAGCAAATGTTTCGGTGACAAACTCGAAACCTGTAATTAGGTGACAATTATTTTATTTCATTATTATATTATATCATTATATTAACAATTATTTATTTCATGATTACTTGATTTTTGTCGAGTTCTCCATCTTGGAGTTCAGCCTCTCCCTGCTCCTGGAATGTGATGATGATGAGAGCCACGAAGATGTTGACGAAGAAGAAAGGGAAGACGATGAAGTAGACGATGTAGAAGATGGACATCTCGATAGCGAAGTGAGGCTGAGGGCCGTGGTTCTCGTACGTAGCTGCCATTGAGTTTTGAAGAACCCTAGGCGCGAGAAATAGCATTATTATTATGGTACGTGGCTGCCATTGAGTTTTGAAGAACCCTAGGCGCGATAAATAGCGTTATTATGATGGATTCATAATAGCACTTCATATTTCATATTTTTCCTGGTAGTGATAATTGGTGACTAATATATCAAAAGCTGAATAAATTCAAGATTATTGTGGATAATGTGGTTGTAACTGTTGTTAAGTAACTCAGGTTCAGCTTGCAATCGTGTTAATTTCAAAACGGTTTCGAGTCTCCGCGTAAATCTGCGTCTCTATAATATTCTAATTAAACTCTTTGCCACTTCTATAATATTCTAGGTAAACTCTTTTCGATAACTCTAGTTACTAGGCCTCCTCCTCATACGAATAGCATTAACGACGATAAATGCAAACACAAGCTAAAAATTAACGACAATCAAGGACCCGGCGAGTTCTTACTGTGGCCAGCCCTCGCCGGTCTGCACGGCGAAAAGGGTAAGCATGGCGAACATACGAAACCTCAACATCGTACATTAGCCATCAAGTCTCAGCAGACACAGGCTAAAAATTAACGACAAGCAAGGACCCAGCGATGTCTTACTGTGGCCAGCCCTCGCCGGTCTGCACGGCGAAAAGGGTAAGCATGGCGAACATGACGTTGTCGTAGTGGAAACTCTGCTGCTTCCACTGCCGCGGTCGTACCTCTGGCGGCTGGTCGTAGTTGTCGTACCAGAAATATTCCCCTCTGTGTAGGTTAAATTACCATACATAAGTTACCGTAAAATAACGCACATATAAGTTACCGCAAAATACCGCACATATAAGTTACCGCAAAATACCGCACATATGAATTACCGTAAATATAAGTTACTGCAAATTACCGCACATATAAGTTACCGCATATACCGCACATATAAGTATTAAAAACGTTGGTCACGGGCTAGGCAATAAAACTTCGGCAGGAATCAAATGTTAATAAAGTAAAATTAATGCCACGAATGAATTGACGAGGCAGTAAGTGGTTCATAGGATGAGTCAGACGACGAAAATATAATATCAGCGTATATAATTTTTATTCGGCTACATCTTGTTTCCCTAAACTCTATAAGGCCATACTACACTAAATGACACGACAGTCTAGTTATACAGTCGACCCGGGATAGTAAATATTTACTTCTATCTTTACTCCTCAAATTCTGGCATGTCATTGTAAATAAAGCTTTGTTTTTTTCTTGGATGTTTCCATGACTTTTATTTTGTCTCTAGTAATACTTACTATTTATTAAAGAAATTTTCAAGATACCTACAAATCTGCAGACAGACAAATAATTTGACGAAAAAACAATGTATTGATAATGAACGACGAAAAACATAGTACTCAGGATGATGGCATTGTACTCACTAGTCACAATGATGATATTGTATTCACTAGTCACAATGATGGCATTGTACTCACTAGTCACAATGATGGCATTGTACTCATTAGTCACAATGATGGCATTGTACTCACTAGTCACAATGATGGCATTGTACTCATTAGTCACAATGATGGCATTGAACATTGTACTCACTAGTCACAATGATGGCATTGTACTCACTAGTCACAATAATGGCATTGTACTCACTAGTCACAATGATAACATTGTACTCACTGGCACTCTGCTTTAGTCATGATGCTGAGGTCAGTGCAGTAGAAGAATTTCCCGTTAAAAAGCTGCACTGCGATGACGGCGAATATGAACTGAAATAGTATGTAGACGATGAGGATGTTGAAGACGTTCTTGAGGGAGTTGACGACACAGTCGAACACAGCCTTCAGTTTGGGTACTCGCTTTATGGTCTTCAGAGGCCTGAGTACCCGTAGCACTCGTAAGGACTTGATGGTGCTTAGGTTCTGTCCCGTGGTGCTCCCCCTGATGGCATGGTTAACTTAAAACTCAAACGTATTAATGATAAATTCTAAATTAAATTGTGCGATAACTTCTAGCTTAACTTGAAACTCAAACGTATTAATGATAAACTATAAATTAGTTTGTGCGATAACTTCTAACTTAACATAAAACTCACCCGTATTAATGATAAATTCTAACTTAATTTGTGCGAATTACGTGCGGCAAAGATGCAGTGCGAGGAAAATGCAAAAAAAACGAGCAAAGTGCGTAAGAAAGTTGTCGCCACACATGATGGTCGTCTCACTTATTATGCAAATAAATAGCTGACATGTCAGTATTCAGCGTATGCAAGGAGCTAAGATAATACGTAGTATTGAGCGCATCAAGCGATGGAAAAAACGCGAATGTCAAGCAGAAAATATCGTTCGAGTTCGCTGAGTTTAACAGGACGGCAAGTTTAATGAATATCTGAATCTCAAATAATTAATTAACGAAAACTACTGACAAAAGTATTTTTTAATGTACTTCATAACTATTAGATTACGAAAACATTAACAATATTTAAAAACAGACTTTTATATTAAACAAATTTTACGGGTTTTTCTTTTTATTATGAATTATGAAACAAATTTTACTGGTTTTTGTTTTTATTTCTGCTTTTATTAGGAAAAAAGTTTTACGGGTCTTGTTTTAATTTGATTTTTTCTTTTATTATGAAACAAATTTTTAATATTGTTATTTATGTTGACCTGCTGATGTGAGACAAATTCAAGTACTCAATCGTAGTCCATGTAGGTTAACTCAACTATTTGGGTTCATTGAAAGCTTTTTCAACTCTTGGTTGATAAAGCTTTCAGTTTGAGTTGAGTTGATAAGTTGATAATTCGAAAATAAGTAATTGTTTGTTTTAAAAAAATGTTTAGCGAACTTTTTTGGAGCCAAAATCATCAAAAAACTCACCAGCTAATCACGAGGTCACAATAATGAGGTTAGTTAACTAAACGAGTTTAAAAAAATAATTATCATTATTAGGCATAAGATATTTAGCATTATTTAGTCATTGTCGGCTCAATAAATAAACTTTAGAATAGCAATTAGGAAAAAATCAATAAAAATCATCCAGACAAATAACCAGACTGTTTAAAAAACCTGTTTTCAAAAATTAGGAAACATAACGTGTCAGTGAATCTTGACAACGAACAAAATATGACAAATAAAAGAATAGGAAAAAATAAATAGACAACCCTCGTATTTTCTCTGGCGTCGAGGTCAGTTTCTTGAAGCCTACAACAGAGTTAGGTGCAAGGTAAAATTTTATAGTTTTTCCGTTGTCGGGAAATTTTCTCTTAGGTTATTTCAACGAAAATAATACAAATCATTTAATTAAAACAGGCGCTCATCTCCATTATTAATTGCTCAAGATACCTCTCAAATCAACAAGGCAGCCCAAGAATTAGATGCACTAATAAAACCTTATATCATAACAAGACTTGCAAACAAACACTCAGATCCAGCTTGAGCTTTTAGGTAGACACGTCGAGAACAGGCGGGTACAAGCGAGTACAGTCGAGTACAGGCGCGTACAGTCGAGTACAGGCGCGTACAGTCGAGTAAGGCAAGTAAAGGCGAGTACAGTCGAGTACAGGCGCGTACAGTCAAGCACAGTCGAGTACAGGTGAGTACAGTCGAGTACAGGCGCGTACAGTCGAGTAAGGCAAGTAAAGGCGAGTACAGTCGAGTACAGGCGAGTACAGTCGAGTACAGGCGAGTACAGTCAGTACAGTCGAGTACAGTCGAGTACAGTCGAGTACAGGCGAGTCCAGTCGCATACAGTCGAGTACGGGCGAGTACAGGCGAGTTCCATCAGTACAGCTTTGTCATTGTTCGGGACCAGATCGAATCGTTGTTTCTCTAGAACTTGATTCAGTCTTGAAGATCACAAATGATGAACAGATGAAACCGCATATGTTGCCTCTACTTGATATAATGATGCAAGTTGATACTTGATATAAAGATGCAATTCGTTTGTCAATGAAGTTCACCAGTAACCGACATATGTAGGTTTCTAATTTATTATGTTAGTAAATGTACACAGCGTTAAACAAGAAACGCGCTATCGTACAACGAGCGTTCAAGACGTACAGTGTACAATTTAATACATCCGTTATTGATATACTCGTTAAACACAGAACTTCGATCCAGCGAATTTCGGTAAACAAGAGATATATGAGACCAAAATCGTCGAACTTTAAACTTCAGAATAACAATTATTTATTATTATAACTAATGATGTTCATTATTATGATTATTACTGATCCCTGCTCAATACTAGAGCCTCCAATTATGATGTCCATAAGTTAGGTCGTCACTGAAAGAATAAATGCGCGGTCTGTAAATATTAAGAAGTCTCTTTATTAGAGAAAAATTAAACGCTTAGTAAAATTAATATAGCATAATTCCGTATTCATTGAAGCATAATTCTGTATGCATCGAAGCATAATTCTGTATTTATTTAAGCATAATACCGTATTCCGTGAACAAAATATGGAAAATGAGACCAGCAGCCAAGTTCTACATAAGCAAGATGCAGAGAAAATTAAAAGCTATGTTCAAATAACTTCATTCATACAGCAGCACAAATAGAATAATATCGGTAGACTCTTTAGTTACCATCGTTGAATTAAAATTTGTTTTCTCTTCAGCAGAAAATTACTCGATCTTAAGGGCCATGTCAAAGAATGTAATTGAGTGAGCACCATCATTGAATTTAAAATATGTTCTGTCTCCTGCAGAAAATAAAAAATAAATTCTTTATGTAATGTAAATGTAATTGTAATTGAAAATTCAAAGAAAGTAATTAAGTGAGCAGCAGAGCTCGGTTCAGCATTCACGTTTCTTCGTACATGACTTCCAAGGGCGGCAACAGTGCACATTACGTGGGAATCTATGGATATTTCTTACCGAGTTGACTTATGAATCAATATCTCAATCAATATCGATGATACTTATCGTGTTAGGATATTATTACGTGGACCTGCAAACTTATTCCTGATGCGAGCATATATAGTGAGGCATGCCAGCGCATTGAAACAAAAGTAAAAAATTTTAGAGTTTTAAATTAGTTCACATAAATTTAAAGGCGCAAAGATAGTACATTTGAATTTTTAAACGAAATTCAAATGGCAGCTCTTGCTTAACTATATGGTTTAGACGGGTTTAGCTTCCATCAGCATACATTAGCTGCATTATTAATGTTTTTTTCGATAAATGGATTCTTAATTACAGGAATAATATATCCCGCGAAACGCCGGGCTAACATTCGCCGTGCTAAGTTAACATGGCTGGCAGTGTGCGTCAGAATGTGAACTCGACTTTCTGTGCCAAAATCTACGTTCACAGATCATATCCGTAGACTTTCTGACGAAAGTCTACGTTCTCTCACAGATCAGCTCCGAGACCAACTCCATCAGAGGAGGTCGAATGCCTGGCCAGAGCCAAGGTTTGAATAGCGCATTACAGTAGACGATAGACAATTACTGCCGATGCTTATATAAGCGAACGTCAGCCCTGATTTATGGACTAGTTCGACTCTGTCAAACTGATTGGCTGTTGCTCGTATGCTTCTCTGTATGTAGGGTCACGTCACGCAATCTTTATTCTAGAGTCACAGAGCATAAGGGTAGGAGTTGTAGGACTGGGCAGTTACTATCGATTTTGAATCCCCGTACATTTTTAAACAGAAGCCAGTTTGAATTCAGCACTTAGCGCCTTTCAATTTAAGATTTTGAATAGAGAGGTTTTGCGTTTTTTCTTGTGCCTTGTCTTTTTTTTGCAAATTTAGGTTTTAATTTTTGTTCATTTAATTTCAATTATACTAATTTCTGATTTTATCTGCATTCTATAATCTTAAAACGGACGATGGAGCTGCACTCCCAAACATTTTCTATAAAGATATGATGAACTTCTGTGACTTTTTTTTTTTGCTTTTAAATTTTGGGTACAAAATTATGAATCACATTATGGGGATACATTAGTTATATGAAATTCCTTTGACGAGTAACCAATTTTTAGCGAATCAAAGACTAAGTCTTCAACAAACAAAATTCGCATGGTGCTTTTTATCGTTCCTCATTTGATTCTTCGGTAGAAACATTCGAATGTTCAATCAATCTCCATACATATTTATGATAAATATTTTATGACGAATTTTTTTAGTATCTTGAGTAATAAATACGCATCTTAGACAAACATCACTTAAACATATACATAAAGAACATAGGAATACTCATCTTGCTTGAGCATTTCAAAATATGCCAGGAAATAAAAGCCAGGAATAAATAGGCGGCACAGTCAAAACCCAAAAAAACCCAATGGACATGAAACGTCCAAATGAAGAAGTAGTTGGTATAGTCACCGGCCGAACTACTGTCATTCATTATTTGTAACATATTTAAATGATTAAAGCATCGAGACGAGAAGTTCTTCTAAAATACAAATAAGATTTAAATCTCATGAAAGATAAATGGAAGATTAGTATGAGACAAGCAGAAAATGTTCAGTCGTATTGATGAGAAAACGCAATAGCGGAGCAATGAAAATAGATCAGGCTTCATGAAGAGGGAAATAGATCAGGCTTCATGAAGAGGGAAATAGATCAGGCTTCATGAAGAGGAAATAGATCAAGCTTCATTAAGAGGGAAATAGATCAGTCTTTATGAAGAGGGAAATAGATCAGGCTTCATGAAGCTACAAGCAAAGAAGTCAAGACGCAGCCATGCTCAATTGCTCATGTGAACCATCCACTAAACTCAAGAGTTCTCTGAAGAAGGTAAAATTTGATGGTTCGAGTAACTTTGAACTGGAAACAAAACTGAATTTTTACACAATCTGTATAATTAACTGAGGAATTTTGAAAAATTATATTGAAGTTTTAAATAATTTCATGTGTGATATGTGTGATATAAAATTTGGCGTGGTCACACATACGTAATTATTTATTATTATTTAAAAATTTTGGCATGGTCAATTCTTAGAGGATGAAAACCTCGAGTAACAATGGATGGTTCTTAATTGTTTAGAGATGAGAGATAGTGGAAGAAGGACTTACTTCAGTTGAAGGGAAGGGCTGTAGAAAAGGGATCGAAGTTACAGACCACAACACAGCACTCAAATGAAGTTACTACCTCACTCCTATGGAACTCTTTTATAATATATACAATATACCGTTATAATAACTAGAATATATGTCCGGGAGAGGAAAGTATTTTTCTGCCTATAGATCGAAGTACGAAGTAATATCTTTAATGTAATTAGATCTCATATAATGGTTTGATAGAACATCTCAAATTGATTTTCCAACATCGATTCATTTTATATTACTATACGAGGACATAACTCGAGGTTTCGAACGCAAGACAAAAGGAACCAGCAATTAATCATATTTAACTTTACCCCATTCAGTTCTAGCTCATTTGAATTCACTCGTTCGCAAAGTTAGAATGAGTTGGCACATTTCCCCCTTCTCAACAGCGCGATTTGTAGAGGAGCGATAAAAATTGCGAGACAAGAATTCGATTACATGTTATCTAAATAAGTCGTTGGAACTAAAGAGCAAAATAAGATACAAGAATTCTATTACATTTTACCTAAATAAGTCGTTGGAACTAAAGAGCAAAATAAGGTAATAACATCCTCCACGAAAAATGTGCATAACGCATGTTTCCACATTTTGTTTTGGATGCCCGGAATGAAATCGACCATCACTGATCACAGGAAGAATATGGTCCGTCATGACATTGAACGTCAAGCGTAAGAATTTTTATGATGCCAGCAGTAAAAGTGATGGGCATTAATCCAATCACTCAACTAAATAATAAACAAACTAGAATAATTACCCATTAAATGCTGTTTATTTGATAATTATTGACTTAATTCAGTATTTTCGTTTCAAAGAAAATGTCAATAATCTGATGTATTAGAAATGGATCGTCAATATTCTAGCGCCAAGGGACCTAATGACTCTGAATTGATAAATTTTACAGAGAATGTTGCATGCCAATTATTAATGTGCATCATAGCTAACGTTTTAGATCCTAGAAGACGAGCAAAGTGACCAGTGCTTCTAGACAGAATAATTTTTAGATATTTTGACGTGAACACTGACGGAGAAAACAGTGAAAACAAGACTGTGAGGGTAAATGTAAATATAGGATAAAGTGGTTGTGAGGTTGTGATATAACTATAGACATGAGAAATCAGCAAGAAACATTCACAAAAATAATCTCAGGAACCTAGTTACACGCTCAATGACATAACAACAAACAACAATAACACTTACATGGAACAAAGTCAGTACAGACACGTTTAAACACACTAGAAAAATATTCGAAGAAGAGACACATAAGAACGTGAATTATTTATTCGTCCTGTAAATTCTATTGTGTTTCAATTTTCATCACACATCAAAGGAATCGATGCACTGAGGTTATGGCCTAAATTACTCATCATAATCGTGTAAAAAAATAATACGAGTTGCTTTTGAATGTAAACTTGTCTGTCCGGTGCTCTGACTACGGCCGCGCTATGGAGCGTACTGCAGCGAGGCTCGCGTTGGGCGATCGGTTGCCAATGAATACGATGTATAATTGCCATTGAATACGATGTATAATTGTGCAAATGCCTTCCCACCATCAAATAAGATAGCAGCGAATAGTTATTGAAACTTAACTTATTCTTTCTTCCAAATATTCGTACAAGATGCATAAGTTGCTAAAAATTCTAACTTGAAACGATACATTGATAGATTTATCATGTATAGTTGAATAGTATAGTTGTATAGTTAGTATAGTTTATCATGTATAGTTGAAAAGTCACCCATAGTCAGGCCGTGATCTCCAGATGTAGTGGTACAAAATTCGGAATGAAATATAAAATACAGCGTGTGTGATGTTCGTAATTTTCACTAGATAGTAAATGACAATTATCAAGTAATATCATATAGCTGGTCTTTTAACTTGAAGGCTTATATTGCACTCATACCGAATTATGGGTAAATATTCAAATAACGTTAGTGAGTCGGAGTGATTAGCGTTTGATATTCTCCAATGGAAACCGCAATGTCAACAAGATATAAAAAAATTAATCGATTATAAGATTAGCTCGATACTGAACTGGTGGGATTTCAGTGTAGGTCGGTGTAGTTCAGGGTAGTGTGAACATGTAGGTCGGTGTAGTTCAGGGTAGTGTGAACATGTAGGTCGGTGTAGTTCAGGGTAGTGTGAACATGTAGGTCGGTGTAGTTCAGGGTAGTGTGAACATTCATTATTTGAACCTCTGAGTTTCTCTGCAAAAACACTCATTAAAATGAACTAAATCATTTTGCATTAAATTTTTACGATTTTACAAACATGTCGGGGCTACGTGTGAGATCTCAATTCATACACATCGACTAAGAACACGTAAACCATGGTGAGATTTTTCTCTGACTGCTGTTTACTCTGATTTGATAACATCGATTTAAATTACTGTTGTGCAACTGGAGGGAAAATTTACCTTGAAAATAGTCAAATTCTCATTTTACTTTGAGCAGAAGCAAGACTCACAAGACAGCATAGCCTAGCGGGATCATGGCTGTCAGCACGACAGTGAAGTCTAACACGTTCCAGAAGTCTCTAAAGTATGACTCTGGATGTACGACCACTCCAATGTCCACCATCTGTGTTTTGGGAAATTACGATAAGGCTGAACAAATAAAATAACTATAAAAATTTAATTAATTAGAAACGAATTTGGAGTCTAGGTCGTCTAGTGAGCACTCGGCAGCGGTTCGATACTTTCAATTTGTTACTCGGGTAATGCTGATATTTTGTTGCCGTTGTTACCACGAAAAATTGTACAGAAAACGGCTTATACTTCATAAAATTAGAGCTCGGTTTCAAATTTTAAAATCAAAATTCATCTTTATTCTAAATAAAGACAGATTCTATAACAATTTAATTATATTTAGTCTCTGTTCTCAAATGGTGTTCGAAAGTTGAGGGAGAACGCTAGTCACGACTTAAAAGATCAATGCTTCGCGCGAATGGGTGTTGGGATAATGGGTGTTAGGAATAATGCGTCTTGGGATTCAATGGGTTTTGGGATCAATGGGTGTTGGGATCAATGGGTTTTGGGATCAATGGGTGTTGGGATCAATGGGTTTTGGGATCAATGGGTTTTGGGATCAATGGGTTTTGGGATCATTGGGTTTGGGATCAATGGGTGTTTAATGGGTCGCGTGAGACAATTTGTTCAGAAAAAGTTCGCTTATTGAAGATAACACATACGAGAAAAACACGCACGTACACAATGTTTCAAAGTTCTAAGTTTTGTAATTCATATAATAAGGAAATTAAACAACAAATAAAAGTGTATTAGCGTGAGGGACGACGTTGACCAAAAAACAATGAGGGAAGTATGAGAATGCTTAGAATGTTCTGGGAAGAAGCGTTAGACACAAAGTTACAAATACAATATCAAAAGCAGAATTTTATCCTCCATTTGAAATTAGTAAAATTAGTAGTAAATAGTGGGGACACCTAAAATAGTATCATCCAACGTGCAGGTTACACCGCAATATCGTAAATAACTTGTTAATCCATCGTTTAAAATGCAACAACATTAAGAGGTCAATGATAACACCATGGGCAGGAGGCAATAATAAGACGAAAATGTGATGTAATTTAAAACTATAATATAACCGTAATGAATTGGATATAAATATTTCTATTATTTTCTTCCCTGTTGATTGTTTTGAGGATAAAATTAGTTGGCTTAAACACGACATGATCTTACCGCAGCTCGACGACGATAAGCAAAGAGAGAAAATTATTCACAATTGCGTGATTAAGAAGCATGCAATACTTACATCATGTCGAAACAGAAGGATACAGCAGCATTAGGAAGCATGCAATACTTACATCATGTCGAAACAGAAGGATACAGCAGCATTAGGAAGCATGCAATACTTACATCATGTCGAAACAGAAGGATACAGCAGCACATATCACAACCACGGAGTCCATGATGTTCCACAAGTCGCGCAGGTAAGAGCCAGGGTGGAAGATGACACCTAAATCAACGACCTGCACGGCCATCGAAACATTCAGCTACTTACAAGTGCGTCAACTTTATAATTAAGTGAAGAAGTGAGGATCAACGTGCATGTTAATTAAACCGAAATTAAATTTCTTAACTCATCGACTTCTCTTTGCTTCCTTTAGCAAATGAATTAAAATCAAAATATAGTTATATAAATTTCGTAGTTTTTGAAGCAATTGAAAATAGTGTGTAATCTGATTATTCGTGACCATCAGGGAAAACGCAATAGATGTATGCGACAAATTGTAGATTTGTAAATGTTTGTTATACTAATTCGAAACATGCTTGATAAACAGCAAACTTTATTTCAATATATTTTCTCGCTTAAAATTGCAAATAACCCAGATTTTCACGATCTCGCTGCTGTTGGTTTTTTTTACAATTTGTCCGAAAATAATTAGATAAAATAAAATGGATTTTTTGGAGCATCCAAAATATGAGACAACATCGATCATTGGTTGAATATTTTTAGCCAGCACATTATACGCACATTAAATAATAGAATTTAAATATCGATCAAAAAAATTAAAAACAGGAATAACCGTTACTTAAAATTACGAGATTAAGAAACATTATTTTTGTAAAAACAAGAAAAAATTGCTTTGAATTGCGAGACGAAGATATATTATTTTTGTAAAAACAAGAAAAACTGTAATTGATAGAAGCTAATCAATAGACATTCCAGTGGCAGTGCGTCTCAAACTTCCCATACGTGTACGTATGAATGTTAAAAACAGTCTAAGTGAGAACAATACTCTAAGTGAGATACTCAACTTCTCAGTCTATATACTAGGATATACTTCCTGTTGGGTAGACGCGAGCTTTAAATAGTTTCATTTAAGTTTACCTTAAATTTTCTCACTCATCTATACTATAAGTCCATAAAAAACTATGAAATCTCAACGAATGAATGAACTACTCATTCCGTAACATATTTTGGTTAAAGATAACACTGGCCTTAAGTATCATTTCTACGGCAAACACTCCAGTGAAGGCGTAGAATGTACTACTCAGTGAGTAACATATTTTGGTTAAAGATCAACACTGGCCTTAAGTATCATTTCTACGGCAAACACTCCAGTGAAGGCGTAGGATGGACTACTCAGTGCATGCGTAACATATTTTGGTTAAAGATAACACTGGCCTTAAGTATCATTTCTACGGCAAATACTCCAGTGAAGGCGTAGTCGAAGTACGTAAGATACGTATTCCACTTGGAGCCTTCCTCGACGGGGTCCTCAGAGGCCAGGGCCATGCTGGAGAGGCTGATCACAACCATAATGAAGAAGTCGAAGTAGCGCAGGTTAACAACCCAGTGAGCCGCTCGCCGAATGCTGCACAGATAATTTACCTTTCAAACACGTTACTTTTTTAGTGCAACGATCAACAAAAAATATAACTCAGTACTCACTGCAGTGAGTGACAGAGAGCGCATTTTCTCGTCGACGAAAACGTGAAGTCGCGGACAGACGGACGGACAGACGGAAGGACATGACGAGCACAATAGCGCTTTTTTCCATAAATAAGAAAATGCGCTAGAAAAGACTTTGCTTAGTGAACCTACCTAAATTATTCTTAGTCTTACGGGAAGAGAATTTAAATTTTAGATTTTTAGGATATTTTCAAATTTATATTTTTATGATATTACTTCAAGTGTAAAATTTAATTGCTGATCTTGCATAAAAAGAAAATTAGTGACGAAATTGTGAATTTTGGAATTGGTTAACGATCCGACGTATCGCCATTAGGTCTTCAAGAAAAAAAAACAAAAAAAAATGAAAATCCTATGAGTTATTCTGCAGCTTAATACTGCGTTTCCTTCAGTCGAAAATGTATTGATACGAAACCAGGACAAACAGTATTATTATGTACACAAAGAATATTATACCACAGCCATATAGGCAGGAATATAACACATCATACGGTAGCTGTTCAAGGGATTACAAGATATAATAATATCCAAATTCCAGAATTTATTTTTTCAACTTTCTCGAATTATTTCTATCACACTGCGATAGACCGGGGAGGATAATCTAATGAAATTTATGGTCACCTGAGAGGAGAAAGCCGAATAGGACGAACGATATCAATACTCACGGATTGGTGGGTGAGAGGATGAACATGGACGAGTAAGGCAGCATTGGTCTTGGTCCGAGTCCAGAATCATCAGCAAAGTCGATGTCAGGGTCTGCATCTTTCGACGCATCGATCTTCCTGTAAAGAGAAGACGGCGAAACGCTAATCGTAATCCCGAAATGTTCCCGAGAATCTGTATAAAATTTTAGACAATTCTTATGGGCTTTGATGTGACAATGACTCTATCAGCTTTGTGTATAAGCAATACAGTTTTATCATGTCTTCTTACTCGCTTATGCTTGGCAGTTCATCGTACGTAGGTAGAATGAGTGCCGTTCTACCTGCCATTATGACCATTATGAGTCAGTAATGGTTTAAGGACGAGTAATAAAGACCTTTTACGTTCGCATCGCTTTTGGTCAAGCTTATGTGGGTGATCTTAACACACATTTGGAAGAGCGTCACGAAAAAAACACAAAGAGCATCTCAAAATGGTACAACGGTTTGTTCGGGAAATTTCCGATCCGGACTTCTGGAAAGACTACGGCGAAGAAGCAGAACGGGCTCAGTCCATATAAGGCTGAGTCGCTGCTCTCGTTGAGGCTTAATTCTGTAAACTCTAACTGCGCGGTCGTGTTCTGTTCCACTACGTGCTTAATGTTACCTTAGTTTCCTCAATTCTCTAAATGAATGGTGTTAATTTGTTGTGCACAACCTTTGATTTGTTTAAATTTCAGTTTTGGGGTGCATGCGTTTTTTCACTTCTTTTGACACTTTGGCCAGCTCGTCAAATTGCCTATTTGACTTGAAACCTTAAAACTTTAAACTTTAACTATTAACCTCTAAACTTTAAATCTTAAAATTAATACCTTGACTGGCCAAGGGGGTCTTTCTCTATACTAAGGTGACCTATATTTATGCTCGGAACTGCCGCGCGTTAAATTAAATTGAATTATTAATTACTACAATTGATTTCTACATCTGTAAGCACTACGCAGTATGTGCACTTAATCTTAATTGATTAAGGTGAGCCATAAGCTTTTATTAGCGTAAACTTAACTGCTTCTGATTAACTTCTGAAATATCTGAATTATTGCCATTTATTAGCTTATTGACTCTATTATAATGATGCATTTGTTTTACCAGTATCTCGAGTAATCGTCAACATCTGCTGCCTTTCTGCCAAATTAAATTAAACCTGGACGCAGCTTTCTATAAATGGATTTAAACTACTTTGAATATGAAGAAACTGCCCCGAATAAGAAGCTTTGAATAAATTCTTATTAAAATGCCTTAATTGATGATCACTTATTTCTATCCTGCTTAGCGCTTAACTTTTGAAATCATTTCTAGAAGAGGATTACCTCCAGCGTAGGGAAAAAACCCTACAGGTTAGTCTCATCGGCATACCTATAAAGTGGCTGATGCTTCAACAATCACGTCAGTTTAAAGATCTGCCATTCAATTGATATATATTCAATGCTGGAAGAGCCCTAGTCAGCAATTGACATATAGAGTTATGCGTATAAAAAATTCCTTTTCCTTGTGAGCCCATTAAGATTTTGGCTAATTTAGACCTTAGCTGGGTTTCAGTTTTTTATTATTGCTGTATAGTTCGAAAAATTAGTGAGAAGTTACCGAGAAGGTGCCGTTCTGAACCGCACTTTCATCCATCAAATTAGCCACGGACTGAACGTCTTTCCTTTACATGCAATAACTAACTCAGCTTCGCTGTAAAAAAGATTATTATAATCGACCTAACTCACCAATATGACTTTAACCCTCTACCGCCTGACATGAGTAACGGGAGCAATATTGTCACGCGCCTACTTCCCAAAAAGGATACGTTCTAGTGAGCGCAAAATGACTTGCACTGATGGTTGCCGCCACGTACGGCAACTTTGAAATGTTCTCTGTTGCGTACAAACGTCCTCAGGTTGCTACACTCAATAGTTTACGTATAATTTAAGTTGAAAGTTACGTTCCCGGAGAGTGACATACGGCGGTAGAGGGTTAAATCGGTGATACAAAAGCCGACACGCTACAAAGTCAAAAGATCGACGTCATTCTGTCGTGCCCAAAAAAATGATAACCAATTGCTCTCACATCTGACTCATGCCCCTTATATAGTGTATGCAGATCGCGTTGGAGTACCATAAACCTGATGAGTTTCGCATCGGACTGGCTGATATATTTTTGAACTATAAACCCTCTACCCTCGTCTAACCTCAAAATGTACCTCCTTCATCTCTTTAATTCGCACCCACTCACTGAACACGCAATGCAGCAAACCAAATCGAAATAAATAAATCCACCTTATTTACAAATGTAGAGTTAGTTTCGAGCACCATTTCTTAAGGGGGGGGGTCTACCCTCCAGAAAAACTTCTATATTTACTAACGGATTTTTCTGAAACTTACACCATAAATGTAAAACCAAAAAAAACATTTTGTTCGTATGATTTTTTCGAAAAAATTAATAGAAAACGTGAAATTCATAGAAAACCGACAAAAAAGGGGTACTGTAGAAATCAATCTCCTCCTAGGGTTTTCAAGCTACAACATTGAGACATATAACATTCGATTCGTAAAGACCATACCAATCGAGTAACGAAGCCCGCTTTTTTATTTTTTTTGCCTTAGTTTTTTTATACGCAGTTATCAGTTTTTTCTAATTTTCTTCAAATTTTCCCCCCTCCCCCCCATTTTGAATCCAAACTATACACAAATCTAAAAAAATGGCTTCGTTACTCGATAGGTGTGGTTTTTATGAATCGAATGGTATATGTCTCATCGCTGTAGCTTCAAAACTCTAGGAGATAGGTTTTCTGTGACAATAAGTGTGAATGTTGAGGAGAGCGCGACAAAGTCCCGCGCGGACCACAATAGGCGCTCAATGTAGCATAGATACCAAACTAAACGTTTCTGGAGCTTGATTCCACTCAAGGATGGTGGGAGCGACTACATGCGCACCTCTCCCCACAAAGCCCGGAGGCACACTGAGTCAGACCTCACAAAAACACTGCATTTGTAGTGCTGCGGCAGCGAATTAATTAGTTCCTATGTTATTATTGAAAGAACTCACCCCCGCCCCCCTTTCATGAAGTGTCGTGTACGTAAAACTCAACGTACAGAGATGGTAGTGGTACCGTTGGATAGGCCAGAATGTCAGCTTTAAGATGAGACTAAACACGTAACTGCAGCACAACTCAAGTAGACACTATATTTAAAGAGCTCAGCAGCTAATTAGTTCCTATGTTATTACTTAAATAACTCTAAAACCCGCCCCCCCTTTCATGAAATGTCCTGAAATCATAAATCAACGTACAGAGATGGCAGTGGTACCGTTGGATATAGGGCAGCTTTAAGATGAGACTAAAAACCGAAAATGCCAAATCTGAAAACTTTAGGGTAGACCCCCCCCTTAAGGTTCTCGATTAAATTTCTCTTTCCCTGCAAACTCGTACATCTATGAGTCATAGTTCATGATGAACGAATTTTTGAATGTATGTTCGCCACTGTTTCCCCCTAGCATTCCCACAATATCAGAATTTATTTTCATTTCGAACCCCCTATTCCTTCCAAGCGAAAAAGCCGTGAAGTTTATAGTGTATATTCTATTGAAGCCACTTACATTGAAGCCACTTTTAAATAAATGACTTCAAATTGGCTTCGTGATTTTATTCATCTTGTTTATTAATTCAAATTTGAATATGATAGCTTTATTTTCTTGCAGTGACACGATGTTCATATAAGCGTCCAGTTTTCAACCAGTTTCATTTTGATATTTGTTCATGTTTATTATTAGTGACATGCTCTTATCGGATTTAATCAGGGCTTGGTCTATCTAACTAGTTTATTTTACTGACTTACTTTCTCTGCTATCGCCATTTATTATTAATTTATATTTGGCACTCATTATGGATATTTGTCATGTGTGAACATGTGGTGTTAATATTTAGGGTTCTGTTCCATAATGTGTAAAGAGTACAGCTAGATAAGTAAGTATAAAATAGCACCAGGCGCATGTAGCGTGGAGGCTCAGATGTGTGGAGCCTTGGTAGATTTAATTGTGTAGAGGAGGAAATTTTATGGATGATTGCATTTCATGGATGATTTATGCATTTTATTGATTACTTTTTTAATGATGCATTTCAACTAAAATCAGACATCCGCGCGAAGTTGTCACTTGACCCAGGAGTACAGAATAGTAAACCTTTGTAGCATCGTTCGGTCTGAGCCATTACTGTCTGCACTGTACACAGTGCACAAGTATGTGAAGTTTATCGTGTGAAATTTAACCTGTAGGGATTTAGGCGATAGGAATCATTGTTAGGTTTTATTGTACGTTTTGTGCATGATCGTATGTTTTATCGTACGTTTTGTGCATGATCGTATGTTTTATCGTATGTTTTAGGCTACTACCAGTGTCAGTAAAAAGTTTCCGTGTCGCATGCAGAGAGACCTGCAAAATCTGAACTTGAGACTCATTCATACATTGTTGTTCATCCTTGTTATTGAATTAAGGCCTAGTCTATCTGTATTTATTCTCTTGTGTGCAGACCTGCGAGAAGTGATGAACCTGGAGATTATTGCAGAATAGTTGGAAGTCTTGATTTACGCCCAGTGAATGCTGGCCTTCCGTAACAATTGTGACCCGCTATACAACCAGTGATTTTTTTTTTAAAGGCCTCCCACACTCACCATTCCAACAAAAAAAGGAATTGATTTTATTAATTAAAAACAGGGAATGGTTTCATGTCAATGATCAGGGCCCCGACCTTAACGCCTCTGATGGTGGCCTACACCGACTCCGAGGGTCACTGAGCTGAGGCCAGTCGTACATTATGTAAAACAGCATCAACTAGGCCACGGACGGAGTGGAGTGACGATATGAACGCAGGGAGCGCGATGTCCTTTGACATACGGATACCCAGACCCCCCAGCCGGACCGGCAACACAGCTTGTTCAAGAGATTCGCGCTCGAAGCTGACATTGGTGATGGTCGAGAGGGCAGAAACCAACACCTCATCGAAACGCCCCAAATCACCTACCCGCGTATATGCAGGAGACGCACGCAGGACGTACTGGAGTTTAGGTAGAGCGAAACAATTCTTTAAAAGCGTAAATGCTTGATGACTATCAATTAATTTTAAACGCTCCACCATCCTCTCCAAGCCCTCCCACTTCTCCCGGATAACGGCGGAGACGCCCTCCTAGTGGAGTGGGGCACCCAGTAAAAGCGATTTACGGGCGGAAACAACTTTCAGTGTTGGCAACACCCCCCGAAACATCTCCTCAGTCTCGAGCTCTTCCTCTCTCGAATGGGTCAGTATGATCAGTTCACACTTCCCCTGGTTTACCTCCAGCCCTACGGCTCTAAAGTCCTCAACGAGTTTTTGTACTGCCCGGAGAACTGTCTCTGGTCTATCGCCCAAAGATCCATGTAGTAGTTGTGTAGTGGGTCTCAAATGGAGAAAGAATATCTCTGACAAAAAACGTGAAGGTATCTGGGTGCGTGGGCGTTAATTATACTGCACTCTGGCAGATAGATTGGCGCTTGACCCTGGCGCATTGGTTCTGGCGATTTTCTGGTGTTTGAATATATAGTTTACATGTAAGCAAAAAATATTTTGCTTCTGATCCAGCTCAGAAGAAAGAAATTCTTCTTATCTAGCTCAGAAAGATCCAGTAGAAATTGATTTCATATAGCATTTTGCCTCTCAAAGTGAGAACACGTTGAGGAAATTGTCTTTAGGCATTAATGGCCCCAAACCCCGTTACCAAAAATCGACCTCATTACCAAGAGGTAAAAGCGTGCTTAGGCCTTTTCTTTTGTATGGCGAATGATTTATACACAAAATATCCATTAGCTGGTTGTTCACGACCGCTTGCCCTACATCAGATTGTCGACATCACCCATGGTATATCGGGCAGTACACAAGGCACGGACAACGCCATCAACTTGATCCTGAACAAAACTTAACGCCTAATTAATACTCGATAACGTCTAGAGATTAGGTCAATGCACAGTTGTGAACCAAACGACCAACATAAGCATAGAAATTAACTAAATTTAAGCCTGGGTTTACGACCGGAATACAAGCGGTTGAAATTAGCTAGAGGCGTGCCGTCCGGGATTTATACAAATTTGAGCCTACGTTTACGACCGAAATGCGAGCACTCACTTGGCATCTCCAGATCGTGGAGACGGAGAAAATTAACCAAATTTGAGCCTGGGTTCAGGACCGGAATACGAGCACTCACTTGGCATCTCCAGATCGTGGAGACGGAAGAAATTAACCAAATTTGAGCCTGGGTTCAGGACCGGAATACGAGCACTCACTTGGCATCTCCAGATCGTGGAGACGGAGGACTGATCTCCACCGTAGGAGGGCCGTCGCCAGCCGCACTCTGTTGCAGTGCCTCCAGCTCCTTCTCCATCTCCGCCTGCTGCTTCTGTAATGTAGCGGCGCAAGTGGTGTTCAAGCAAACCGATCTCATCAATTATCAATTGGGATTGCGTAAATTACTATATCATACATTGATTTCTATATTATACATTGATCTATATACGATATTTCCTTCAAGAAGCATTTTTCGAGGAAATAAACAAATATTTATACAGATTTTTTAAAATGCCACGCGGACTGAAATAAGCTGACATTTTACCAGTTTATGTGATTCGTTGGTTGCCCGAATCAAATTTAGCCTTAAATAATGAAAATGAGAAATAAGTGAAAGCGATTGAATAATAATTAAATAGGATAATTTAATAGGATGTTTATTGAAAATTATATCCTATAGGATATTTCATTGATGTAAATATCGTTCAACCTCACACCAATGCCTAACATGATGTAATTAGTAATTAAGTTGAATCAAAATTGGTTTAAACAATTTTTATGCAAAAAATATAAGCTAAAATAAAAGCAGAGAACAAGTCCATGGAAAAGTTGGAAATGTTTTCCAGACATTGTAAATTAATTGTACGCTCTAAAACAAGGATTGATCAATAGGAATACACACGAGTCTCTTGAATAAAAATAACGGTGAAGCTTTCGGTCCTTAATGTATCGTTGATATCAGTTCGTACTTTGAACAAAACACCACACTAATGATAGCAAAATGATAGAGCGCTTGTTGAAGCGCCTAAAGCATCGTGTATGTGTTTCACGACGGTCAACTGGGAGCGTTTCATTCAATATGAATGAAACAAACCATCAGTAAAGAATGTAGATATGGAACAATAAAATTCTAAATTTATGCTACATGGTAGTTAAGCAACATAGTTTACTTTAGACAGCGTCCAAAAATTAAAATTTATTAGTTTAGAAACGAATAACTGATAATGAGCGATAAAACGTGAAGCCTGAAGTGAAACGAGGCTTGATTGAAACATTTAAAAATGAAGCTAAGCATAGCGACATTTTTGAAAAACATTAAAGATCATGTTAATTTTCTTTGCATATATCAACATAAATCGGACAAATAATTTAATCAGTTCCACATATGGTCATAAATATAATATTTGTTAATTATTCCTGTCAGTTGTAGTAGTAATTATGCCTACGACGATTAGTTATTTAATTTCTGAAAAATCTCTGAAATCATTTTAGTAAATCAAATATAGTCTTGCATTGTTAAATCGTCTCATTTATATACGTCGTATAGCGTGCCAATTATGCATTCAACATCTATCAACGTTACCTTTCAAAGAAAGTTCGTTTGCACCAAATATTTGTATGAGCATTTAGAAAATTAATTAACTAGAAATGAAAAGCTACTATATGCATAAAACAATTGCCACATGCAAACTAATGCTTCTAGAATTAATCATTCGTGACTATCATGTCTAGAAAATAACCTTAGAAAGGATAAGGAAAAAACCACAAGCTTTATGGAAAAGCTAGGAAAAATCTATATACACGCATCAAAATATCTTCAGAAGCAGAGAATTTTCCAGTTTCATTCGCCTACAGTTCTTCCCACGTGTGATTTAAATTAATGCCATGCTTGTGTGCCTAATTCATGGAATTATTGTCTTTATTCATTCAAGTTTGGTGCATAATGAAAAACATTTGAAGAAATACTTCGATAATTGACAGTGGGATTTATAAGCGGGCATCAATCAAATTGTCAAGATTACGCTAAGAAATGGAACATAATGAATCATATAAAAAATTGTGCGGTAAATTAAAAATCAATTGATATTAGAAAAGCGGAAGTTTTTAGTCAATGGCGTCCACCGTACAGAAGCGCCAATTAAGCGAAGTGAAGAATGAAAGCAAATAAGCAGAAATCAAGTCAACGGAATAACGTACTTTTATTTAATGAATAATTTCATATGAAGAATAGGTGCAACGTAAAAAAATAAAATGTCTAATCCATCGTGAAGGAATGTCTCAAATCAAGCAGAAATTAAGTTGGCAATGTCATTGAATATTCAAGCTCCAAGAACTCGTTAATTAAAACATTTTAATCTTATATCTAAAAATTGGGCGCCTCGTTAATATACAGTATATAAAGAATAAGTGAAACTTAAAAAATGTCTAATCCATCGCGAAGGCATGTCTCAACACAATTTGGCTATACCATTGATTATTCATGCTCAAAGAACTCGTTAATTTAGAAAATTTTAATCTTATATCTAAAAGTTTGACGCCTCGTCAAGACTGATACTCTGCAGGCATGACAATGAATCGAGCATGGCAGAGTGAGCGAAGGACAGCGATGTGTGCGGTGCCCCACAAGAAGATGTAACCGGTCAGAGAAAACATAATATATTATATATATGTATGATTATATATATTAAATAATATAAAATATATGACATATGAAGCAGCGTACATCATAATTGCAAGGAAAATAAACGTCAAAAATACTCAAAATTGGAATTAATTAAATGATAAAAATATGTTATTGAGGAATATTTCGAAAGTAATTTAATGCCCAATAGACGAAGAAAAATATAATTGATGAAGAGATAACGAAATTCAGATAAAGTAACGTAGAATGTGCATGAATAAATTGATGTGAAAAAATTTAGTTGCTCATGTAATGATTAAAATTTATAAAAATCGTTGCGATGTCATGCCAGATGTAATAAAAAAAATCGGCAACGAAGCTCTCCATGCAAGCCAAATATGACGTTTGTGCATCAATGCACGTAGACCATAGAGCCACGATGGTACCAGCTTACAATAGATATTTTAAAGCACGTTCCAAACATGGAACGTCCAAATTCAACAAAATAATTTGTTTAATCGAAAACATTTGACCAAAGAACGAATCATCAATAATAATATATAATAAAATCGAAGCAAATTTCATCGCAAATCATTTCGGAAAGTCATGCATATTAACGGAACAGTTAATCCAAGAGACGAAAGAACAAGCAACAAGAGTGCGTAAAAAACGATCAGTGCATATGCGAAGGTAAGAAAAATTTATCCTCCAGCATAGACGAAATGAGAGTCATAGTAGTCGGTACGCAAGTATAAGTAGCGGTATGCAAAAGCAGTAATGTCCATAAGAATATGTAGAAGAAACAAGTAAGTAGCGGTATGCAAAAGCAATAATGTCCATAAGAATATGTAGAAGAAACAAGTGTGTGTAGGAATTAGTCGTATTGTTGTCGAGGGATGAGACGTCCGCCGAGGAGAGCAGACTCCGGAGCACATGCAGCAGCGCTCAACGGACCAGTGGATGGGGTACGGAGGAGGAGCAAGATTCGGGATGAAGAGAGAAAAAGACACACAAGAATGAAACAACGACACCCACGGTGAACACCGAATCAAAGAGAAACCGTCCAAAATGCACACTATACAACACTCATTCTAATTATTTCAGGGTTTCCAGTTAAAATTTAAAGGGCAAAAAGAGTGAACGACAATAAATTCTACCAAAAATGTGTGTGAAATAAGCATGTAGGCCAATTATTGCTGACGCTACCATTCCCGCTCTGTTGTCAAATTCACGCAATGAAGTTATCGATTACAAAGCATTAAACCTCATAACGCAAGGCCAAATTCGGAAAATAATAACTTGGTTCACTGATTCTTTTTGCTCTTCAATTACTAGCTGATATCATGGGCACCAAACACCTCCTGTGATACTGGGGCGAGGGGAAATCTTCCCTCCTCATCGCACTAAAAATTTGTGGACTCGAAGGTTTTGAGTATCTAAAGAAAATACTATTTTGCTAAATACTAGCAAACCATTGATAGGAGACCAGAATTTAGCGGTAAGGGAAGGGAAAAGGTGAATTGAATTCTAAAAATCACGCACTATATAAGATGAGCAGGATTTACGAGCAATGGCTGATCTAAACAGGCCCAGGGATCACGCTTGGGGAAAATATGTAACGATCTTTCAGGGAGTTCGATGACACGATTGAAACTACTACAGAGAATAGGAAAATTTTAGCCATATCAGAAGATATTATCAGTAAATAACTCAGTATATAAGTAATAAAGAGCTCTTAAAAAAAGAGTATTCTAACTTTTCTTAAAGAGTTTTCGATAATTTTTCCATGGAAACGCGCTTACTAGACATTCGGCAATCGATTTACGTATGATCATCTGCAAATCGTTTCACCTCAACACCAATTAATATCAAAATACTCTATCGCGATTCCATCTATATCGCTTAAGCATTCTCGTGAAAAGACATGAAATATGGTCCAGGAATAATTAACTAACGCAACTTAAAATCCAAAATTCTGAATACTTTCATTATCTTAGTTAGTGAATGTGAAGAGAAACGACATACTACTGGTACTACTTTAGGTATTGTCTTTAAGTGGCGTCAAGCAGCATCGCTACTCGACAGACATCCGCATTATTTTCGGTTGGGCAACTGTTACTTACATCTTTATTAATTGAAGAGTTTGCATAGACAATGAACGTAACAATGGGCCCGGCAGGATCAGCATGGTTTAATTTTTATTTACCTTAGAAGTACTACGCAAAACGTTAGGTTCTTCCTTTGAGAGGAGAAGCATCGTAAATGTCTTCATGGTTTGAAATCAGAAGAATTATTAAATTTCGAATATTTTTTGCACGAATGATTTTAATTTTTACATGATCAGTGACGGGAATGTACTAATGACTGTACATTTTCGAGCAAAAATTCACAGTGCAAGGATTTGTAATGAAAAAGGGCGCAAATAGGGAATCCAAGCAGCAATGTTTATATTTGGTAGGAATACAGTAATGTTACCAGGAAAATATGGAAGGATTTAGGAAGGTCATGTCGAATTATTGGAAATTTATTATTTTAATTCACTACACGATGGGCGAGCACTTATCTCTGTGTTTTAGGTGGAGGAATTGGAACAGTCGAACACCAGTCGTCGTAATAGGAATTCTCTCAGAAAGATTATTGTACAATCGTTTGATTCTTCTGGGACGTGCAAATGCTCATTAGTTATTTAAAACCAAGAAAAATATTTAACGATCCACAAAAGATCCAAAACAATTCAGGATCATTTAATCAAGTATGTGTTAATAACACCCGTTTATTAGGGATATTATTTTAACGCGTGAATTGGGAATTTTATTGCATAAAATTCTAGGCAACCGCGGGGACGAAACTGAGCCTAGAAGCGATGTACTAGCAACGACCAAATAATGTAGCTAGTACAAGTGCATGTCGCCATCTCATTAAACGTTCTGCAATCTACACCCCAAGATTTTGAAATAAAATTATACGCAACTAATTTAAACAGAATTTTTAAATGTTGGGTTCTATCAACAGCTTACGCCAACTATAAAAATTCTAAAATGGAAAGAACCACATTAAGTTAACGATTTTAAAATGCAAATCAGAAGCCGCAAGGAAATCTTCTGGTAACAAGAATAGAAGTTGGCATGATCCTAATACATATAACAGCATTACACTATCGTACAAGGTAATGGATACAGTGAGTAAACGATCCTCAATACTGTATACATTGTGGCTCAAGTGATTAGCATTAATGTAAATTTTCAAGAAATTTTTTAGCTGTTTGTCGTACTAAGAGATTAGAGTGATTTCCGTGCAAAGATACATATCGAATTCCTGCAAATTCATCGAATTCATCTGTTCCAAATAATCATCTGGAAATGCTTAGGGGGACCTATATTTTGTAAAATAAATCGAGATAAACTGAGAGAAGAAACTTTTTGAGAATAGTTTAAAATTGGTGTTTCATGAAACTACAAGAAAATCAACAGAGTCAAACGTGGACTAATTTAAAAATTAATAAACATTGAATATAACATTTAAATCATTCGTCGCAGAAGTGTCGCTGGTAGAAGAGACATACAAGTATAACTTCCAAACAGAATTACAGACGACCATTCACATGAAACGTTGTTTCTGAATGTTTGTTTGAAAGAAACTTCAAGATGTTGAGAGAAATAAGATAACTCGAAAAGATAATTTAGAGCATTATACACGATTACTCATGAACCAGATACTATTCCTTAACTTTAAAGTGAGTAAAATGAAGTCAAGTTTAAGGGCAGAATCTGTTGCCAATAAAATCCATTTTTGCTTACCACACCCAAATTTAGACCTTTAAATACAGTCAGAGAATACGAGGAAGATAACACAAGTTTAATCGTAAATTGTGCTGCATTACTAACCTCTTTGTCTTCTTCTTCCTTTTCCTCCTCAGCAGCCGTGAGCTCCTGAGCGTTGGCCAAGTTGTCGACGGCGATGGCCAAGAAGACGTTGAGGAGCGTGTAGTTGCCGAACACAACCAATATGATGAAGTACATGCTGTAGATCATGCCTGTTGAGGTGGTACCTCCTTGTGACTTGATGCCTTGGTACATTACTTCATTCCAGTCCTCGCCAGTCAAAATCTGACCACAAGAACGTAATACAGTATGTAGACCTTCTTTCACTGAAACGCTAATTTCGTTTATATAAGTATGAGCCAAAGTATAAGTATAAGCCATAAGCTATATAAGTATGCGATTCAAGAGAGGCTGAAACGAATGCTGGATGCATTTGTACATTTTTCTGCCTTCATCTGGATATACTCGTACGCAAGCTATACTAATAGCTTCTTTGCACTTGTTAAGTATCAAAATTAGTTGATAGTAAATTTGTGAAACTTTTTCCGTCTTAGTCTGTAGCGGAGTTATTAGAAGATTTTAGTTGATGCACCATAATGTGCACAGCTCCACAAACTTAAAAACATACCTGGAAGACCGTAAGTAGAGCTATGGCGAAGCGGTTGAAATTTAAAAACAAACCTGGAAGACCGTAAGTAGAGCTATGGCGAAGTGAATGAAATTTAAAAACATACCTGAAAGACCGTAAGTAGAGCTATGGCGAAGCGATTGAAATTTATATCGTCATCCAAGTCAATATATGTGTGTTCCATCACACTTGAAGTTGCATCGTTCTACAGGCGATTTGTTGTTATGAACGTTGAATCCCTGTTACGTGGTTTTGACGAAATGTTTCTCATATCATTTCTGTAGACATTGCAAAACAAATATTCATTTGAAATTTGATGATCTCATTTCATTAGCATAAAATAAATTTAGAACTTGAAATGTAAAAACTAGGAAAAGGATTTACATAACACAATTATTATTAGACGGATGTTATGTCGTATAATTTGCAAAATGCGATAATGAATTAAAGAAGGGAAAAATCACAATATACCGCATTTTGGAGAATCGTCATGATAAACTATAATAGACCTTCAATACATGACATGACAAGGTTATTTTAGGAATTATAACATCAAATGCCAATACACTGCGTTTGATTTTCTAATGAGAATATTAACATGTGAGCGGTAATCACTCCAACACAAAGAACACTAAAACTGTAAGGCATTGCAGACTTTAGTTCTAGTGAGGGAATCGCTTCGTCAAATTTCCCCATGACAAGGGTCATGAGTGAACAAGGTCTGATGGGCCAGGTAATACAATTCCTTGCAGCCAATCTCAGCGCGTTAATATATTAACAATTTTGATTGAGCGTCTCTGTAGCCATTGCATGAAGATTTAGACAGTGATGACATATACATGCATGGTAACTAGGCAATTAAACGTTGAAGACGGCTGTAAGAAATTTTCACGATTTCGTTAAAGAGATTTCACGAACAATTTAATGGTAAATAGAATCACCTATAGCTTCAAAGAATGTTTCCCAGCTGAAATTACTAGTATCATGTTAACGAATACGAGTAAACGTCACCGAAGTGAAAGGCTACTTGAACTTAAATTTCATTGAATAAAAAAGTAAGTGAAATACTGGGAGTCTTTACCCTAGACTTTCTCAAATGGGAAACTAAAATCTACCCATATTTAACGACACAAAATAGAATGACTTGGTGAAATTTAGAGCACTTGTCCCTCTACGCGTTTTTATGAGTTTTAATTGGCACGTCTAACGAACTATTTTGTTGAACCTTATAGTAACATTGGCATAAACAAACAAGTACGCATTGAATTAAATGAGGATCTTAAAAGTGTAGATGATCTCATGCAAAATTTACGTACTTGGTGACTTTGAATATTCTAAGTAATCTGAGAGCTCGCAGGACAGAAAATCCGAAGCTCTCGTCATAGATGCCGGACCAGATGACCTCGAAAATGCTGCCGCTGATCACGACGCAGTCGAAGCGATTGAAAGACGACTCGAAGTATATTCTTGGACCTAGAGCGTATATCTTCACCAACATCTCCGTTAAAAAAAGGCCTAAAAAAGCATATTCAGCATAATCTGTAAGAAAAAATATCAATTTTAGTATTATGAAATAAGAAAAAATATAAATTTTAGTGTTATGAAACATATAATAATGTAAAAATCTATAAATTTCGTTAATATTTTCTTTATATATACGAATGACAACTTTTTCGATAAGATGTGTCAATTCTACTAGTAAAAAGTGTACCTTGGGCCGGCTGTTCAAAGAAAATACAATTTTGCTTACAGTCCTTCTTCCAGTTTATTCGAATTAACCGTAACAATTTTGCGTCTTATATACAGGGTGATACAAGGAAACTTCCTGAATTTTAAAGCTCAAAAAAAGAACTAGTAAATATATCATCACAATATAAATTTTATTGAAAAAGACATTACCCAAAATTTTGTATCACTTAGTTTTAAAGATTACATCTAACAAACGATAGCCCCCATTGTCATTGCATTTAGTTAGTCGATTTTGGAAGCACCGTTCAACTCGCTGAACCATATTGACGGGTATATTTGCGATGGCTTGGCGTAGATTGTTCTTCAGATGAAGTAGGGTGCTGGAAAAGTCATTGTAAGCATTTGATCCAAAAGCGGAATGCACGTTGAGTAGCGATAATGGAAGGGCCTTTATAAAAATATGCCTCGACAGCAAACGCACTCTGCTCACTTGCCCAAAGCATAGTGGCAACTGACAAGGCGGGACACAAAAAATTATGGCCTTGCCCTTTATATTGCTCTTCATTCATTTGCCCGTTTTCCTACAACAACGCTCTTTTCTGCCTGCTTGGCGCGAAATACAAAACAGGAAGTTCCCGTAAATCACCCTGCATCTGAAAATATATGTATTGCTTAATTCATGGGCTGATCTCGCAAAAGAGCTCACATAAAAAATCAGCCAACCAGAGAGGCTGAGCGTAGTGTTCAGAGGCTACACAGGCAGTGTTGAGGAACACCAACACGATCACAAACCAGTAGAACCACTGCTGCTTCACGGTTCTTCTGATCCTAAATCTGCCACGGAAAAAACTCGGATAAATAACACCCAAGTTGAACCTAAGTCACCATAATGAATATAGCGAAGCCATCACTACACAGCCTTGCATATAATAAAGCGGTAATTAGCTCGCTTGAACCAGCGATGAGATTGTTTCATGTCAAAATGGTCGAGAAATTTCATATTTACACGGAAAAGGACGTAAATAGTTTTAAATAGTAGATATGTATGTTAGTATATATTAGTTAATTCAGCGAGTAAATGACGTCCCAGCTGACGGCAGAATGACTGGAATTGATCGTAATTTTCATAATCAGTCTAATCGCTAGTGTATCCAGAAAATCGTATTAATTTTACGACTGACCTTGCAAGACGACCTAACGGTTTGAGAATAATCATATTTTTGGGAGCTGCCTGTATATAAGAACAAACCAATGCGCACATCCGAAAGCAAAGGTCAAATGATGCCGCATCCAATTGAACTACTTTTGACATTAATTGTTGTAAAATGAATTATTGCTATTAATTGGAAAGTACGCGCCGTCGAGGATAAGGGTTAAACAAATGAATAAGAACAGAATTTAATAAATTTACCTAAATCTTTTCTCAGCTTTCCAGAATCCCTTGCACGCGCCTTGCTTCCTCATCTTGTTGTACGATGTTCGAGCGAACCCTGCCCACACACAACAACAAAATGATACCAGGTGTCCAAAAAGTAATTCATAAATAAATTTTTCTTTGTTCCATGTTACTTTTGGGGTAGGACCTGGAAAAAAGTTGTATTTAGGGAGCAAAAATAAAGTTTGAGGATGCCTCAAAGATATCATGAAGATCATAAGAGGGAATCTTTTAAGAAAACTAATTCAGTGGGAAAGTCTTTTTAAATTCATTTGGCAGGGATGCTGAGTGAGGGGTAGATGTGAGAGGGTGAAGACGAATTATTTGAGGGCTTGTGAGATACGGTGAGCAGTCATCTAGTATTTACAAGTCAAAAAGTCAAAATCTGTGATACTTTCAAGAACCTGAGTCACATGCGGTCAGAATTCTAACTTTTTTAGTTGATAGCAATTGGTTATGTTTTGATCATTCGTTATCTCTTTAAGGAACATTGAAATTAAACTGTCTGGAAAATAATAATAGAACTAGAAAAATTCATCGAAACCCTTTGAATTGTTCTATATGATGTTCGTTTGTGCTTATTGCAATGATATTTTAGTACACGATACTTTAAATATCTTCTCATGGGTGCATTAACACATTCAATGAAAGTCTGTTAAGATAATAAATAGCTAAATTTTATCTGTCGGATCATTGTAAGAAAGTATCCGTCCGATGAGTTAATTTTGCGACGAGAAAAGTTACCATGCATTTTATAAACTTAGCAGCCAAATTTTCGGCCCTTCCATGAAATTAACTGTCTCTGCCTTGCCCAAAACATGAGCTCGTCTATTATGTCACAGTCACCTAATGGTCAACTTATCTCCTCGGCATTTGTTATCAGTCACATCGCCTCAGCTGTCGCAAGAAAATATTAATCGATGACAAGAAGTTTATAGCATTACTGTACAACAATGTATGCTACTTACACAGTAGGGTGGAGTGTGAATTTGAAATGACACGTTTATCAACCAGAAAATATTGATTAGTATAAAGATCTATCCCAATTTGCAGGTAAGAAAACAATTGCTAATGAAAAATAAAATAATTGTAGTTCACAAAATCGTTAACAGAATCATATAGGCAAGTTTATTATCTTGCATAAATAACTATGAGCACGCGATCAGGGCTCATCAAAATACTGCTTATATTCTAGATATAATATAAAGCCAACGGATGGTTTTCAAATTGCCATTACTTCAACTAAATGACTAACTAATGACAGTTTTATTACTACACTTTTCTAAGTTATAATTTTTTACGGGCAAATTGATTCTCGAGCGAATACCATGCTTCCATCCGTCTGGTCAATTTTAATTTTGAATTAATCCGCTCGAAAATATGCTACTTTTATCACTATTTGATAAATTTATCTATACTAAATACGGACGAACACGGACCACACGAGCATGATTAATGAAACTAGCGTATCTCGTCTACACATGTACCGTAAAAAAGTTATGGACCAAGGAAACGTGTATAGGTGCAGCAAACTTTATCAATATAAACATATTTGACTTTGACATTCTACATTGAAGAATTGAAGTTCATAAATTCAAAATATGAAGGATGACTTTTCTGAGGCATATCGAAAACATCACATCATAGAGAAACCAAAGAAACAATGCATATAAATTAATTAAAACACTAAGTAACGTAACAATGTTGAGAAAATGCTCTCCAATTAGGAAATTCGTTGAATAAAAAATAAATAGTTGAATGAATTTTTTTCATTTCAAATTGGGGTACCACGTCGAATAAAAAAAGATTGATACACGTATGTTGGAAAAAAGTTTACTAAAATGATTCCTCGCGTCAAGTTTTGTTATTGGGATAATAGAAAAAGTTGATGTAAACAAAATATGAGAGACTCAGCTGGTACACCTTGGAACCGCTAGCCTAGTTTGGGAATGTTCAAAGTATTTATAAAACCAACTATTTCTGCTGAGGACGGTTACGTATATTTTTATGGTGAAGTCAACATATGTAGGAAAAAAATTATACTCATTTGTTGAATATTTCCTGAGTTTGGAATCAATTAGCAGGCTCTGTCAGATGGATGGCTAATTTCATGCTCACAATTTTATGTAAAATGAATAGAGAAATTTTTGGGATAACGTGCAGGGCATCGTTCACACTCACTATTTACTCAAAGACAAAAGCCACTTAGGCCGGGTTTTAAATTTTTTTTTCATATTAAAATGGGGAAAAATATGTCCACCCGCATTGCAGAATTATTGAGACACGACAAGACATAGACGGGAGTTTATCGGCCAAGAGTTGCCGGGGACATGCAAGCCCATGTCTTCTCAATATAGGAACGGAACAAAATTTTGTAGGGAAATAGAGGCAGTTTAGGGTGGGGATACTAAAATGTGTGTGTTTGGCTATTATCTGGAGAAAAACTGACCAACACAGGTTAATTCGTCCAAGAATGGTACCATAATTTAATCACTCGTTTAACATAGACAGAAAAACGTTCAGAAATGTACTAGGTGGCATTAAATAAAATATCATGTAAATAATGAATGTAGTAAAAAATTTTTCGTAAAATGCAGAACTTCACTTCAATGGAGGAGTCTTAAACACTTAATACACCTCTAAAGAAACGATTTAATTATGAGATTTTGTACAAGAACTAGCGGATTTAGTCAAATTTATTTTCAAGTGAATACGTCTAAAAGTCTTCGAAAAAATAATCGAACATGGCGATGAATAAAATGAACTGACAAGACAATGAGAGGAGAACAAGAACATAAAGTTAAATAAAGATAGAGGGATTTTTGAGGAGGTGTGAATAAATGATGAAAATAAGGCACGAGGATAAGCTGGCGTAAGGATTACAGCGGTTCAGCGCATGGTATAATGATAAGTCGTAACACACTAGACGAATAATTTAATAATATTAATGAACAAGAACGGCTAGTAGAGCGATTGCTAAGTTATTACCATAGTTTGGTAGGCCAAATACCTGTCTTTTTGTTGGACACTGCGAGAGAAAGTGGAGCTGTTAGAGAGACCGAGGTAAGGGTCAGGGAGACATTAGGAAGGTTAACACCATTACCATAGCTCAATCAATAACGCTTCATTTATTATTACCCGTACTTGGGAAATACACCCTGATGGCAAGACGCATTTCATGAGTTTAAGAAAATAGTAAATAAAAAGTTGCTCAAGTGCTAGGCTGAAAAAGCTGAAAGGGAAGTGTTTATTTATTAATGATTAGAAAGTTGGACCACAACTTCAGGAGGTGAAACTTTAGTATCTTAAGTTATTACGACAAACACAGAATTCGCATTTATTAATTAAGAACCTGGTATACAGATAATTATTAATATTCTAAATAATGAGTCAGGTCAACGTCTAACGAACGCTTCAAATTCCTTTTATTTCGGCTCCGTCAATAATAATTGTGATCAAAGAACAGCGTCAATTCTGACACATAATTATTTTTTCATAAACTGAAATAGAGGTTATAGGTTTGATTGCTTCAATTAAACTGAAATAGAGGTTATAGGTTTGATAGCTTCCATAAAACTGAATTAGAGGTAATTTTTACAACGATCGAGTGCAATGAATAACTTGAAGAGCGAAGCAAATGTCACATTAAAGCTTAGTAAGTCATTCCAGGGATTGCCTTTCTTTTCCATAGCATACTCTCATTTTACATGAATGAGAGGCTACAATGGGTACATTTTTTGCTCCTAACTTTACATCATTGCAAACCGTTTCACCAGAACATTTTGTTACCGTTTAAAGAGGCAAAAAGGTGGAGAAAAACTTCAACGATTCTGAATCAACTAACAATCGAGCATTGATGCTATTTTAATAAATAGTTGATTGCTGGTTTTCCATTAATTTCAAGTCAGTAATTTAGAAAAACTCGTAACGATGATCCAGTGGCAATAATTGACGAAAAAATGAAACGTTCGAAATCGTGATGGAAAAAATGAAACGCACCCAAGCCTCACTCACTAAACCATTCACACGTGCTTCGGAAATTATCTTGTAATGTATGCAAAGTAATCGTTTGATGCTGTACACAAATGTTGAGTGAATAAAAAATTCTTGACCGGGAGAAATACACTGCGTTATAAATGGTTATCCGATAACAAGGTTAGTAGCAAAAATACGGTTACGGTCCAGCACAATACACTGCGTTAGAAATGGTTATCCGATAAGAAGGTTGGTAGCAAAGATACGGTTATGGTCCAGCACTGACCGTCCTCCTCCTCGATATCGTTGTCCTCCTCATCAGTGTCCGTGCTTTTACTTTTGCCCAAATTCTTCAGCTTTTTGCGTTTAGCGGCGGCTCTTCTCCGAGCTGTCAGAAATAAGACAATATTATACCTATAAAATAAAATTTGTTGGCAGCGAATACTAACAATCGTGCAACATAGATTCAAAAATACATTCACCAAGTGAACTGAATTCAGGAGGAAACCAAAGTTTCAAATTAATGCTCCCTTTGTAGGACAGCGCCATAAATAATCAACCTGATTTTTCCTAGAACCGCCTAAAACCAGGACAAATAATTGAAACATTAGTTCATCAATAAAATTCATGAAGTCTTTTAAAGGTAATCATGCGTTATTCCAAAATGATTCTCGTGCTCCAAAACATCGATTTGAAAAGCTGTCGATGTAGGTGAAATGTGTTTCGGCAGACATGGCAGACAAACAGACTCAAACTTATTTTCCATCAGACGATTCAATTCAACGAAAAATTGCGAAAGAATTTGTCAATCAATGAATAATCTTTAAATTTATTTCTATAATGGACTAGGTGAAGATTTGTACGATTACTAGGTAAGCATCAGGAATTTTAGTACGTATTTAGTTAATAAAAGTCAAGAAAATTTTTGCTAACTTTTCATTTTGGCGTGAGTGAAAAGTGCGAGAAGCTGGCGAGTAACAACTTCTGAAAACGTTAAACTAAAATTTCTTAGATTATACTAGTAATCAAATTTTGCATATTGTATTCATTCGCAGTTGATTGATCAAATAAAGTAGATAATAATGTAAACGAGGATGATGCTAATAACAACATAATGCCATGGTATAAGATTCCATTCTTGCATACGACAAAAATCAAACGTTGCTGCCACGATCGCTCTACTGGTCTCTATAACAAACACAAACAACATCGCACGCACCTTCCATTATATGAGCCTTCTCTTCATCTGTTGTTCTCTCCTCAGCGAGAATTACTTCCTCTGTATCAAACACAGGAGCGAGTTATTACATCAACACGAAACACGAATAAATTATGTATATACGGGAAGTTATTTCTGCAAATTTCAACACCAGAGTATGGTCTCACACAAGGCAATGTTAGGAGTCAGCCAACTAACTCCTAAAATTAATTTGTAACAAGTAGCGTTCGTAATCGTCAGTGATTGGTTAGATATTTTCACAGCCGAAGTAATACTCACGCTAGATAAACGACATAATAACGTGTAACACTGTACAGCGCAGTATTTTCATTTCAAATATGATCATCTACGAATACTAACTACACAAATAATTTGCAAATACTTATTGGGAATAACAATGAAGGTAAGTGTAATATTATTTTAGCATTACGTGAACTAGCTAACGAAATAATTATTTTTGAACATACAATGGATCCTCGGCACGCGACAATCGACACATCTAAATATTCTAATCAAGTTCAACAAATTTATTAAATGATCATACTTCAAAGCAGAGTTTTCTAAATTTTCTCTGAGTTCGGATCCCTTCAAGTCTCATTTTGGGACTCTGAGCTCAGAGAAAAAGTAAAGTTCAACTTTACGCTCTATGAACACGACAAGCATTGATCACTTAATTATTTCTTGGGCTCCTCACAAAAAAAAATTTCATGAGAAGAGACTTGGCTAATAGCTACAAATTTTGCCATTTTTAATTCTTTTTCTGAAATTTAAATTTTCATCCCATGACGTAATTATCATGTTGAATCAATAAATTAAAGATATTACTGACACTTTGTCCAAATGGCAAAGCATTCATTTTTCCATGTGTGTCATCTGGACCCAGTTTGGTTCGGCAAAAGGATATATCAGTGCTACGCTCCCTTCTGTTCCCAAGTAAATCTGTAACAATTTTGATAACATATGACCCATACATTTTTCTGAAAGTTTGCAAGTGAATAAAAACTTTCAATTGTTTCCGGATTTCAAGGAAATGTGTTTCAATTATGAAATCCGCAGTCGGCATTAGTTGCTCTATGTACGATTATTGAACTAAATTAATGCTCAGAATAATAATCGATTTGTCACCATATTCAGATTAATACTAATTGAAGACATATATACTGAAAATTAATTTGCGTTAACATCGTTGTGAGATCCTGCAAATTTTTTACATGAACCTAATAGTTGTAGTCGGCACAGCGATGCCAAAATCTAAATTGAAGTAAGTGAAAGACAGCACTTTCTGGCAACCTGAATATACATGCTAGTCTGTGGCCTATGAATCAAGTTTGAGATTTTATAGCATTGACGAATCACATTGCGAGTGCAGTTGCATCCACATACGGAGGAAGTCGAGGTTACTGACATGCGTAGTATAGCGACCTCCTCATTGCTACTACCTCTTCAGCAAGTGAATTGCCGAACTAGTCGGACAATGAACTAAACTAGGATCTTCATGCGCTCAAGCTTTAAATAATTAAGTTTAAGCGTGAAACCCATTGATAGAATGCATGATGGCAACAAATGTCTATCGGTTTGAATTAGTAAAAATCTTCAATGGGTTAACTAAAGGTTTTGATAACTTATAATCTTAACAACAGCTCATTTGAAAAAAATGCACACATCAGAGTTCAAATTAATACGAGTACTATTGCACTCGCATGTAGCACTATATCATCCGTTATAAGAATAACGATTATTATGATAGAAGGAGAATAACGATTATTAGAATTTGTGATCAATGCTTGGGTGTCGCATCGCTCAAACTGGAGTCGGTTGACTGCACAAGAAGACTGTTAAATGAATTATCGAAATAATAATTGATCAATATGATTTAATATCAGACATTGTGGAATTTAAAAAGTTTGAAACATAAATAAGAAAATTCGGCATGGATGTGAAAAACTTCGAAAATAGTGGAAAGCTTACTGACATTACTGCAACTGCAGTAATAACTTTGAATATTAAGTCTTGCGTGAGCGTTCAAGCGACTCTTAAGCTCTACATAAAACGTACCAGCTTTACAAATCCACTCTACATAGCCATTCAACTCTTTCTCTAGCTGCTGCTGTCTACGTAGTCTCAGAAACTCCTGGCGGTTCTCTACACGCTCTCTCTCTTTGGCAAATTCTCTGCAGGGAGACAAGATCAATACAAATGTTGCTTTGTGATCATCATTAGTGCGACATAACACTTTGGTTAAAGTCCTTCTTCGGTAGTAAAGATCAAACACAAACAGCCTGTTAATAATAAACTAGCAGTTCTAATGTAGATGAAACATTCGATTAGGAGTGTGATGGCCAAGTTCGAAAAATCAGGCTGGATGGCATGAAAAGTAATGGAAGAATAAGCTTTCATAACGGAAAATTAGTTGGAATATAATAGAGAGATGAACTGAAGTATTGTAAAAAAAGTTACACTTGAAAAAGAGTATTAGTTCCATGGAGGCTGATAAGCAGACGCGTTGTCAAGAAGAGTTTAGAGACAGCAACAGAATCGCATGTTTTCTGGTTCCCTACATTGGTAGGTTTGTACCTACCGAACGTACACTCGATTTATTCGGAAATGAATATGTTCTAGCATACCATGGTCTGTACGAACTGCTAATAATGATCTACTGGTCTAAATGTTTTCTACGACTTCTAATGAAAAATTAAATCCAATTTCCTTCAGCGAAATGACAGAAGTAAAAATAGAGAGATAAATGCAAACAATGTTACAATTGGCACATGATCACATGAATATATAGGCCTCTTCACACGCCTTGTCTTTTGACCTCAATATTGTTCCACATAATTTCTTTTTGCTCTTTGTTTTAACTCAATCAAACACCTGTAAACAATATAAATAATTGAATGTGCTTCATCTTTGCTTGACAACAAATGCTGCCAAAACAAAAGAACCCAGCACTTGCAATGCATATATGTAAAATTTAATTATAATAATAATAATAATAATGATAGATCCATCACTGTTTGTATTGAACTAACAACTGACTTCAGTTTCATATCGATAGATTCAAAGGCGCCGTAGACTTCTTTCTATAACGAAAATAAACCCGTGCATGGCAAGGGTAAAGTTACAGGCTTTAACGCAGCAAATATATTATGCAGGCCGCTAAAGGTACGAATGATTTTAAAACATATTTGAGAGGAACGCACAGGCTAGCACACTTTGATATGACTTTCTATTAAATAATTATATGATAACAATTTTTTTGTGAATAAACCTAAAAAGGAATTAAACATCATTTGAAGAACAATACCTCTTGCATCAGGCCAGGTACTCGCCAAGAAGGCTTTTAAAATTCGTTAATAACATCTGATTCGTCAAATTTAATCCTTACTGTTATTGCGACCTTCGAATTAAAGACGCACATTAATATATTTACTTCGATAGACTGAGAAAATTTTTAATTGTTAATAATAAAAATTAAAATATCAGTGAATATTTATATATGCAAAACTATTAGAAACTTCTAAACTATTAGGTAACCGCATATAAACATATCCAGGTCAAAAGACAAGTGATCGTGTGTTGGAGGTTTCGACTCCAGGCAAGAGCCGCAGGACGCCACTTTAAAATTACATGACTCAACGGAGAAGCATTCGTTTCCAAGCTATGAGCATCACGCGCAAATACGACACAGCAGTTTCGTCTATAGGCGTTCCCCCGATCGGTATGTGCGTTTCATGAACACTCGTTCGCGAAACTTTGAATATTCGTCTCAAAAATGTTCAATAGCTGCTATGTAAATCAATTCTGCATGAATTTAAAAAATCCACAGAATTTTTCGGTGAAAGGTTTTGAGCTCTAACAAAAAATTTTGTTTCGGTTGAGGCATCCCCCAATGTTTCAAAATATTTGCATATTTGTATAGAATATACACAAAATATTTGTAAATCCAGAATGTCACGCCCTTATTAATAATTTTGCCCCTAATTAACATCATTATATATTGGAAGACACGTTAACACACACTAATCGGGGTTCGCCAGAACTCGCAATACCACGGGTACAAACTTTATTTTGCAAACGCACCGACAGATGCAACGTAATTGAACAAGTCAATATAAGTTTAGATTATAAATTATCCTTATTAGAATCTGCAACTTGCCCAACTTCAATTGTAGTACAAAATTGGCACTGGTGCGGGACTTATCCATTTAAAATTGAATGTGTTTGTTTTCTTGAAGAGTATCAAATCGTTAGCTACAAGTAATCAATTAAATGCCGTTTCCGTACGCTACATCTCTATGCGTGAAAACATTTATATTCAGTGAATAAGTCACCAAGAAAGTGTAGTCAATAAGTAAATAAGTGTCAGTGAATAGCACAATGATACTATAAAGTTATCGATTTTTTCAGCCAAATATGTGTACTCAATCAAAAATCTTCAGAGAAATGAACAAGATACCCATGAGCATCGGCAAAGAGTTGGGCATTTTGACAGATGCATGGAGCCGCAATTACTCATTCTATAATCGCAAGCTGAACGTTACATCTCCTTCTAGCTTTCACTCTATGAATATGGGAACGCAACGAAGAGAATTTACCCGCTCGCCCTATCCATTCGAAGTAATTGAGAAAATCTTCCGTGAAAAGCTTCCGCATCCGCATTTTACGGAAATGTTCCTTACGTTCGACTCGTTCTCTTTCGTTGGAGAATTCTCTGGTGCAGTCGAATCGAAAGAGGAAGAAGAAGATCAGGAAGAAATGAGACGGTCCCAGGATATGCATGGCTCAGGGGTGATAGGATATAACAGATGAAACGAACTTAAAGCCTTCAACAAAATTTTGTACAATATTTTTATTTCTGAGTAAAATTTAGAGCAATTGAACTGAACTAAATGCTGAACTGAACTGAATATGCTACATAAATTCTCTCTAGATTGCAAAGTTATAACCCCTTCCTCTATAAAAACCATTCGTTATATGAGAGCATAATCAGAAAACATGATTTATTGGAAAGTAGCGTGAGCTTGAATGATGTGAAAAATAAAAAATCTTGAGAGAAAACGGGAGAATAACATGAAGGGTGTTTGTCACTGTGGACGGAAAACTAAACACAAATTTTCAGCACATTAGGTTGAAATATTTCATGAGAATATATCATTAATATTGAAAATAGAAAAAAAAACTATGCACAAATTCAAACTGAAATTTAAAGACATTTCTTTCCCGCTTTCATCGAAAAGCTTGAAGTCTTGACAATTCCAAGAATTTAAAACCGAAGAAAGTACCAACAACTTCGCTATATTTCCATTGAAAACCTTTCGAAGAACAGCTCTTTCGTCATGGAAAAACTAGACTATACTAGCTATAAATTAATTCGATTACTAAATTGTCACGGTATAAATTATAACTTAGAAAAAACAATAAAGTGAGAAAAACGCAAATCTGATGAAAAAATTGCGAAAAATTTTACCGACGAACGCTGATACACACTACGTAAACTGTGCTCGGTACCCAGAAGGGTTTGCCTACTGGAAAATATACTGTTCAACTGGAAATATTAGTAATTTTGGCATTATCTTCGATTTTAAAATTTTGGTTAGTTTGTGATTGGAGAGATAGCAATTTTCTTAATTTTATCCTCATCTCGGTAACCATAAGGGTCGACCTACTGGAAGCTACTGTTCAACTGGAAATATTACGAGTTTTGGCATTATCTTCGCTTATTAAATTTTCGTTTAATTTGTGATTGGAGCGATAAAATGGTTTTAATGTTGTCTTCACCAGATATTACAGTGACACCTGAACATCCACTGGCGACTCAGCCAATTTTATCATAGCGATAACTTGGTGAATGATATTCCTTATGGGAATGCATCTCAGTGCTCTGTCTTAAACAGATATTACGGCAACATAACACACTTTATTTGTTATTTATTTATTTAACTCACCCCGACAAGACGCCGAGTACAAGGTTGAGCATGAAGAAGGATCCTATGACAATCAAGGGCACGAAGTAGAAAATGTTAAAAGTGGATCCCACGGAGTCGTTCGTCTGGAAAGAAGAAAAAGAAACAATCAAATAGCGATTGAACAATAGTGACTTAAAGAAGTCATCGACAGCAATTAGTCACTGAATTAGTCACCGAAATTAGTCACTGAATTAGTCACCGAAATTAGTCACTGTAATGGTTTGTATGCCTTCCATGAGACATTGCGTGGACGAATGTCACAAGATGAAGCTAGGTCTGCTCGGGTTATGGCAGCAAATGCTTAACATAATCTAGACTTTTTGGTATAAACGTTTCGCCATTTTAAAAATTTTCAAATAATACACACGAATAGATAAAAATTTACGCAATCAATTGCAAAGAATTCTCACGTTTATAACCTACAATGGCGAAATGTATATCAACATGACCACAATTGTTTTTAATTTGTTTGCTCCGATCATTATTTTTCGTTTATACCGAAATGTCAGCAGAGACTCACCCAGTATAATATAGTGAAAATTACATCGACTTGACCACAATTTTTTTAATTCGTTTGCTCCGATCATTATTTTTCGTTTATTGAATAGATAGCAGAGACTCACCCAGTATAATGTAGTGAAAATTACATCAACTTAATTGACCACAATTTTTTTTAGTTTGTTTGCTCCTACCATTATTTTTCGTTTATTGAAGAGATAGCAGAGACTCACCCAGTATAATATAGACGTCCATCCCTCCTGAGTGATACACTGGAACACAGTCAGCATGGCAAAGCCTATGTTATCAAAAGAAGTGATGCCGAAGTTAGGACCGTCCCAGCGCTCCAGACAAATAGAGACTGAGGGATCACATAAGAAGGCACCTGAGGGAGATGTAGTCTCATTGCTATTCTCCAAGCCGTCTGCGTAACACGGAGTCGCAGCCTCTCCTTCCGTAATAATAACATCTGCAAAGATAATGTTAATAACAATAATAATAATATTAATAATAGTAATATTAATAATGATAATAATAACAATAATAATAACAATAATAATAATAATAATAATAATAATATCTGCAAGAATAATAGGAATAATAATAATATCTGCCAAAATAAAAAGAATAATAGCATCTGCAAAAAATCATTGTTAGAATGCCATAGTGAAGTAGTTATATGACAATAGAGGTATCAGCTTAGACGAAATAGATCTCAACGAACTATTACGGCAAAATTTCTGCCATTAGAATGACACATGAAATAGTAGAAGCTTTCATACAATAGACAAAGGCAAAATCATTTATGATGGAAATGCGAAATTTATTGTGAAATTTTACAATAATTTTGTGCAATTCTATGCTTGAGCGTATTTCAATCTTTTAATTTGATCCTTGATAACACTCCGATGTAATTGGGGTAACTAAGCGACACTAGGTTAACTAAGCGATACTCGATATTTATTGGCTTTTTCGAACATAGAAGCAACTTTCAAGAAAGATAGAAAGCCCTCACCGAGATCTTCTAAGCTGTAGCAGGTTTTATGTAAGGCTCCACAATAAAAATCGAGTCCGATGATGGCAAATATGACGATAGCAAAGAGCACGAGAAGGCCAATTTGAAGCAGGGGGGCCATCGCCTTGATGATCGACTTGAGAACCACCTGAAGGCCTGCGTTTTGGTAAAAACATGTTAGCTTACATCCCATGTTGGCCAAGGTAAATTACTTGATGTTTCTGAACAAGCACAATATTCCACATAATTCTGTTCAATTTCGCAAGGCTATGTAGCAAATGTTATTAAAACCTCAGTTGTGCATAAATGTTCTTGTCAGTAAACAGAAACTTACTGTGCACATGATACTTGGGAGAAATTTGAATGATGTGAGTTGCGGTCCCATGACCGGAGTGACATTTCAATAAATTAAAATTAGGTCTCCCACAAGCATGCAACGGGGCAAGGTGCAGGCAATGACATAACTTACGATCTAAACTTCGTTTAGATCGTATAGTATACTTCGTATAGATCGTATAGTATACTTCGTATAGATCGTATAGTAAACTTCGTTTAGATCGTATAGTATAGATCGTATAGTAAACTTCGTATAGATCGTATAGTAAACTTCGTTTAGATCGTATAGTAAACTTCGCATAGATCGTATAGTAAACTTCGCATAGATCGTATAGTAAACTTCGTATAGGTCGTATAGTAAACTTCGTTTAGATCGTATAGTAAACTTCGCATAGATCGTATAGTAAACTTCGTACAGATCGTATAGTAAACTTCGTATAGATCGTATAGTAAACTTCGTATAGATCGTATAGTAAACTTCGTTTAGATCGTACAGTAAACTTCGTTTAGATCGTATAGTAAACTTCGTTTAGATCATTCAGTAAACTTCGTTTAGATCGTATAGCAAACTTCGAATAGATCGTATAGTAAACTTCGTTTAGATCGTACAGTAAACTTCGTTTAGATCATTCAGTAAACTTCGTTTAGATCGTATATTAAACTTCGAATAGATCGTATAGTATTATCCAATATCTATCGATGCAAGAAATTCTTCTGCAATTTATCTCCTGACCCGAGTCTCCATGAACTGACCCGAGGCAACTTAGTCTAATCGCATGACCTCTGGCTTTGAACAAAAGTCTACTCAGCCTTAATTCGATTGTATGAATTAATCTGAACTAATATTTATTTGAATGCAAAAGACAAGGTATGTAACAGATTATGAAGTACGCATGAATGAACGGAGCTAAACTTTGAGCTTTTGGTTAAGCCACGGTAGCGAAAGTAGAAACGGGATCGATGTACTAAAATTTACGAGGTGTTAAATTTTCCCGGGTTTGTCAAAAATGGCTTAGTTATGTTAACATTTTTTCTAAATAAGAGGCAATAATGGTATTTCAACAATATTTTCATAATTCAAGAGCCGAGTTTTACGTTACTGAAAAGTGCTGGCACATCCTCTACCCTTCTAAAGAAAAGATCCCGAGAAAATTGTTGGATTACCTTGGAATGCCGTTACGTCGCTAATTTTCAACAAATAAAATGAACTTTGCTTTCCTTTCGAATTTAAATCGGCCGTCTTCCGCCAATTACTCTTTACCAGCAGCATCACTGACGACATATGTCAAATAACCAGTAAAATTTCACGTCGGGCATTTTTGAGTCATCTTAACTTTATCTTCTTCGTATCCGCATTCTGAATAATATGGTTTGAAATTCCGCTGTATTATATATTCTATTCCATAATTTATGCAGCATGTGCTATATATCATTGCTCGTCTATGTGTGCAAGTATTATTATTACTATTTAGTTATGGTTAATGATGGGAATTCATCCTTAAATGATATTTACTGTTAAACCATTAACCCGTAGTGATAACTCAATCCAATGTGGTATTCGTTTCATTATTTTCATGCTGCCTTCTCAACAAAAATTAAAATATTTATATATCCAAATTTTGAAAGTTTTACCGTTTCAACACAAAACACGGCTAGAATTTTCATAAATTTTGCAACAATTTTTTTTTACTTTCATTTTTTTCGAGACAAGAAGGCTCGTAAGTCTGTGCTTTTCAATAATAAAAGCTGGTACTGATAAAAAGCAGAGAAGTCTCCTTTGAGCTTTTCCTTCATTAATCAGAGCCTTTTACGACAACGAGAAGCGCAGCATCACAAAAAAAAATTGTGTATAAAATGTGCGGTACGATGATAAAGCCAGGTTTCAACATTACCGTCTTTAACAACTCTAGCAGAACTCAGTATGACGTGTAACGAGGATCCGTAAGTAGGCTTTATATAGCGGCGTTCAAATTTGCAAATTTGACTTTACTCTTATCTTCACCGAACTTTATCGAATAGTCAAATAATAACAAAAATCAAACAAAAACGGTCACTGACAATGACCTTTGCAACACAATGCTTTATTCCAACATTGAGCTGTATTAAAAAAACTTATATCACTTCGATTACCGTGTAAAGCAAAGTAGGGAAGAAAATTTTATTTCAAATATGGAAACATATGATGGGAACGCGTGCCTCAAAGCATACCTTTAACTCAACGTCCCTTCTGTCACAAATATTTTCTGATCTCATATTTCGTCATAAATTGATAATATGAGTTAAGTTCAACACGCTAAACATCAGATTTAAATGCTCGTCGCCTGGACGCTGCTTGTTGCCCATCGTTTCTCTATTTGAAAGCAATTTTTCTTATACTTGCTTGTTTTTATTACTCATTGTTATTTTGTCTTAGTTTCTCTATTACTCCCAGTTCGAGACAATGTGATGAAATAGAAAAATCAGAACCAGACAAGCATTCATGACACGCATATTAACTCTACTCTTGAAAACGAACCCCTGGGTTGGGCGTCAGTAATTTGAGGCTTATTTCGGAAAAAAATATCAAAAACTTTAGACCAAATTAGCAGACTGCGATAATACGTTATCAATTTGAGAAACCTGTCAACGCATTGACGATCGACAATAAATGAAAAAGTAATTATAGTATTCAGGTGTTGAATGGTAATTAAATAAGTTAGTGCATTGATTAAATAGCGCAACACTTAGATTTTTGCACCAGCCAATTAAATTTTAGAACGGGCAAAACACAACCAGTGCAGAAAACATAGGAATCATTTTTAACAACGAGTGCATAAAAAAAACATAGTGTGGGCTGCTGCCCAAGTTCTGGAATCATGGGTTTAAGCTTTACAAGGTTAAAACGATACGAAAAACAACAACCGCAGTTTGCAAGAAATAATATTGGAAAGTATAAGAAAAGAACGGCCACATCGATTGAGAACAAACACATCAATGGAGAATGTAGTCGACGGACATGAAAAACAAAAACGTGAACTACATAGCCGGAGAGAGCAACGTGTGTGATGAGGCGAAGCAGAAGAGATATTTCAACTACTCACTCGGTATGCCAGACACTAGCTTTAGAGGCCTGAGCACTCGTATAGCCCTCAGGGTTCTCAAGTCTACCCCTAAGTCCTCTTGCATAGAGAGGGTCACGAATCTGTAGGGTAAACAACACACACAAGCCTTAGACTAAATTACACGCAACTAATTGCACCCAAGCAATCCTACCATCATGTGCTCCAAGACCGTCATTTAAACACCTTATAATATTCCATTAGGAGGAATTTTGACAAATTAGGGGAGGATTCTAGGAAGAAATGCCTTGGTAATCTAAAATACTGGAAGGCAAAGGTATTCTATATGAGCACCGTTGTTTGCGGTGTCGCAGCTAAGATCTATCCTTTGGTATATTATGTACAAGTCCAAAGAAACAATTTTTTGATATCTGATGATCAGACGAAAAGATATTTGACCATTTGAACGACATAATTATTATGTTGTACAAGATCAAGAATCAGTCGAGGAGCACATTCATCTGATTGCTTGGTTTATTTGGTAGTTAAAGTTGTCCAACTTGCAGAATTAATTAATCTACAGAAAATTCTATCTGACTACATTTTTAAATAGCGCCGTGTCAGGCCAAAAAGAAAAAAAATAAGCTGCTATATTTTCAAAAAATCGGATGAGGTTAACAATTTTCTGGGTACAAAAGTCACAGTCTGATGTTGCTCAAAAAGTTCTTGACGCAGTTCGTATGTATTTGGATAAGTTATAAAGGCACAGATTTAGAGACATCTCGAAATTTATTGATCCAAAATTTTGTTCAATCAACATAATTGTTCGTAACTTTCGAATTTAAAATTTAAGCCATAACTGCCAAATGAAAAATATTTACTCATCCGCGAAAATGTATTTAATCATAAATTCAAAGCAGATGCCGTTTACTAAAATGTGTTAAAGCAGAGTATATTTTTTATTTATTCTCTGTTATTGAAATAAGATTGATACTTAAGAACCTTGTCACATCCGTATCATTTTTGCAGTTGGTAAATGCCCCACTCTTCTTTGTGCCTTGATGTTCTTAGATACGGAAACATTTACCAACTAATAATAGTGTAGGAAATAAATCTGCATTGGGTTGTGGTTTCCACTTATATTTTACTAAACAGTACTTTTAGTCTGCAGATTAGAAACTTGAAAAATTAGTAATGATTTATTCTCAGCAAGACGTTATCATCGCTTTTACCGGTCTTATCTAATAGGATTCAAGATGTCTCCACATATGCGGCCTTTATAAACTTCTAACAAATACTCACCGTCTGTGCCATTAACAAACACAAGCGACCAACACGCTACAAAAAATTCCAGGTTATATATTATGACAAGTTGAGGCATAGTCTTATATTTATTACAAATTTGGAAGCAAAAATTTCCGGCTAAAGCCACAAGGAAAAATTCAGTTGGCTTTAATATAATGAATTCTTAAGACTTAAACCACTTCAGAGATGAAAGCTACAAGGAATACATTCCAGTAGAAGACGTGCTATCCGATGTATCAGTAATAAAACGGTTCGCAGACATGGATGAAGACTCTCATCTACTGTAAAAATAACTGCGTACTGGCATGTCAACATACATTTACTTACACTCAACTAGATAATTGGAGAAACATAGAGTGGTGTGTCCTTCTATCAAGCGTGGCTAAATAAATTTCATTATATTGCATTGAAAATCAGAGGGGTTCTTCTTCCAGATTTTTAGAATCTCTTCGTACGATGGAGGGACACACTCATGTTTTATATTTATTCAACAAGAGAGTACATAATCATACTAAAAAATCAGCCATACTTACAAAAAAATTCACTTTACAAATTTTGAGCCGAAATATGTCCTAGGCAAGGTTGAAAGAAGTGATGAAAATGCCGTTTCTATAGGAATCAGTTGGTCGATAATTCCTCCAAATTACATGCCGGTTGTGATAACAAAATTAGTTCAATTGTCTAAAACTGGAATAATGGCGGCCAGAACTGTTGTTAATATACACAATTTATTTACAAGTAATGAAACTGAGGAGTTTGGTATAGCATTAAGGGAAACACAAACAAAAGAATTGTTCCGTGCAACTGATTTTTACAACACTTCTCTTTAACTTCACTTCTTGTCTGTCTGTCTGTCTGTCTGTCTGCTACAAATCTTGTAATCGAAATTTAATACACTTCTACTTATCCTATCGATCTGAAATTTTGCACACTTGTGTAAAGTTGGAGACAATGCATGAATCAAATGTCAAAATAAAAGATTTTGAAAATAAAAAAAAAATTTTTCCAATATTAAAAAAATTGAAAAAATAATTTTGTCAGCTACAAATCTTATAACTGATATCTGACACACTTTTACCTGTCTGATTGATCTGAAATTTTGCACACTTGTGTGAAGTCAGAGGCAATGCATGAATCAATTAACAGAATAAATAATTTTGAAAAAAATTATCTATTAAAAAATTTATATATTACAAAAAATTGAAAAACTAATTTTTTAATTTGAAAATTAAATGAGAAATTCATTGTACATTTGTAAGATTGGAGACACTGGATTCTTTGGAAGTGTTGTCTTTAAAAAGTAATTTTTAAACACATATTATTTTATTTAAGTGTACTTGAGAACCGAGTAGCTCTGACGATTTGCACGAGTCATAAACTTATGTACTCTTAATAAATAGAAATATAACTTCGCCCTTTCTAACGAACTTAAGAGTGTTTACATTTTTTGTCATTGAATAACGACCGAAAATAAAGCTGAAAAATATTTCGATTTCATCAAACTTCGGCTATAATTATTTTTATCCGCTTGTGCTGAATTTCAATCCGCACCCACATTAAATTAGGTAACAACTTGTCATGCGACCGTAGTTAAATATACATAATTACTTAATCTTGATTACAGCAGAAGTACGTGGATATCCAATACGATCCAAACTATGAACGACTCTTATAAACTTTTTCGGGTTCGAGCAATTGATGCATTGTGACCATGATTGTCACCATTGTGACCATGATTGTCACCATTGTGACCATGATTGATTGATGCATTGTGACCATGATTGTCACCATTGTGACCATGATTGATCGATGCATTGTGACCATGATTGGTCGATGAATTGTGACCATGATTGATCGATGAATTGTGACCATGATTGTCACCATTAATACCATGATTGATGAACGCATTGTGACAATGATTGTATTTATGCAATAACTATGGTTATGCTGAGCATTGCTCAAGTTATAGTGGTGGGCAAAACAACTAATATGAGGCATAGAGTCGCCAGGGCAGTTCGCTCTACACGTCAACAGCGCCCCGAGTCTGCGAAGCGGGGGCGGCTCTGAAAGCCTCGAAGTTCGCAGGCATTTGGTCGTAAAATGGCACAAATATTGGTCGCACGATGGCACAAATGCACAAATATTGGTCGCACGATGGCACAAATGCACAAATATTGGTTGTAAGATATCACAAATAATATATTGTAGAAATAATTATCCCAATTTCAAATTTGATAACATTCAATCATCTATGACCTTGATTAATTCTAAAATATTCGATGATATAATCTTCAAGCATGGCGAACAACATCTTAACAATGGCCAGCCATAATGATTTCAATGAAAACTAGTTTTCTAATCATTCGTTTTTTTTAATAAATCCCTATTTTTCCATTAAAATATCACTTTCAAGAGCTGATAACGTTGAAAACACATATAACGTGGGTAAAAAGGAAAAAGCTCAAAAGGATAACAAACCGTTAAAAGTTACAAAGGCGTTTCATTCAATCTTATGGATCATATCAACGAGCAAGTTTGATTTAAAAATTATTTGTCGCATATTGTCAAATACAGAATTAATATAAGACATACAACAGGGCATTTCATCCATCTAATAAAAAAAATTTTCATTCGTAATTACGACACTAAATATCGAACAAGGCCACGAGGGAGAACTGCATTTCAAAAATAGTCTCCCAAAAATGTCTGTGCAAGGCAAGTTGCCAAAAATCCGCACTTTCACTATACACAGAATGATTACGATAAAATAATACATAATGAACCAAAATTTATATCACTTAGAATCATTTAATTTGGAAAGTAGCTTATCAATTACGAATTTAAATTAAAATTACACACATCTAATTTTGCTAGTAATTTCATTCCAGCGAATCGACGATTTTGAACGAAATAAATCCAAAAATAAGTTACTCTTTTACTTCTCTACGGGAGACTACACTGGGCCACAACGGTTTGGTTACGAACAGGATGCAATGTACTCATATTTGCGTTTAAACGAACGATGAATTACTGCCTCTCTACGGTCTAATCTGGCGTAGTACTATTAGTGGGAACATCGCATGCCTAGTCAAAACCTTCACTGAAGCTTTGTTCGCACACTACGAAAAAGTGATAGAATCCAAGGATTCGACGTCAGCGGCAAATACGCAAAAATTTGGCTGAACGCTACATGGCAATACAGTCGGTACGCACGAACGAGACAACGAACGCATTAGCAACGACATTTAATTACGACCAGATGATCGAAAGAGATTTCGGAAATATCGGCCATCTAACAACATCGTATGGCAATCAAAACACGCTAGCCAAAAATTTAAATTCAAAATTTGTATAATTAGCCAGCAACGATATAAATTAAGAGGTAATATATCTGTCTGGTTGTAATCAAGCGTTGCCAGTACGTCACTACTCACTTGGTAGCCGGGATACCAGTTTCAGGGGCCTGAGTACACGGAACGACCGCAACATCCTCAAGTCGACGGCAGCCGCGACGTTGTCCGAAGCCACGATAGTCATGCCACTGTTGGTGTAGCGTCATCGAACGCTATTAATTAAGTGTTGCGTCATCGAACGCTATTAAATTAAGCGTTGCGTCATCGAACTCTATTAGGTCGTATCAACACTGCTTATGTTGCGTCATCGAACGCTATTAAATTAAGTTTTGTGTCATCGAACTCTATTAGGTCGTATCAACACTGCTTATGTTGCGTCATCGAACGCTATTAAATTAAGTGTTGCGTCATCGAACGCTATTACGTCGTATCAAAACTGCCTATGTTGCGTCATCGAACGCTATCAAGTGTTGCGTCATAGAACGCTATTACGTCGTATCAAAACTGCTTATGTTGCGTCATCGAACGCTATCAAGTGTTGCGTCATAGAACGCTATTACGTCGTATCAAAACTGCTATGTTGCGTCATTGAACGCTATTAAGTGTTGCCTCATGGAACGCTATTACGTCGTATCAAAACTGCCTATGTTGCGTCATCGAACGCTATCAAGTGTTGCGTCATCGAACGCTATTAAGTCGTATCAAAAATGCTTGTGTTGCGTCATCGAACGCTATCAAGTAGTATCAAAACTGCTTGTAGCTCACAAAAGAATCTTTGTATAAACTGCAGGCTCTCATGCAGTTGTTAAGCCCTATTAACAACTGCATGAAAATTTAAGCCCTATTACAGTGAACCAAAAATTTAAGCCCTATTACAGTGAACACACGCCATATTCTGTCACGCAGGGAATTATTTAAATATAGAACCGACGTTTGCTCCAATCTAACTAATGAGTTAGACCAACTATAGGTACTTCTGATATTAACTTAAATTATTGGACAGTCATCAACCTACCACAGTACAGTAAAGATTCATAGAAAATGATTCGACTTTTTGCACATTGAGAGAAAAATGGGTCACCGAAACACACTATAATAGCTGCAGGCACGCATCCGTGAACTTAATTTCTCGCGTTTTCATCACAACATATGAAGCCTACATCACATGATCAAAACAAATCTCGCGTTATATTTTTAAATTACCACATTACACATGTTTGTGTTTTCAAAGAATTTTTGAAGACTGATCACAGAATAGTGAGGCGGTTTCTATATGCATTATGATGACACTTCGTATTCACACTGAATTATTCAAGAAAAAGGGAAGTAATATCATGAAAATTTAAACTGTAACACCAGTGCAGTCGCAAGATTTGAAGTTGTAGGACGATTCAACTCATTTTTAGCACTAGAATACCAGGAGAACAATCTAATATAGTACATTGAAAACTCTTAAAATTAATAATCTTACGTATAAACCTAAACGCTTCAGTTTAATAATTTTATCTAGAAACTTGATCAAATTGTTTAGTCGGAAATTACATGAACGTGGAGAAAACGAGCTATTAATAAACGAAAACACATTTTGTTCAAAGAGTCAATGGAATAATTTTATAGACGTCCATTGGTTGGTAGCAGCGACAGTCTCTAGTGACCTTTAAGTCAACCTTTTTATAAGGTCTCTGCTTACGTCACTCCTCTTTAACCACATAAAAACATTTTGTTGCAGTTGCTGTAAACAAATCAATGAAATGGCACACGTTACACGCGAATAGTTCTGCATGGTATTTCAGCTTTATCACTCATTTTTTTTATCTTTTCACCAAGTTCATCACTGACAATATTCGCTGTCAAATAAATTTTCTACTCTGTTCTAGAGCTTCACAAAAAGAGGAAGTTTCTAATGACAACCTTTGTAAAAATCTCATGTATAAACGCGAAAGCATTCATTTTACTGCCATCAGAGGAATAAATGAACAAGCCTCTGCAATAGGTACAAGAAAACGTTGTCCGATGAAAAAATTCCAGCAAATATTTATAAGAACTGCTGAGAAAATTTGCCGTTCTCTTCGATTGATGTAAAAATTATTATTATTAAGCACTTGAAAAACAGCAATTCTTTTTGGAACTCTCTAGGCACATCAATTGTTAGAACATTTCTCAATTCTTCACTTTCGTGGCATTGTGTGATACATGTAAGTGAAACATACAAATAAGTGTACAAGTCAGCCTCGAAGATATAATGCAGTTATTATTCTTTATTAATAAGCTCTTCAAAAATGTAGATACTTTCGAAAATATCCTTAGAGATTAACAATTTTCATGCAGCAACTTCTTGCTGTAATCCTGACGTGTTTGATCCATAGAAGCTCGACTAGACGTTACCTTATATAACTTCGTAATTCTACTGCTATAAGATGATTTAAGTATGTATAAATAGTTATAGGCCTATTACACCAACATTCGGACAGCTTTAAAACTTCTAGAAGACAAATTATATCCATGACACTTTTCACGAAATTATTAGTCATGACTTAAAGGCATTTTTCTAGAGCTCAATGTCAGCTAACAGCGTCATAGAGATAAGGTACCTAGCTTCCTTTGCTCAATAAACTTCAAAAAAATTTACCTTCTAAAATAAAATTTACCTCCTATGAAAATGTTGCACAAAAAATTGTTACCGAAGTAACACTATACCCACAATGCAAAAACATTAAAGATCCAATAAATACTGAAAAGTTGTAATTATTTCATCATGTTAACATTACACCTAACGAATAGAAAACCGTCCTCTAAAAGTGATAGAATGTATGTAATCTTACTAAAGTTTAAGTGTTCAATGAATTTTTTTTCTCCGTTTCTCACTCAAAATATTCAGGAAGGGCACTGACTAGAGAGCCTAGATGCACAACTTCCACAGGAAAAATACTTCCTTAACAAATTTGGTCAAGAAAGAAACTCTTGGAAATTCAACTCGTGTGAGATCACTTACAAACATTATTCACTATTCATGAATTCAAATATTTTCCATTGATTGTATAACCCTAACTCCCAAAAACTTCATCTCCAAATTATTCATTATTAGTTTGAAATTTCATTTGTACCCGAAATTTCTGTAGCACCACTCAAAAATTTTTGGTTCTCAATGAGTTCCTCGTGTAACAAAAAAAATCTGCTTCGCAAATCATAGAAAATTAACCCGTAAAAGAGGAACTTTGATGTGTCCGGAACATTTCGGGGAAGAATTACTTGCACTCCGTAAATTCATGGAAATTTTCCCACTTGATTACAAGGTTTCCTCGACCTTGCAAAACTAACTCTTCCAGCTGATGGATAATGAATCGTTTTATTTCAATGCAGCTTAAATGCAAAATCAAATTCGTCACACGCACGATTTATTTCACAAACAACGTTCGTTCATAATCAAGGTAATCGACGCAGCTTCTTCATCTCCAATGCGATGGGAAACACTCAAGTTTGAGGGGAGCGAACGAAACGCTCTGGTGATGAGTGAACTCCAAAGATTGTTAAAATTTTATGCATGTATTATCATTATCAAATCGCACATCCTTATCACTGTCGAACCTGGCCATATGTCAATGCAATTTACAGCTGACGTCTCTTAGTTATTCAGTACAGTCGGCAGATGACATAACATTTAAGCATTCCCTGACAGAAAAGTTTTTATTATCGAAATTGAATGCACTGAATCCTAGCCAAATTTGAACGACAATTTTTCTTACCCTGTGACAACGACGACAAAATCCATGATGTTCCAGATGTTTCTCAGATAAGAATTTGGGTGTAGCACGAAGCCCAGGGCCAATATCTTCAGGGAAGATTCAATGCAGAAAATGAAGAGGAAGTAGGGCTCGGTCTTCTCCTGCAAGCAACAACGGAAAACATATCAACCACTCAACAACGTTAAATAATCCTAGTATTCATGATATACAAATAATCTTTATTATTGTGTGAATCATGCACAAGATGCTGGAACATTTTTGAATATCAAAGTATGCCCAAGAAATGTATACATATTTTCATTTGCGATAGCGACACTGCGCTTCAACACGAGCAGTTGTCGCGCCAAAACCTCATTTACGTCGACGGTAAATTATCGCACATTGTCCAGGGGCCATACTTTCAAAACTCGCTTAGTGAACGTAAGTACTTACGCTGGTGGATTTTGCTATGGTATTCTATGACAGGTGGATTTTGCTTGAAAGGCCGTCAATGATTGGCTGATGAACTTACGATCTCTTAACTGTTTTTAAAAGAGTGGCTTGAAAGGCCGTCAATGATTGGCTGATGAACTTACGATCTCTTAACTTTTGTTGAAAGTATAGGCACAGAAGACATGAATGTAGTTTTCATGCAACTCTTTTTTAAACGTTAGTCCAGCATATTTTCCTGATTTTGCCCCATAGGGATTACAAACCTCATATTTCGGTTAAATCACTCGATTGAAAGTGCTTAGCCTAGAAAGAGGAGTTTTATTTCTGTATGTGCTGTCTATAATATTTCTACTAATTTAACAACTAATTACCAGACCCATTAAGTCACGCGCATTCTGTTTGCCGTTTTAAGTAGCAATATGTGAAGTAGCAATATATATGAGGAGCTTTTAAAGATATTCCAAATATTTTATAAACATAAGGTTTTACGATCCATGGTGACGGAACTCAAGAACGAAATTACAATTATTTTGAATGAAAATTTACCGATCGCATCATCGTTACCAGCAATACATTTTAAAAACCCGTCTCATGGAAAGACTCCACGTAATAAAGAACAAGGGTTGTTTGTACTGGGAGGCGTTATCAGGTCGGTGCTGATAAGAACGGATCAATACACGCCCAAAGATAGCAAGCAGGTATCAGTACGTGGGGCATATGACGTAGCATAATCCATGTTTATTAAGAGTTCAGTCAAATTATGATTTATGAGTTACGTTAGATTTATATCAGACATTAATAGAGTACTATTGCTGCTGCTGCAGTTATTTAAACTTCCATAATCTGCAACATTTAATTTAATGGTAATAAAATATTTGCGAAATCTTCTCACGAGGAACAGTCTTGAAAATTTTGATTGGAATTTCTTCATTTCAATCAAATTGAAAATTATATCGAAATTTCTTCATTTCAATTAAATATATTTACCAATCTATATATTAGATTAATATGGAAAGGGTTAGTAAGTCTTACGAGCTCCTGGGCGAGAACAGTCTTGTCGCTCAGCGGCAGATGCTCCTCGAGGGCGAGCACGATGCAGTTAGCGATGATGGTCAGCAGCACTGCGTACTCGAATGGAGTGCTGCGTCGTTAAGGGAAACTCAACCAAAATGATCACTGGACAGGATACATTCGTATCCTCACTCACCCACTGATTAACACACTGATAATTTCCTAGCACGTTTGTTAACATGTATCCTCTCCATTGATTAACACACTGATATATTGGTAGCACACAGGCTGAAGTGTATTCTCTCCCAATCATTTACAAACTTATATATGCGTAGCACACAGGTTGAAATGTATGCTCTCAAAATGATTAACACACTTATACATTCGTAGCACACTGGTTGAAATGTATACTCTCCCACTGATATTCGTAGCACACAGATAAAGTAAAAAATTCAAAACAATAAAAAAAAAACGATTTGTTTGGACAGTGTTTAAAACTAAACAGTGGAATACTATCGAGATTGCAGAAAATACATGTAGAAATCTATATTCCGCTTTTATAATACATTCACAAAGCATGAATTTAATAATTGTATTCGGATCCATGACGAGCAGGAATTTAACAGTTCACTGTGATGGGGGAAAATTTCTAAATTAAGACGATTTAAAACTATAATATTATTTCGCTGAATTTCGGTAGCAAATCAATGAAAAAAGTTCATCGGCAAAACCGGTACGGTTAACAATACTGTGCATAATTTATGCCGTGCTTCGTAAATGTATTGCTTAAATGGAGTGGAGGAGAGAATAGCTACAAGTAAACTCATTACAAACTTATATCATAGTTGCTATTTAAAATACCATAAGTTCCAGCTCTGTCAGGCGAATCTCGAACTTGCTTTAACCGCGTAGAAGAGCTACCAAAGTCACATTAAAAGCATTTCTATTTTCGTCCATTTTACGAAATTTAGTTCTATCCATCTACTGCCGGCTGAGGTAATTCCATCGAGAAACGCTATATATGTACGTATTAATAATCTATCAGGAATACCTCGGATTGGCTTTCAAAATAATAAAAGAGTTAACGCTACATTTTAAGCTCGTGACTTAATTTTTTTTTAATTTTTGATGCTATCGACATGTATATGTCGCGATATTGTGCGTCTATAGTCTGACAATCTTATCTCGAAGATATCACTTTTCCTTCGGTAATTAGTAGTTATCTGTGAAATTAGTGTATCTGGAAAAGGGACTCTTTGTCAGCCATGATGCAGCCACTGAGGCTGGATTGTTCGTATACGAACGAACTAGATCAGAGTTCTGTACAAAAATTTATATTCACTTTTTTTCTATACAGAGATCGCGTGTTAGTAATTTTCCTTCAAATTTTAATTCATTCACTCAAATCGCGAACTTAATTCGATTTTAAAATATTACTGAACCCCGGCACATGTTCCTTGCAAGTGCATATGCCATTTGACCTACATAGGCACATGTTCCTACATAAAATGGTAAAATTAAAAAAAATATATTAGTCATAACATCAGATAGATAAATATAATGGTGAGTAGTTGTGGGTAAAGGATATGGCCACTCGATGATGAACTAGGTATGCTCCTTACATTTATATATGATGGTCAATTTAAAAAAAAATATTAGTCATAACATTAAATAAACACAATGGAATTTAGAAACAATATTAGTCATTACATTAGATAGATAAATACAATGGTGAGTAGTTGCGGGTAAAGGATATGGCCACTCGATGATGAACTTGGTGTATTTCCTGAAGATGTTTGTGTCTGAGAGGATGAAGAGCGAGGAGGGCCCCTGTGCCCCCGGCGGCAGAGGAGGCCCCTTCTTGCCTCCCATTGGCCCCACGTAGCCCTGCGAGCCCCACCAGACCTCACCTGTACCAAAAAAAGTGTATACTATTTAACGGGTCATCATATATATAACAGTAGATAGTGATGTCACCTGTAATAATCAAAGTTCAAACAATTTAACGGGACATCATACAGTATATATAACAGTAAATAGTGATGCCACCTGTAACAATTAAAGTGCAAACTATTTGCCGGGCCATCATATAGGGTAACGTGGGGCAGCGAGCCCACTGCCGGTCGTGGGCCCATAGCGGGTTTCTCGCTAAGTATGGCAGATATTGGTCCGTGTTCTCTACCGCCGGTCGACAGTTTCACTGGGATGAAGTGTACGGATTTACGTTTTGCTAAGTGTTTGCGTTATTAAGTTATATGTGAATAACTGTTTTGGCCCAGATAAAAATTTTTTTTGCTGCTAAATAAAAATGTTTTCGATCACTGGAGATGAAGCTTTTGAAATTACTGTGAATTATATTTTGAAAGTAATATTTATAGGGATAATTTTTAGATCAAAATTAGACTATTAGCTTTTAAAATAAAATGTTGACACGATATAAATTGAAATGATACCTAGTGGGGGCAACGGGCCCATGCGTGTCACGGGGCAAAGCGCCCATGGTGAAGTCTTGTGTTATACATCATTAGATTTGTCTCAATAACCATTTCATACTATGACTAGCTTTTTGAATTACAAATTACACTTCATAATGTGTGATTTTTTATTTGCCGCCTCAAGGCAGCATGTTTTGTTTCTAGTTATGCGTATTTATGACCACTTTTCGAGTTATTGACTCATGCCTTGCCAAAAGTTGATTTCAGTCAACACCAATGAGCCAAAAATTGATGAGTTTTTATGGTGTTGGCTAAAATCACAATTAGGTACGAATTCTCTGCACATAATATCTGGATTATGGACGAAACTGCAATAAATTTTTTTTTCTGATCAACTAAATATATTTTTTTCTAGTCAAGGATATATTTTTTCATGTCAAGGACGAATTTTTTATCGCAAGAATATCTTTCAAGTCAAGGATATATATTGTTATGCCAATGAAATATTTTTCTGCACGTCAGTGATAGATTTTTTAAGCCAAGAGTATATTTTTTTCAAGTTATGGATATGATTTTTTGAGTTGTTAATAAATGAATGAATGTCATATTTTTTATTACATTTTTCTTATATTTAACTGTAAATTGTTGTTTCATCATTTTTAAACGAAAAATATGCAATTGTGGTAAAGGGACTAAGGGTGGGCGCCTTGCCCCAAGCCCATGGGCCCATTGCCCCAGGGGTGGGGCAATGGGCCCATTTTGACACTTTTTACAAAATAGTGTTTCATTAAAAATTGAATAACTCTATAGGCGTCTAATTCACATCATACATTCCCCATTAGTTGTACCTTTAAACAAAACAAAGAACCACCTCGTATCAATTAAAACTTCATCGAAAATTTAGTTTAAAAAAAGTGAGGGACGCGCTGCCCCACGTTGCCCTATATAAAAGTAGATAGTGATGTCACCTGTACCAAAGTGCTAACTATTTGCCGAATTTTTTTCATGCTTGTTTCATGTTTTCTTTAATCGTGATGCTGGTATCAGATAATAAAGCACTGCTACGTCATAACGCTGGTCATCCGAAATAATAACGTAAAAAATTACCCGTCTCGTCATAATGCATGTACTTCATGATACCGATCTCGTCGGTCATAATGCATAATATTATAATGCTGCATTCCTCAAATTTAGGGTAAGTGATTGCAGAAACAACACTAATGCTTGAGCAAGACAGAAACTTGCAGTTATAGGATCGGGACATTATAATAATAGAGACAGAGAGATATGTTGATATTATATCAGAGACAGGGAGATATGTTGATATAATATCAGAGACAGGTAGATATGTTGATATTATATCAGAGACAGAGAGATATGTTGATATAATATCAGAGACAAGGAAATATGTTTATGTAATTTCAGAGACAGGTATATACGTATGTTGATATTATTTCAGAGACAGGAGATGTGTTGTGCCGCTCAGGCTCTGAGCAAGAATCGAAAGCTCCGAAATCGGCAGGCAGGGGAAATTATGAAATGGGTATGAGTGAAGTGCATGCTTCATTATACATTGTTATTAATTTTTTCGAAAATTTCGGTCTATTTCTGACGCCAGGTACTTCATTGGAAAATTTCTTCATAATTATAATTCACCAAATAAATTTTATCGTTAAATAAAGTGCATTTTGCAAAAAAAAGTACACGTAGGTTAAGTTAGGTTAGGTAATATTAGTAAAGGATGAAATCATGATGATGTGTCAGGGAAACAAACTTAATCATGATGATCTGTCAGCGAACCAAACTTAATCATGATGATGTGTCAGGGAACCAAACTTAATCATGATGATGTGTCAGGGAACCAAACTTAATCATGATGATGTGTCAGGGAACCAAACTTAAAAATATCATTTGGATGCAGTGAATTACAAAGTATTTTTGTTCCTATCGTGACGGCCGGGCTAAATCCTTAATACTCTGGAAGCAGGATTATAAATTAGATAAGTGATGCAGTTCATTGAACATTGAATTTGTTCCAAAACTTGGAAAAGTAAACGTGAGCACTGCTAATTTCGGTTAATTTCATCTAACGATTTTATTTTGAAGAGCGTACGAAATTGCAATGTTTTCTTCTTTTTATTTAACCAGAATTTAATTATTATACGCCTGGAAGGATTGCTTGAAAAAATTACCGCATTACGAAGTTGCAAGGCTGGGAATATTAAGCTCCATGCATATCATAATTGTATTGCGTTTTCTTCCGCCATAGCCTGAACAGCAAGCTTTCGTAGCATCAGTTATGAATTTTCGATGTAACTACAAGATTTGTCGCAGTGAGAATGCATATAATATTGTAATAACTGGTATACGTTTAGTGTAGGAGTTCCAATTCGATGACGTCAGCAGTATCCGATAGGAATATATTTTTTTAACCTGGGTCGAGAGGCGATCGACCTTTACCGACGGCCGGTCGCTGCTAGATGCAATATTGTACATAAGCTGAACACGGCTATACAAACCAATGTTAGTTGAAACGCGAAATCATCATTTTCCGGAGGATATCCATCATCTTGCTCGGTACGCACCGCATAACGTGTCGCTAGATCTCCTGAGCAGGTGAGAGCCTAATTAATGAGGGTCTAACGAGACTTGGGCAGGTGACATCATGCCTAAAGCAGTCACTTGTGCTGCTTCTGCTCTCGCATCTAGGCTGCGGCTCGGGATTGTGCTGGCTGCTTGTAGTCTTTACAATATTAAATAAGACACTTATTATAAGACAAGCATATCATAATTCTCGCCCATCCTGCATTGAATAGAAAAATCAGATTCAGCATTATCATCGTGACTTCTTGTACGACCACAAACCAAAAAGATATATAAGAATATTGAGAACAAAATTCTTTTTTATAGAATTACTCGAAAATTCATAGAGACAAGCTTATCTAATTGCGTCGATTTTGTATTTTTTGAATATCGAAATCGTACCTCATATGTATGAACATACTTTCAAAAAACCCCGATGCGTATAAAAATGATTATCAGCAAGAGAAAGTCTGACACGAAATAAAATAATCTAGAATTAAGTTGACCTCACTTAATGGAAACCTTATCCATATTCGTTATTGATAAAATAAAAATCATACATATTGGTTTCATTTCAGGTGTGGTTGATAAAATTATGCACACCTTGAAAACATTTCCTTTGAGATGGGCGACGTTAAAATATCGAATGGGTAAAAATTTGTATCTCAAAATCTTCAAATTGCCATACGGAAAAGATTAATGTTCAAAACTTCTATGCAGACCTTGAAAACATTTTCTTTGAGATGGGCACGACGTTAAAATATCAACTGGGTAAAAATTAGTATTTCAAAACCTTCTAATTGTCATACAGAAAAAGATTAATATTCAAACTGACCTGGCTCGGCAGCGCTGCTGCTGCCACAACTGCCCGCTGACGTCACCGCTCGCGCCTCGGCAGCGGCAACCCACCTGCAATAAAAAAAATTAAAACGTTAAAAATTAATCAAATCGACACGCTAGAGAAAGGGAGACTGTTTACAGATAAAATCTGACAAGAAAGAATGAATGTAATTGATGAATGTCATCATTTTCGACCAGTACAGTGAAAAAATTTGCAAATCTATTTTATATTTGTCATGCTTATGTTTTTGTGAGATTGAAGTCTGGTATGTAGAGGATGAACCGGGGCGTAACCAGGATACTTTTCATGTCGAGACGTTCACCTCCCGGATGAATATGGCACGTGAATTACAGTGAATTATAAATTGAGAACTGAAAAGCTTCTTATTTGAATGTCGCAGATGCATTCTGCTGGAGTCCAGCTCACGGAGCACTAGGGAAAGAGTTCTAAGCTCATTTCGTTTAAAAATTCGCAAAAATTTTCTCGGACTCGGCCAAGTCACTGAAATGTACGTAAGTCCTTCAGACGGCCACACGAAATGGCGACAGCAGTTGCAGTTTCAGCTACAGCACAGTATGCATCAGTCATGCACTTAGTATTTTGCCCGTGCTGCGGCTCTTGCTTTAATTTATTCAAAAACATTCACGTTTCATTTCGAGCCGATTAAAAAATCAGGATGGCTCAAAATTTTATTCGAGGAGAAAACCAAAATTTTCTCTGAAATTTTCTCATTGCCTCATGCACGTCATAAATAACATAGTAAGAAGAAACACGATAACACAGAGCAAAGCCTGGCCTAGAAATTCATGTAACCATAGATCTTTACAAATCATAAATTTTTTATGATACTTTTACCTATATACGAGTTTCGTTTGGTATGATTTGCAGCAAATTCATGAGACCTTAATTTACCACCTCGACGCATAATTTACGACCAGTTTAGTAAAGGCAATTCAATGTATTTCGGAATGTATAAAAATATTGGATGGAATAATTCTTCACTTAGGATGTTTGTAAACTCTAATCTCTTACTAGCTGAAGGCTGACGATATTACTTTAAAGTCCTGCGCCTGGAATCGTGTTGTATGGCATCGTATGCAGTCGCATTCGATTTAAACTTCAAAATATGATGCATGTTTTGAAGTGTCCCACATAAGTGCGCCTCCGAATATAATATTTATACATGATGTTCTCTATTTATGATAGTACAAACTTTGATAATATGCATAGGAGTGTCAGAGCATTTTACATTAAACTGGTCAAAATTTTTCGGTATAACTGTTTAACCTCATTTAAACAGGTTTGATTTAGGACTAAATAATTATTTTTACTGATAATTTCCTTAATAGCTTCTTCAATGTATCGGAAAAATATTTCTCGTTGGCGTTGGTAGATCTAAAATCCGTTATATCTCATTACTGAGAAACATTAATAATATGTTAACAACGTTTCCAAAGAATCAACATACATTGATACTTTGTCAATAAATATGTAAATATTAACATCAATTTGGATCGACATAACTAAAATATCACATAAATAGGATTTTTCATATAATGATTTGGATCGAAATAATTTCAAAATCACGAAAACAGAAAGATGCTCAAAATTTGAGGTCAAAAATTTCTCCAAAAACACTTTCAAAGTTCTGACAAATCCAGAAGTTTGAAGATTGATATGGACCAATAAGTGGCACGTGATAGTCAAGTCATAACCTGTAGTAAGCAGAGGTGGGCAGTAGCGCGCTACATGTAGCGGCCGCTACATTTTCAGTAGCGGTAGCGGTAGCGGCTCTACATTTAAGGCAATGTAGCGGTAGCGGTAGCGCCCGCTACATATTTAAGTAGCGATACGAGGTTTTGCCGCTACAGCGCTACCGCTACATTTATAGATAAAGCCTTTAGA